CCTTGGGGTCTCCGTCTGCGCCGATCGTGGTTGATGGCGATGGCGACGGCGACGATGGGTATGGAGAAGCCACGGAAAAGCGCCGCAAGAGGCGTAAACTGCAATGAGACCTCAGTCCGTAGCGACTGATTTTAAGATTCCTAGCAAAAACTTTTAGTAGCTATATAGTCAGTTCTACTCTTCAAGAAGGGCTTCTATGTAATCACATCTTTTACAAGTCTTACTATTCGTGATTCCCACTAATGCTTGAGGAACTCTGCTTACCCCTAGGGAACGGTTTGTCTTCGGGGAGCACAGTTCAAAAGAACAGTTCGGGTAATCTTCGGGCCGGTTTGTCTTCGGGGAGCACAGTTCGGATAATCTTCGGGCCGCGCCTGGATTCGCACATAGTAATTTGTATGAAGTATTCCTGTATATTCCCACACTCTGTCATCTCAATCCTCTTGTGGTATCTGATCTCGCTGTCGATAATTTCTCGTATAGGGCATCTTCGATAGCTGTATCGGGAACCAGGGCTTCTTTTTCCCACACACAATGTCTCAATCTCAATGGACCGCGCATATTGACTGCCCTGCCCATATCAAGGCACGCCTCGAGGCATATGTGTAGTCACTGCCTGCCTCCTACTTGACAAAGCCCGAGGATGGCGAGATGTTTGACAACATTGAGCTCTGCACTGCGCGTTTACAGGATTGGGCCTTATCGCAGGGTTTTGCTATTGTTCGGCGCAGTGGTAGTGAGAAGAAGCGGGCCATCTTTCTCTGTATTCATCATGGGGCAGCTAGTAAAAACACACGTCAGCTAGAGGATCATGTTGAACGTGATGATGAGGGTAAGATAACCAGTCGACGAAAGCAAGAGAGCACATCTATCAATGCTCGCAACTGTCTATATTCTATCCGTCTCTCTTATAAACAGCTTGGGAAACGTGGATCTAACAGATGGGGCTATGTTCTATATATCAAGAAGGAACCAGAACATAATCATACGCTAGCTGCGAACCCACTGAGGTATAAGCAACATGAGAAGACACTTCCTGACTATCAGCCTGCGGTGGAGTTAGCTTCATCTCTTCGCTCTGCAAATATCTCGTACTCAAAGGCTGTTCGAGTCCTTGAACAGAGTGGCTTCTCTCTTAATCGGAAAAGTTATTACAACATTCGAGATAGAAGGATCTCTGCTCAAGTAGATGAGTTCAACGGTCTTCTTGCAGCTCTTGATGAGCTAGGCTTTATCTGGGATGCTTGTATAGGGGATAATTTCGCTGATGACGACACTGTTGTAGGTCAGCAGTTACAACAGATATGGTTCAGTCTCCCAGAGCAAATAGAGCTTGCGCAACAGTTTTCTGCAGATTTTGTGATGCTCATTGACGGTACCTTTCATACCAACTCTCTGAATTTGGTGCTTATTGTTACTGCTGGTATCTCTAACTGCGGGTTAACTTTCGTAAGCTCTCTTTCATTTGCTCGTTCAGAGGCGGCAGTGAGCTTTGAATTCATCTTTAAGAGCTTAAAAAAGCGAATCTTTATCTCATCTATTCCACTGCCGCGCGTTATTATTAGCGATCAAGCTGGCGGTCTGAAAGCTGCAGTCCCTCTCTCACTACCAGTAACAACAACTCTCCAGTTTTGTGACTGGCACGTTGTACAGAATATTAAGAAGAGGGTAGCGGATGAAAGGTACCCTGTTGAACAGCGGAAAAAAATACATGATCTTGTATGGAGATTCATTAAGAGTAAGGAGGCTGATATTGAAGTAGCTCGTCAAGAGCTTCACAGCATGCTTCGCCAAAAAGAGATCAGTTATCTCTCAGATTATTGGCAACCAAAAGAGAGACAATTTTTACGAGCTTACACACGCAAGCTACCAAACCTAGGGGCATTCTCTAATCAACGCTCTGAGAGTATTCATCCAGTTACGACAGGAGATCTTCACAAGAACCTTACTATTGAGGGGGCCTGTCGTCGTCTTGCTGAAACGATTCAACGAAAGACTCGCGATCTAACTCTTAAGGAGGCAGCTAGTGGTGGCAAGTTACCTCGTACGCTTGATCAGTACCCTTTCAGCAAGCTCGCTGACTCTGTTACTTGCTATGCAATTGATCAAATAACGACAGAATGGGAGATCACAAAATATGAACACTCTAAGGGTACTCTTCAATCTGTCCTTGATATTCCCTGCAACAGTTGTGAATTAATTTTACGATATGGCCTTCCCTGTAAGCACTTCTGATCCTCCCATATCTCCGTGGCGATCCTATCCCTACGTCATTATTTCACCCACGATGGTGGACTCATATTCGTCTGCCAATTCAAATTACTGGCTGGATGCCATCATTTCATACAATTGAGATACCTCTTTCTCCTGCACGGCCACAGCCACGGCCGACATCTTCAGGTCGTAACCAAATCACTCGTCTGGGTCAAGAGGCTCTATCAATCAGAGATGATCTTAATAGCTACGATCGGTATCAGTTTGATGAAGCTGTTACTCAAACCCAACAAGACATAGTTGATTTTGGACGAGGGCTTCAGCAGGGAAAGCTCCCTATAAGCATGCCGGATGTGGTCAAGAGCTCAGGATGGAGGAGAAAGAAGAACCGTGATGGTTATACAAGCGGCAGTCAGAGGCTCTTAACTGGGCCAGAGATGGCAGAGGAGGATGCAGTTAAAAGAGAGAGAAGGGAGCTGGCACAGTCAAGAGAGAGGACGAAAGAGATACAAAGACAGACACGTCGACGAGAGAATAAACACGCAAAGGCACTGTTAACAACTAATTTCGAGAATAATAAGGATAATGATCAGCGTCCTTATCAATCCTCTGCCACCGCCACTATCTCTCATCGTCCTCCTCTACTACCGCCAGTTCAACCATATCAGTACTCTCAAGAGACACAAGCATTGTTAGATAAGACACAAGCATTGTTGGATAAAGCACAGGCTCGAGAATCATCTCCACCTCAACCGGATTCAGATGAGGATGAGGACAAGCGAGAAAGAACTCCTCCTGTTATTGATGATGCCGATCCTTTGGAATTAGAAATTATGGAAAGCGAAGGCCGACAATTGTTTAATTCAGGCGGTACTGCCCCCCCACTCTGGTCATTGATGCCTGAGTTCGCTGGAATAACAAGGGCGGCGAGGCCAGGGACAGAGAGATCGGAGAGGGAGAGAAAGTGGAAGTGCAAGATGACTTCGCCTCCTCCTCCTCCTCATCCGCCGCCGTCAGCTATCCCCTTTCCCTCGTCCCATTTCTTCAAACGCCCTCCCTGGTACGCCGTCCCCACCGTCACCACCACTCCCACTACCACAGGATGAAGAAGAAGAAGAGAGGGAGGAGAATAAGGATGAGTGGGATGAGCTACCTCCTACTTCAACCGCGCCAGCGGCCCTATCAACGGCAACGCCGGTTACGTACTCAAGCCGTGGCCGAAAGAGAACAGCTACGTTGAAGGCCACTTGCCAAGAGAACGCGCCTAAACGAGGCACAGGGGCACAAGGACGTGGCCGTGGGCATGGCCGCGGCCATAGAGAATGAGGTCACGGGGTCGTCCCAAACGCGACTAGTAGAATTGTAAACCAGCTGTTGGTTTGATTTTATGATGGCAATGAGCTTTTCTATATTAACAGCAATGTCGAGAATAAAAATTGATTGACAGTTGGTTAAAATCAACACCAAGGCGTGTTTGGTAGACTCGCATAGTAATTTGGGTGAGGCAAGCCCCGCTAAGTCACGCCAAGCCTCGGCCCACATTTATCCGAACTGTGCTCCCCGAAGACAAACCGCTCGTTGTCGGATGAAATGGTCACGTGATGCCAAGCCCGCAGGCTGCCTGCGCCTGCGCCCGCGGTCGGCGGCTGCGGTACCAGCGAAAGGAATTGCAAATGAGACCAGATTCGATACACAGTGGCTGATTCTGAGAAATGGATGCGACAGTGAGGTTTGACCCACTGCTATGAGGCGAGACAGGTTTCGCTTCATCCACAAATACTGTCTTGAGTGCGTTTCGTGGAATATTGTTGGCCTTTGCGCAAGAGCTGTTTTTGAGCACTGTCAGGACATAAATAGACAAGCCCTCCCATAGCTATGGAGGAAGAATCAGACATCAATTACCCATCCATTTGTGCCCTTCCTGCTACTAAGCATCTGACAATTATAAGAACGATTCACGATTCACGAGAAGCCTCAACTGCTGTGCAGAAGAGCTATCTTTCCTGACTTCCTTACTTCCTTACTCTTTCAATTGAGCTATTCCTAATTAGGAAATCACGATCCAAATACCTCAATCACTATGTCTACCGAACGGAAACTCTCCCTCGAAAAGGCAGATCACTGGGAGGACTGGGAACAGGAGCTACTACGCAAAGCCGCCTACCACAAGATTTTGGGCATAGTAAAAGGCTTGGAAGAGCCACTGGCAGAGCCACCATATCCGACTCCCCCGTCCGACATAGACGCAGGCCCAAAACCCATGCCACGCATGGTTCCTCGAACTGGTACAGTAACTAGATCCCAATCCTCAGCATCAACAGTGACCCCAGGCCCGGACGACCTCGTCCTTCAACCTCCATCAGAGGAGGAAAAGAGGGCGTATGAGCAGATTTGCGGTGATATTAGCCTAGAAAGACATGGACCAAAGCTGCTATCACCAAATAAAGCGTTAGCACTGCAGCCAGGATGGCGATACTACTACATAGTATAATATTTATCTGACAGCAATAATATTAGATCGCGCCTGCGGGGTTTGTGATGTAACAGACATGGACGTTTACTACAGAATACGAAGCTGTTCGCTCGATTGAGACAATCTCGTACGATGGTGATTCCTGATCCTCCTTTTCAAAAGTGGCAGATCAGGCGTCGTAGAGGTTATCTGCTAACACGGTGCCTCTTTGTCAGGAGTGTTAGGAAAGCATTGATCATTTCCCCACGAGCAGAGGCAGCTTCATAAGATACCTAGCTTAAGCACAGAACCAAGAGCGAGAATTGACCCTCACCTGTGCAGATCATGATCTGACCTGATCCCATCTCGGACGGAAGCACCAAAAACGATTCACTAAGGAAGCCAGCCTCAATAAAATTCGGCTGGAGGCACGAATACCTCTTACGCTTTACCATCTAGTCTTTGTCGAGATCATCCATATCAGCCCACATAGCCAGCCAGACATCCAGGGTAAGACTGTGACAAGTAAAATTGTGGCGGGGACAAGTGAGAAGAGGGAGTGAGATTATTCCAAAGAGACACGAAACTGGGAAACAGTGAATGGCTGTTGACACCGGGTCAATCCACCAGGTACTCCGTAAGAGGTGATTAATTTGCAATAGTCATCCCTCTCGGGACATGTTCCACGTCCCGGTAATAAGAACTCGCACACTTTTCACTATTGAGCATTATATGACCGATAAATCTGTGGAGTGACCTACTTCGTCAACTGTGGCAGGGAGCCGAACATCACCTTGATAGGGGTAACGCTAAACTTTTATTCCAGCAAACGCAACGTTGATCTGGCAAGTCGTAACTTCTGGACCAAAGCTTAGTTTCGTGTTAGAACAGAGACTGGAAAAGGTGTTCAGCCATTCACTGACGAAGAAATTACCAAATGCAAAGTCTCGTAGCGGTTAATCCTAACTAATCGGGCGATTTACCCTAGCCATATGAGCAGTGTGCATTGAGACACTCTATCCATAGGTACTTCGAAAGACATAGCCTCTTAGTCATCCCGGTCCGAATTCACAGAGCTGCTGACATGCGGAGCCTCGCCTAAGAACCATGAAGGCGGTAATGCAAGCCCGTCTTCTGATAAGGTTATCTTCGGTCCCTTCGGACCGGCTGCCCACATAAATGGGAGCCATCCAAGCCAACCTCCAAAAATGACAGAGGGACCGTCACTGACTTCAAAATACAAATCCACCATGTCATCGGAGTGCTCTTGGACGTGTTCAAGACTGCCCATCACCACCTGACCACAGTAATCCTGAATCATGAACCTTGCTCCAATAGTCATGAACATGATTAAAACGTTGAGAACCGTTTTGCAGTTGTAACCTGTGGATGCTGAGCACAACACTCCGGCCACCGGCTGTTCCGTATCTGTGAATGATTCTTGAAGGATGTCTCCCATGTGTTGCATTGTCTTCTCGAATGCCAGAGAGACTCTTGAATAACTCAATGAAGAGTATTCGCAACCACGTCTCAAAAGGTGAAAGAGTGTGAGAATGCATTGTCGAGTATCCGTTTGTGAGTCAAGCCAGGGTGCAGGGCCATCGTCAGTAAAATTGTGAAATTCTTCATCCCATGGATTAGCCAGCTCCATATCCCGAGCATGCTCCTTTAATAATGTGGATAGCTCGACTTTAGACACCTTCTCCACTGTGGTAAGTCCACGTAGTCCCAAATTCGGGAACCAATTGCTTCTTATATCAACACCTTGATCGAATTTGCAACAAACATTGCCCGCTATTGGAATTTGTTTGTGTTCTTCGTCTTCTTCGTCTTCTTTGTCAGGCTGACCCTTGTGATCGATCGTTGACTTCAAATGAACGGGACGAAGAACTGGTAATAGTCGTTGCGGTTCACTGGAATTTGACTGAGTCATTGGCATGGATACCCGCTTGTGAGTTGTTGTTCCATCAGAGCGGCGATATGACAGAATTGAATAACCATTGTTTTCGTCGTTCGATGCCTCCGTTTTCCAGTCTTCGAATGGTATCAATGCGTCCAACTGTGACCCTTGTCCAGAAGGAATATCGTCGTCTCTTTTAGTTTGTGGTTGATCACGCCCAGTGGTATCTAGAGTTCCGCATGAACTGGAGGTCTTGAGGCATGAGCGGGGGGTCTTTAGAGTCTCATCTTTAACTCCTTCATTCTTTGTCCGTCCTTTGGCAAGGGAGTTCCAAATGAGCAATGGAATCCATGAAATGAGTTGGATAGCCGTTATGATATTTTCTCCCTGGTAAAAATTAGTGAGAACGGTAAATAGCTGAGACCATTTGCTTACCAGAAAGAACAGATGCAGTTGATGAAGACGGACTGAGAGTACGATACCTACTATTCCCACAAAGCTTCCAAAAAGCCCCGGATATAAGAAAGACCGTTTCCAGACGGGTATCGATAATCTTTGTGTGCGTTGAGATTGCCACATCAGATATAAAGGAATGACGACGAAGGTTAGGTGTACAAAGAAACTTCCTAACGCTACCAAAACGCGTCCAACAGGCTCGTTGTATCTAGAAAGCAACAACCAGAGACCTAAGGGGACCAAGACAAGGATGATGATAAGATAGAGGGCTGCAACAAAGACAGAAAGCGGGCGAGATGCTAGAAAAGTCTGTAAAGACTTCCAGTGAAGGTTCCACCGAATGTAGACCTGGATGCCATCAGTAACTTCCAGCAGGAGGGTAAATCACACAAACCTCACAGATCAAACCAATAAGCAATGTTGATACTAGCAACCCAATAATTGGTTGAAGTGACGTCGGTGCAGGCTTGAATTTCTGCCTTTCGCAGAGCCCAATGAGGCAACCGATGAGGCCTTCAGCGAGTACGAAAACGAGAAACTCTCCGACGAATTGTTTTGTTGAAAGGGAGAATTTGTAGATATTGTGGAAACGCAACCCATTGTAATAGCGAGTGATCCCAAGAATGATCCCAACAAAGAAACAAATGAGTTCGGCCAAAGAGTATGCAGCAATAGCAAAGATGCGATCCATGGTCCGCAGACAGCAAATGAATTCTGCTCGAGAAGCAGTCAGAAGGCAACCAGTCCGAAAAGCGGTGGGAAAAGAAGGCAACTGAAAGTTTCCTCTCTACATGAAATATATAAACATGCTCAAATAGCTGCAAACATGTCGTCCCTTCCTCACTTCGTTTACGTAGCTTTGTTAGCAGCCATCCTGACGTGAGGTTCCCACACGATCGTCGTTCATTGTGCTGTGATGGGCGAGTTGCCATAAGCTTTCCTTTTAGCTGAGATTCCTTGCTCTACCCTCCTTGGGTCGTCGTGGATCCGGGGAGGAATTCCCCAAAAGGGATTTAATTGTGATTGTACGTAGTAGAGACATATCGTAGTAATCGAACTGTCAGCTCAGGGATGTTATGTTTTTGCGCTAATGATGTGATTGTGATAGAATGTCGGTAGCAAGCTCTCGGTTGGGTGCGGCGGATCGGGAATGTCATAGTAATATGACGCCGTCGACTTTCTTGGAGTGGAGTGCATACATTTGCCGTTTTATTGGGGTACTTCGAGCCCGCCACATATAAATGAGAAGGAGCAAAGGTGGGAAGAAAACAAGGCAACAGAAGGTTGCTTATCCATTATCACGGAGTCGTCTGGGGTCTGAATTCGTACTAAGAGAAGCGATTAGTGGTGTCGCAGCCTTCGGCCCACGCTAAGGGGACTTTGATCAGCATCGCGCCTTGAACTCGACCGGGGAGTGGCCATTTTGCTAGTTTATGGCCACCCCCTGGTCAGTGTCAGATGCTTAGTAGCAGGAAGGTCACTATTGGATGGGTAATTGATGTCTGATTCTCTCCATAGCTATGGGAGGGCTTGTCTATTTATGTACTAAAAGTGCTCCAAAAGTAGCTGTTGCGCAGAGACCAACCATACTCCACGAAACGCACTCAAACAGTATTTGTGGATGAGGCGAGACCTGTCTCGCTTCATAGCAGTGGGTCAACCTCACTGTCGCATCCATTTCTCAGAATCAGCCACTGTGTATCGAATCTGGTCTCATTTGCAATTCCTTTTGTCGGTACCGCAGGCGCGGGGCGCAGGCGCAGGCGCAGGCAGGCTGCGGGCTTGGCATCACGTGACCATTTCATCTGACAGTCAGTTTACCGTATTTGGAAGAGTGCTGCTGATGATTGAACTCCAATACCTCCCCCCTGATGAGCTTTGGAAGCAGCTTGATAATAGTTACAACTATGACTTCCACTCCTGTTTCACACAACATGTTAGTTTGCGACACGCGAGACTTGCTCGGCCGTGGTTCGAAAGTAAAGCCTGCTTTGGCTCTACATAGGACGAATTCTATCTTCCTTAAAGCAAAAGTTGACGGCAATCACTATGCTGCGGTGCACTTCAGCAGCATCACACCGTTCACGCTCCCTGACTGTCATTGCCAATGGTTCTTCCGCTGTTCAGCCGATTACCAGCAATGCTGCCCTGAGATACATGTGGACAACGAGGTCCGAATCCAAAGCCAGCGTCTTCTCCAGAAGTTCTTTCCACAGGTCTGCTGCGATGTCTCAGGGTAAGAAAGTATCAGTGATAATTTGATCGGGAGACTGAAAAGTTCACAGTCTCCCGCTGGTCGGCAATGTCGTACCCTAGCGAGTTGTACCCCTCAAGCGAACTTCTGTCTCATGATTCTGCAACCCCACCTCCGCAGATATTGGGGCCCGAAGCACAGTTGGCAACGACTTTGGCATGCAACATCCTTAAAGGCCTGAACTCGAAGGATGAATCTGTGGTTGACGATAGCACTGAACTGGTTCCAGCCGACTTTGGAAAACACCTCCTTCATCTCTTCACAGCGTAACACTAAACTCTTCATCAATGATCAGTGCCCCAGAACGTACCCCGCGCCCGTCTCGATGGGGTCATTTATCGCCAGACTTGCAAAAGTACCTCCAGTACCAGCAAGGACTCAATGACCTCTTACCACTGTTTTTTCAAACTTGACAACAACGACTTTCTCCACACCGAACTTATAGATCTTGCTCTTGAAAATGACTCATTACTGTACGCAGTAGTGGGATTTGCGGCCTATCACTATACCCTAAGACAACCGGACGGTAAACTCTCACATTTCTTTTTAATCTTACTACTCTCTAATTAATCAAGATATCAATAATAATAGCTTTCTAGCCCTTAAATATAAAATCAGCTTTTTCTTTTTTAATTTAATAGATATTTTAATAATCTTATTATATATAGATAGCCCTAAATTAGCCCTATTCGAATATAATTGTTCAAGTTATTATCTTTAAAATTAAGCGAGATATAATAGAAAGTAGTTTTTTTTAATTTGTGTTCTAAATCTGCGTATCTCTATGTGCCAAATCTGTATACCAAATCTGCGTATCTCTGCGTGCCAATTCTACGCATTTCTGTGCGTATTTCTACGTGGCAATTCTGCGCATCTCTGTGCGCCAATTCTACGCAGTTCTGTGTGCCAGTTCTGTGCGCCAATTCTACGTAGTTCTGCGTGCCAGTTCTGCGTGCCAGCTCTGTGTACTAATTCTGCGCATCTCTGTGCGCCAATTCTACGCAGTTCTGTGTGCCAGTTCTGTGCGCCAATTCTACGTAGTTCTGTGTGCCAGTTCTGCATGCCAGCTCTGTGTGCTAATTCTACGTATCTCTGTATGCCAATTCTACGCAGTTCTGCGTGCCAATTCTGCGCAGTTCTGTGCGCTAATTCTACGCAGTTCTGTGCGCTAATTCTGTGCGCCAATTCTACGCAGTTCTGCATGCCAATTCTGCGCAGTTCTGTGTGCCAATTCTACGCAGTTCTGCATGCCAATTCTATGTAGTTCTGTGTGCCAATTCTACGCAGTTCTACGTGCCAGTTCTGTGTGCCAGTTCTGTGTGCCAGCTCTGTGTACCAATTCTACGTATCTCTGTGTGCCAATTCTGCGCATCTCTGCGTGCCCTGCGCAGCTCTGCGTGCCCTGCGCAGCTCTGTGTGCTAATTCTGCGCATCTCTGCGTACCCTGCGCAGCTCTGTATACCAATTCTGCGTAGCTCTGCGTGCCCTGCGCAGCTCTGCATGCCCTGCGCAGCTCTATGTGCGCATTCTGGAGTGAGCATTCAAAATTTTGATGGGGTACGGCTTGGCAAGAGTTCTGCAGCCTTGGCGCCCTAAAACACCGCTTATTTACCAACTAAACTCAGAAGGCAGGAATGCAGAGTTTCTACCAATTATAACACTGATTCCCGCGGGCCGCATTTTAAGCTTAACAACATAACAACCAATCCCATGAGCTTGGCGGTCCTTTCACATTAGAGAGATGAAAAGATGATAATGATAACTAGTGGTAACTATTCCAAAATTGGAATAAAAAAAAGTAGAAATAGAAATAGAAATAGAAATAGACTGCGTATCTCTACGTACTAATTTTACGTATTTCTACGTGCTAGTTTTGTGCATTTCTACGTGCCAATTCTGCGCATTTGAGATTTTGATAGGGTACGGCTTAGCAAGAGTTCTGCAGCCTTGGCGCCCTAAAACACTGCTTATTTGCCAACTAAACTCAAAGAGGATTCCCGCGGCCCGCATTTCTAAGCTTATTACCGCAACAAAAGTGTTATCTTGTTGATTGTAGAGGAATGCTCTCCTCTCCAGTCCCCTGGTCAACAACAAGCCCATACCTTCTCCCGCCTTCATTCCTCCGCTGCAGCGTCACCTTTCTAGTAGCTAGTCCCCGTCGCTCTGCATATAATTCATCTATTTCCCTCGCGTCATCTCCCAGCGCCGGATTCTCAAATCTCTCCGCCACAATGGCTGCCAAACTCAACCGTACCTGCGCATCTCGTACGCCTCTTCCCTTTGCGATAGCCATGACCGCACTCGCCGTAAGCACAATACTTACGAGAGCGTGGAGTAGGTTGAGAAGGACAAGTAACACAAATGGAGGCCTAGGAACGCGAGTAACTTGGGTTGTTACGCGACGGGAAACGTTCAGGGGAGGGCGAGATTGCATGACACCTGCAGGGATCGATAAGAGGGTCTGATCGAAAATCGCAGCGAATCTTGCAGCAAAGTCTGCCGAGGAGTCTGCGGCCACGAAGCTATTCCCGACGCCGCTCTGAAGTTGCTGGTATGACCATGCTGCGTAGAAGTTGAAGTCAGTAAACTTGTAACCGAGGAAGCTGGTGCTCAGGTGGTACATCTGCCTCGGAGGACTTGTGACCATTGGGAACATACTGCAATGACGATGAGGCAAGAGAGGACGTAGTACATACAAGCTGTGATCCCAACCTTAAACGGGATAGAAGCGTTGGTGCGTGGTGTCCGTGAGCTGACTATCCTCATGGAGTTGTTGACGAAGGCATACGTCTTGCAAAGTCAACTCAATACTCGATATTATGCAAAATAGGCTAGCACTTACAAGTTCATATATGTTCGTGTCACATGACAAAATGCCTTGCGATCCTCCATTCATGATTCCGACCGCTGATACATCGTTCGGATTATTGTCTCCTTCCCCATAACTTGCGAACGAAGAATCAAAATCTGTACGCCAGACTACTGCCCAATGCAGATGAGAGTCTTTCGCATCGTCCCAGCTCAACCCGTAATATGAATCGGGCGTTTCACGTTGGAGAAGCTTCTGTCTGTCATGGAAGTATTGAAAACCGATGGCATATGTGTTTCTAGCAATCGTATTTCCACCCAGGACGAAGAACGCTGGCGAGAATCCATCTTCTACTTTCTGGCCATCACTGCCGTCGGTCACATTTAGCTCGATCGAATCGCCCGTCGCTGGTGCAAGCACCCTTAAGAAATTCCCAGTCATATTCAGACCAGCGACAGAGGCGTTACATGCGAAGTTGTAGTCACTAGGCTTGTCACGTCGTACGCCTTTCGTATTATTGGCACCGCAAAGGCCGGTAACCGGCCGACACGAGGTTTGCGAACCGAAAGTATCCGCTTGAAAATCAAGGTCAATCGGAGGATTAGAAGGGCCAAGGAGAGTGAAACCATCGCTCATGTAAATTTGGTTGATCTTAGAATAATTCGTCGCGGTCATGACAAATTCAGTTCGATTGACGAGAGTTGGTGTTTTCACTGCGTCTCCGCGTCGGATGATGCAAGCTTTCGGCGCACGATAATCACCAGAACCGTCCAAGCAACTTGGGTGGAGTGCTCGCCCTGGATTGAGATCTGGAGTAAGTTGCTCAGGTCTGAGCTCGAGATACAATACCGACTTTGTGCCCTTCTTGGGGTCAGCACGGTTGTCAATCGATGGGTATAGCCAGAATGCTCACCAGGTGCAGCCAGAGATCGGCCAAAGATGTTAATATCCTGAGACGATCAGCAAAGTTGTTGGATCTAAGACATGAGCGTGGTGCAAACAGCAGATACTTACGCTAGCAGTACCAAAGCCACTAGCATTGAACATGCGTGCCAGAGGACGGGCACGATGTTTATCCTACGCCCTCTCCTTCCACAGATGTATAGTAGGTAGGACCAGAGCACCATCAATTTTCCATCGATAAGTCTTATTAGCAATTCTAGTTGATATGGAGATGGCAGCTTCGATATTGCTCCTTCATCAGAATTTTTTCCAATGTCACGCGCCAAAGAAAACGAGAAAAGCAGCATAGCTGGTCCGATCAAAAGAGTCGCGAGTGTTGATGACAGAGAGGCGATATAGACGAGTGTTGTTGAGGAACAGTTTACAAAGTAAGCAGTTCCAAGCGGCAATGCTGTGTGATTGTCAAGTGAATATGTTGAGTTGTTGTCTGACATTCTGCGATCGATAACGAGGCCGATCAACACTGCAGTGAGCGCTACCAAGGGTCCTATGAGCGACGTCGATGCAAGTAGCGTTTCCAGATTCTGACCGCCAATTATGCTGTCTTTCTTGCTCTTCTTACGCTCTTTCATTTCGATTTCCGCAAAGTTGCTTCTGTCGTGTTTCGGGCGGCGCATAGTGAGCTTTTTGTACATAGCGTAACTCTTGCCAGGAGTACAGGTGCGCAGCGCTCAGCCCTCTATCTGCGTCCTAGAGCCTCTTATGACTTGCTGGACAAATGTTCGTGATTTGAGGGAAATTTGAAACATTATGCACATGCGGGGCTGAGGGGCTGAGCTTGCTTTGCTGCGATTCTATCTCTATCCACCCCGCGGGCAATGCCTCAATTAGCGTAGAATGCCCCATATTAAGGTTTTGAGCCGCATTTGATCGGCGCATCTCTCCGCAGCTCACTTTTCGTTTGAATTTTCAACCACAAACAATGCTACGACCACGCAGAGATATTTAGATCCCTTTAAGATATAGATCAAGCTCACCTCCGCGATTCTCTCAAGCTAACAACCAGTCCAAACGACGCAGAATTAACCCTAAAAACGTTGATCGAAATAACGTTAATCAGGCCTTAGCAGTGATTACTATAGCGCCGGAATATATAAATAAACCTTCTATATTAATCTCAATAGAACTCCCTTAATTTCAAGCTAATTATATTTAAAATCGAGCAAGATATTCTTTATATACTAATCTATCAGAATCAGGCTTTTTTAAGCTTTTTTTCAGCGATTCTATAGTTGAAATTCTCTCTTAAGAGACTAATTTATACGCCAAATTCTATCTTTGAAGTCCTCCTTTCTCTATTCGCCCTCACTGCTCCTGAAAACCTACTATATCAGCAGAAATATGTGTTTATCTTAATATTAATCTCTACTTTAGTTTATATTTATTACTAGTTCGAGATAATTACTAGACGGTATATAAAATAGATCAGTTTATAGATATAAAGCGATTTTAATAAATACATCGTTTTTTTAATCTTAACAACGAAAATACTGTCTTACCGCCTCTAAATGTGCCCTAGTTTTATTAAATTTAGCGTATTTCTAACCTTATTCGAACTGCCTGTTAAAATGCTTATACTCTCTCTTTTGATATCGCTATTAATAAAGCTATAATGACATTTAAGGGCCGTTTGAAGGATACTATTAAAATCAAGAACAAACTAATTAATACAGGCTATAAGCTATAATATATTAGTAATTATGGCTATATCTAGACTTAACTATTTCATTTAAGAGTAGAGGGCGTTAAGACGTTTTCAAAAGACTAATAAATACGCTAGCCTTAAAGCATTTAAATCATAGGCGAAACTATTGAAAAAAGCGCTCTTTTAACATCTATATTTGCTTTTATTTTATGACTTGCAAGCCAGCTATTAAAATAGCACTAATTCTGTATCTATCTTAATGATCTATTTCTTAATATACTTGTTATATAGTGTCTTTTAATAATAGAGATTTATTATATAGGTACTATTTACAAAAAGGCTATAGATATACTCCAACGTCTTTAAAGCTATCTTGATAATAATAATAATCTTTTATAAGATTCTATAATAATAGAAGTCATTAATAAGAATACTCTATACTTCGTTTGGCAAGATAACAAGTCTGTTATAGCTATTTTAATAGCTTATAGCATTTATCGCATAGAAGATCAAATTTAACGTCTCTGTAGATGCCCTAAAATCTCCTCTAAAAATATATATATTCTTAATCCTATATTTAAGGGCCAACTCTTTAAGGAACTCTTTATCCTAGTGGTTATTAATGATTACAACCACTATATAAAGGGCGTAGATTAAGCAGATGCCTTATAAACAAACTTTATGTATTATCAAAAACAGAATTATTATACTTAGTAGGCCTTATTCTACTTCCTTGTTGACGTTGTTTATATTAACGCGTTTTTGCTATAGAAATAGAGTTCTATATAATACGATTCAATAACTTACTGCGGCTATAGAGACTTTATAAACACCCTATATACTTAATTGCTATATTTGAATAATAAAACTAAGGAGGAAGAAAAATCATCTCTTCTACCCCCTATAATATTTTAACAATACTACAAATATATACAAAAGAAGTTCTACGGGCGGTGCTAATAGAGAAAGCTTTATCCGCCAGGCTATACACGTAAAAGAGCGCCTAAATGCAAATTTGGAACGGATATTACAGGGTCAGTTAATAATAGCATTTCTACAGCTATTTTAGGAGGCTTAAAGACCCATTACAAGTGCTTAAAATGCTACGTTTGGCTATGTATCAAAGGAGAATGCTGGGTAAACTATCACTACTTAATTGGAGTCAATTGCTAGATAATACACCCTCAATTCGCTCGAATAGGGCATTTGTTGACATTTTGACCTACCCCGCAGCAATCGACAGCGCTAATTAAGGCATTCTACACCCCTGCTTGCCCGCGGAGTGGATATGTGTGCAGCTCTCAATAGCTCAGATGACAATGTTGACATGATTGGTTCTACGAAACCGTCGTAGGACATCTAGTAGGGTTAGGAGACAGAATAATTAAGGTATAGGACGTAAGCACAGACAAGGTAATCTAAATATTAAAAGGCTACTCAGAGTAAGTCAGTACTATAACATTCTCGCCTAATAATAGGCTGATTATATTAGAGTCAGAGGACGAAATAATCAAGGTATAGAATATAAGCATAGGCAAGATAATTAAGATATTAAAAGGCTACTCAAGGTAAGTCAGTATTATAGCGTTCTCGCCTAATAATAAGCGGATTATATCAGGGTCAGGGGACAAAACAATTAAGTTATGGGACGTAAGCACAGGCAAGGTAATCAAGACGTTAAAAGGCCACTTAAGAACAGTTAGTGCTGTAGTATTCTTGCCTAATAGTAGGCAGATTGTGTTAGCAGGGTCAGGGAATAATATAATCAAGATATAGAACGTTAACTAATTTCTCAATTTATTAAAGTAGCTTAAGAACTCTATCAAACAGCATCTTAGATATAGCATATACTAAGAAATCAATACCTTGGACAGAGTGTTTAAACTACAATTCTCCACCAACAGTACTTCTCTTACAACAAACTATGGCTCCTTTATAGTTAACTCTACTATTAACTGACTGACCAAAGAAGTAAAAGCTATGTATAACCTCTATATATATAACTGGTGGATCTATTATAGGACGGCAGCTATCCTTTGGCTTCCCTCAGAATCTGGGGCACGATATTATAATATTAATAAAGATCAGCTTACTATAGGATGTAGAGACGGTCAAGTCTTGTTCTTCAATATTAATCGTGGAAGCTTGCGACTAGATATTAGTATATAGCTTTACCAGACCTAACTTCGGGTCGTATAATCCATGATAATGCTTTATTTCTGTAGGAGGACAATGACTACTACTTATTAACTAGCTTGTAAAAAGCCCGCCAGAGATCAACCCCTGAGAAAACGATCCGCCATCGCCGCCGGTAAGGACTTTGAATATATTTTCAGAAGGGCGCGTTAAGTTAGCAACTTGCAGTCTTATACGTAGCTATCTAGGATGAAAAGGAAATCAGCCCATAGAACCAAGAAATGATACAATCCGCATAGCCTGTTAACAGCATAAGTAGCATAGTAGAGGACGATTCAATTTACACTTGTGAGCGATTAGGCGAGGGTGTCCACGCAAATATAGAGGCCGCCATTCTCATGCTATATAACGTATTTATATGCTTAACTCCTAATACCTATAACGCCGCTTTTCTATGAAAGTGATTAGATAACAGAAATGTGATTGCAACGGCTTACCCTGCATAAACCTTGTAACCGACTAAACAATCCGACTTTGGGCCTACTATACAAGATGATGGGATTAAGGTAATAAAGTAGATCTCTATATAGCCCTAGCGAGACATTTCACCTACTAGCTCTATCACGCACCTATATTGTGTCTTATCGGACACATTCTGGGCCTTCTTGGTCATTGCTGCGCCGCTATCAAGTGAAATAGCTAATACCACAGCCTTTCATTATTAATCCTATCACAGCGTCACGTCAGCCGATATAGGGTCTCTAAGGATCGACATATCACAATCACCAAGGGGGAGAGGGAGAGGCCACGATACGGGATTCCGCCAAGATGTTGCCAGTGCCTCAGGCAAGGGAGATGTTAATTGAGGGGTCCTATAAAGAGGTGAGACACCGAGGGTAGAATGCCGATGTAGACGCCATCACACAGACCGCCTCAACAGCCAAGCCAATGGTTGGATCGACCGACCAGGAAAGCAACAAATGAGCTGTACGATCTTCCCACGGCCATGTCATGGTTTCAGATAGGTAGTATCTCTCTTGTAACTGCTACATGGCGTTGGCGACCGGCTGCGGCACCACATTCAAGATGGTTCGAGGGCCCTTCCTGGTTGGCTTCGTCGCAATGTCAGTTGGCCGGGGCCCCTATGCGAGGGATGAAGAAGTGATGCCACAGCGTTGTCGACGGCTGCGGTATTTTTCTGATTGGCAAGGTGATCTCGGGGCCAGATAGTTTGCGTCGCTTGTGTTAGCTGTCAGCGAGAAGTGAGCGGTGGTGAACCCGGCACCTCCGCAAGGACCGGAGACGCCTGGCCCAGTCGCTAGATAAGACCGTTGGCGTCATCGTCAGCATCATCGGTTAACATGGAAGATACAGGCGAATCACGAGGGTCGAACTCTGGCCGACATGGAGCTGGTGCCAGCCCGCGGCGGCTAGGAATGCCAGCCCCGGGGGCGCAGCCGCCAGCTGACACGGTTGGGGGACGGGCGGACAAAGCGGCGTGATGGTCGCCAGCTGACACGGTTGGGGGACGGGCGGACAAAGCGGCGTGATGGTCACTGGAGGTCGCATGTAGAGTCGGCGCTGTCGTGGTCGGGGGGGGGCGGTGACCAATATATAGACGAGCGACACGGCAATCGCCGAAAGATAAAAGCGGCAAGCGGTGACGGGCGGCGCCTGACCCGATGTGGTCTGGACACCCCCGGCACCCTGACGCAGAGTACGGAGTACTACTAGTACTACTAGTACTGGTGGGGAGAGTCAAAGGTCACGTGCCTCTTGTCACTAAGCATTAATGGGGGAGATTTCGCGCAAGATTACTAGGGGGTTAGCCTATGCTACCTTGGCTGGCGGCCTCGCGCAAAACAGGACGCACACAGGATTCATCGCCCCCAAAACCCTCCGAGGCCGCCTCCAGACCTTTAGCATCCCGTCGAACGAGATGATCAATGTAGGCGCTGCAGCGAGTTGGTTGCTCATGCTGTCGCGAAGCGGCCGCAGGCATGGCGCAGCCTCTCCCAGCTTGACTCAAGCAGACTGAACACATAGCCCAACTGCATCTTCAAGGAACTCACTCTCTCAAATTTTGCTGTTCAACCTACGTGTTGCCGATTTCTTATGTTCCTGCTTTCTCATCTGCCATGAGTATCACAACTGTACACCTTCATCATTCTCCCTCAGATGTCCCATTTATTCGCAGCCCTCCCTCTGAAGGATCACAGTCGGAAGCCAAAGAAGCTCGTGCCCAGGTAAGATGTATGAATCACCATGTTGTCGGCAAGAAATGGCGACCGTGGACCTTACATCCAGTCACTCTTTTGTCAACCGCATTGTTTACTCTCGGGATTATTGGCATTTTGGAGTTTCTCCAGCGATATAGTGACGCAAACCATGGGATCATCTTCGCAACTAAGAGGGATGCGTTCTCCACTGGGTGGAACTTTCTGTTCCTGACTTTTCCTACCTTGCTCGCTGTTGTGTACTCAACATGGTGGAGCTGGATCGATCTTGATGTCAAAAGGCTGCAGCCATGGTTTGAGTTGATTGGCAACAGGACAAAGAAAGCCTGCTGCTCACTCGTATTGGAATATCCGGTTGAGTTTCTTGCATGGGTACCAATTAGGGCCGCGAAAAGGAGGTAGGTATGGGTGATAAGCCACCCTGCTTGATAATCCAGCAACTGACCCGAGTCATCAGGCAATGGGCTGTCGTATCTGCGTCACTTACCATGGTCCTCGTGCTCTGGGTGGTGACTCCCCTCCAAAGCGGCATCTTCAACATAGGCCCAGTCACCACAACTCAGAATGTCTTTGTCTCACCACCAGCTCGCCTACTACCTCCATCACTGCAGTCCCGGTCCTTGGATGGTAGTCTTCTCAACACAGCATACGGTGTGACATGGCTTGGGCAGCAGCTACCGCCATTCACTCAGCCAGAATTCGCCCTTACTCCCTTCTCCTGGCGTGAGCCCCGGACACAAGGCGGCAATGTGACACTGGTCGCGAACACCACGCTGTATCGTGCGGATTTGGACTGTTTTGCTCCGGCCTCTGTTTTCTCTCCACCAAAGGCGGTTTCTGGGACTTTGGTGGTCGATGATGGCGAGGGTTGCAATGAAACGACGAGGGCCAACAACCAGAATGGCTTCGTGACATTGCTGTGTAAAAAATACTTCATTGTGTGGCAATATCCGCGGGCCTCAACCAACGAATCCCATCCGAAATTCACTGCCAGATTCTGTACGACAAGATACTATTCACAGCCTGTGCAAGCAAATGTGTCCATCCCCGACGCAAGGGTCCTAGAAACCATACCCCAGGGGCCAGAAACTGCCGTCCCTGACGATGTTTTCAATGCTACTCTTTTCGAGCTTGTTGTTACGAAAGGCTCCCCGCCAAACCCGCCCGGCTTTCCGACAAACTTCACATCTCTACAAGAAAAGGTGCCGCGCCCATTTGACGTGTCCGAAATCACTATGTTAAACCACGACTTCCGAGAGCGACAACGTGGGTATCCACCACTGGCTTCTATCCTGGCGGATATCGCAATTGGCAGCCACAATCTGACTTTCGATCGCTTTGTCACCGATACTGGAGCAATTGACGCTGCCTCTCGTAACGCTCAGCAATTGCTTTTTGCCCTTGCTATTAGCATGATGGCGGACGGTGAAGGAGAAGCTGGAAGTACTCATCCTGCTGTTATTACCTCTTCGCTTCAAGCCATACAGTTGGTCCGAGGTATTACATATTCTGTCCAGGCAGTTCTTGGGATGGTCGTCTTGCTAAATGTCCTCCTTGCGGGCTGGTATTACAAAAAGTTCTTGCCATTCGGATCTGGTCCAAACTCCATCGCGTTTCTGGTCGCCCTTGCATCACGCCATAACTTCCTCGAATACTTCAAGCCCTTGGACAGAGAACCAGACTTAGTATCACGTCTAAGATGCCGGCAAGCTACACTGCAAAATCACGGTGGATATCTGTCGTTATCGCTAGATTCTGTGGACGAACAAGATGCCGTGCAGGGATCGACTAAAGGGAGAGGACTTATCAAAGACAGGGCTCGAACGCAGGAGCAGGTCCACTTAAATTATGTGTGGCCAAGGGAGCTTAAGCTCTCAACTGGCTTTGGCTTTTTGTTGGTGCTGTGCCTTGCCTTAGCAGCGTTGATCTTCTTGGAGACATGGACGCGTGCCAACAAGGGACTCGCACTCCCGTCCAATAGGATCATTACCCAGCAGATCGTTCTTAATTACTTACCTACAGTAAGATTCGCTCTCAATCCTTTTCGCCTCCTGTGCTGTACCGACAGTTGACTAAGATAGTGACAGATCTTTGGCACTCTTATCGAGCCATTTCTCGTTGTTGTGTGCCGTTACCTCTGCTTCCTCCAGCCATTTGAAGACCTCCGAAACGGATCCGCAAAAGCGTCTCGGACCCTTCTGCAGAAATATACCTCCTTGCCTCCCCAACTCACTGCTGGCGCGGCCATTCGGCATGGACACTTTCGGCTCGCAAGCTTAAGCTTTACCACCATCCTAGCAAATATTCTAACCATAGCTTTAAGCGGTGTCTTTGTCATTCGGGAAACCGTAATACCTGTAGAGTTTGAAGCAGTCCAGGTTCACTCCCCCAGACTCAATCGTTCCATCGTTGACTCCCTGGGAAGCGTTGAATTCGGCGTCGCAAGCGGCAACGGGGAACCTATTCAGCTCTTACTATCAAACGTTACGGCAGGCACTTCCTTGCCACCCTGGACAACGAATGATCGATACTACCTCCCACTCAATATCACAGGTGCTCAGAATGATTCGTCGAACTACAACTTGTCCACTTTGGGATTCGAGGGCACCACCGATTGTACTGCTCTCACGGAGTCCTCAAGCAATTACACTTATGACTTCTCGCTCAATTCGGACGCAACACAGATAAGATTTCAGACAAGGGAGACTTTACCCAATGGCACAGAGGTTCAATGCTTTCCCCCAATGGGAATGGCCGACGGGACTGTGACGTTCTCTGATGGCAATCACCCTACCACCCAAATCTTCGCGTCTGGAAATTCTGCGGGCCGAAATGCAATTGACACTTTCATGACGCCAATCCCAGGTTTTAGCATTGTCGAATACAAGAATCGATTTGGATGTGCAGACCGCTTTGTAGGCTTCTGGGTGAGGGCAAACATCACGTTACACGACAAGCTCTCAATTGTCAACGGGCCCGCTCTCACTGAGAACCTTGGTTACACCACTGGTCCCTCAGCAAACACGACATCGGTTCATCTTGAGAAACTGGTTCTTGGCTGCAAGTTCAGCACTTACTCCGCCGTTTACAACCTCACAGTTGACCCAAGCGGCCAAGTCTTGAACGCTGTGGAATTGCCCAATTCAACCTTTGCAATGGATGATTCAATCGCAGATGTCTTCCGAGTGTTGAAGCGTGCTCTAGATTATCCTGGCGACTCGATCACGTGGCATAATGATACTCGTGCAAGAGATTGGGTGTCCTTTTTCATTTCAAAGATTGCTCAATCCGATTCTCTTCTTAACCCTGCTGACCCCTTGCCGGACGCCACTGAGCTTGGCTATCAAGTTAGCGATGTCATCAGACGTCTATTTGCTTTGACATTAGCAGTCAACAGCGACGCCTTTCTGAAGTTGTCTGAGCCTCTCCAGGTCGAAGGCCACAAACTTCTTGTTGTTAACCGCGTATTCCTCTCGGGTACAATGTACAAGATTGCAGTCGTCGTCCTTTGCATCGATATCGTCGTTATTCTGAACATCTATCTGCGGATACCGAAGCCGTTCTTGCCCCGGATGCCCACCAGCATAGCCAATAACGTCGCATTCTTCGCAGCCAGCCAGTTCGCTCAGGAGCTTGGAGAGGACACGGAGACATCTCTGCCGCCGGAAGAAATCGTGCGCCGGCTGCAGAAGAGTGATAAGAGATTTGGCTTTGGGAAGTTTGTGGGCACGGACGGTGCCGTCCATGTGGGCATTGAGAGGGAACCGTTGGTGCATTCCCTGGGGAACCTTCCAACGACAACAAGGCGCCGCTTGAGATGGAAATCAGGGCAAGTGTGAGTAAGGGGAACGTAGAGAGTGAACATGTGAAAGGGTTATATGTATCTGTGGCAGGTTTAGCTGCAGCCTCTCCCACAAAATGCCAACAGTACTGACCGAACCCACTACTGTACCTGTTTTCAAACATGCGAAGAAGCCGTGCCTCATCACTAATTAATAGTAGACCTCCGATAGCCTGGACAGAGCATCATTTACCCTCTCTAGGGTATACGCTCTCAGCACGTCAGTCCGGAGTCACAGGAAATGAAATGGTAGTTATGGTGCTCTGTGCAGCGGAGAGCAAATGGATAGGTGGGAGAGCAAGTGATGATGTGATGCCTATTTTGAGCGAGGAGAGGGTTTAACTGGGTAGGGAGAGGGCGACGGGAGATGTCTATACGCTTTTGTTCTGATAAGGTTGGCTTCTGAAGATGTGGAGGGTATACATGGATGGCAATGCGTCGAATGTGGTCAGCACTGACAATAAGTTCAGCTTCTAGATTGTCCTTGTTTTGGTGGAGGGGACAAGGAATGGAGAGCAGTAGGTAGAAGAAAGCATTCAACCGTAACAAAATTCACGGTGTCCCACGGGCTTCGGGGACCCCTTTGCACTATGACACCTTGTCATCAATTTCTCTTGTCCTGAGAATTTTTTGTTCCAGCGTCGGTTCCAGCGTCGGTTCGAGTCAGACAATGGATAATCTTGTAGCCGCCCCCGCGCTGACGGAGGTGACAGAAAGAGAGGTACGGATCACATGACCACAGGGTGCAACGGGTGTCAAAAGCGGTTGTTGTAGTCTAACACGAAGAATAAGCAAACTTGAGCAATGACTGTGCATTTCTGTTTCGAGCTCTCACGTGTTTGAGCAAGCGCTTTGAGTCTGGTGGGATACATGATGGCGATCCTTGATTATTGATTAGACAGGATGATCATTTTCCGAATGGACCCTTCACGAAGTGTCTGAGCTTGAATCCTGGGTTTCCAGTCCTGACCCTCAGAACCAGTTTTGATCTCGCTGGTATCTATTGTACTACGTAGAGAGTCAATGTGTCTACTAAGTGTTGCAACATTATGTAGCTCGATTATTGGTTTTCAAAAACTACTTAGGCGTCTCTCACGGTCAAAAGAAGCACCAGAACTAGCCCTGAACGGAAAAGAAGATTAAGTTGGTGCAAACCTGGATAATCCGAGGTGCAGAGCACTAAGGCGATGAACAAGCTTAAGAATTCAAGTGTAACGGTGCTGTTGCTACGCATCTGCTTAATTGGGTTGAACTCTACCTCCGTTCTACCTCAACGCGGACCTGGTTTCAAAGCAGTGCAACAGAAGGACCAAAACGATCAAAGGACTGGCCTCGCATGGGTTTCAGGTTGATGGCAGATTACGATGAAACCCTCAACGTTCCTCAAATCGCTTATTCATTTCTCATAAGCAAAAACTTTCTCTTCCCGTTTCCTCTTTATTTCAGTAATTAAGTAATCGCTTTCCAGTTTCCTCTATACAACATTCCTTTCATTTTATTGGAGTCAGGGATTCCCTTTTCACGTTCACTTTTGATCAAAAGATGTTTTGCAGGTCCGCTATTCTTGTTGCTATCGCCGTTGCCGACCTGGCTTTTAGTGCCACCATCGAGATCGTGGCCCAGGCGGCTTATGATAAACCGGATCCATTGGAGTTTGCTCCCAATGAAATCATCGCTGCGGTGGGTGATGTTCTTGAGTTCCACTTCGCCGGCCCTGGCACCGGCGTGCTGGGCAGCAACCACTCTGTCGCCCAGGGCGACTTCGAGAATCCATGCAACCCGGCACCTAACGGCTTCTTCTCTGGCTATATGGCTGTTAATGCAACGTCCACGGAGGCGGTATGTCGCACACTGACCCCGGAAGGCTTTTCAGCCGGTGGCAACTAATCATCTGAGTAGGACATGGTCTTTCGAGTTCCCGTCACATCGACCGACCCGATGGTCTTCTATTGCACCCAGGGCACGCATTGCACCCGAGGCATGCACGGCGTTGTCAATGGCGCCGACGATCAAACACTACAATCCTATCGTCGCAGCATCACCGTCAACAGAAACGCAGTGGCCCCGAACACCACCGGTGGCGGTGAGATGGTTCCGAACAATATCTCTAGAATTTTACCGGCGGAGACCCCTGGCGCGGCCTGCTCGGCCAAGGCTTCTCTCGTCTTGATTTTGGTTGGTCTTGGTCTTGCTCTGCTCATAGCTCAGTGAGTTGTGGTGGGAGAGATGACCCCGGTGGTCAATACCCTACCCGAGAAAGAGGACCGATGGCGGATGTAGTGATCCAGGCATTCTGCATTTTGTATCCATCGTATATTACAAGGGAACCACTTAGATTTGGCACCAGTCTTAATATTTCAAAACTTATTACCTACTGGCTCTGGGATGAATCAAACATATGAAGCAGCCACTTTAGATTGATGGGTCTGTCAATGCTGCCGATATGTTCTGATTGTTGAAGTGATGAGAGACCTCGTTCGTTCTAGATTTTATTTAGACTCTAATGGACTTGAAAGGGTAGAGCAGCTCTTGTCTCCTAGTTCTTGAACTCGTTTGGCCAAAAAGGTATAGTTCTAGCACTTAATGTAACAGATCAGATATGGAGCTATATGTAAGACTATAAACAAAGGTTGCTCCGGGTAGTGGTCGTCGAGGGAAGCTGTTGTAGAGGGTGAATGCAATGGGCAGAGGCCATCGCGTCTTTGTAGTTGAGACGAACTCTGTAACTTTTAAGTTAGTGATGCCGCTGACAAGGTGCGAGTCCAGTGCATTGAAGGGTGCGGTTTCTAGTGGTCGGAAAATCAGGAGTCTAGGAAAGGGGATAATTGATGGGTAGTTTTGAAGAATATGATGGTAGTAAAGTTGGACTGGGTGACAAAAAAAGCGGTAGCATGTCACATGACCCGTAGTGCAACAGACCCCGAAAGAGGCATCAAAAACGGCATCTAGAGTTGAGATGTAGTTTTTATATACTACATTGTCAAGACCTCAAGACAAGTTGTCAGCAGAGCTGGGACCGTGTCTCTTCAAGCAGTCATGCCGCCTCGATTACTGCCCATCGGTGGTGCACCGCCTTTCAATTGTATGCCTGAGCTCTGGTCAGAGGAGTTCGAGCTAACGCGATCCCATAGTACGAAGTCTGCTTCAGAGCCTGCCCGCGGCTGCGAGCTATGCAAAGAATGGAATCTGCGCATCTTGTTCCTATTCCTTCTCTGCCAAAGGGCCAATGACCTACAAGAAACAACACAAAAGCAAACTCAAGCCGCACCGCAACCCGTACCGAGACGCGCAGGCCAACCAGCGAAAGGCCGCAAATCAAGCCAGACAAAAGCTGCTGCAGGAACAACGTGCGAAAGCAATGGGAGACCCTATCCGATCACTTCCAACGCCTTTCATCGAGTCATTGTCGACCGGTCGAATGCCTGATGAGCCAGCAGAGGAAGAGCTCAGAAATTACTTCCTTGGCCCAGACGAGCTTCCAAGTTCCCTGGAGTACTCGAAGAAGCTCTCAGCACCGTATATACCTAAAGCTGAAGAGACAGCGCAATCGGCTGAAGCCTCTCCATCACCTCTAGCCTGGGCTGTACCGCCGCCAGCTCCAGATTCCTCAACCAAAGAACTATCATCACTATCATCATCCACAGACCCTCCTATCCTCCCAATCGAGCGCGGAGATACCAGCCTCCCCCAGCCCAGAACATTCCCCGTCGACAATCCGTATACCCGCTCCTATTCAGTTCCCGCACAACCAACCGCCAAAGAACTCGTCAACCTCCATGAAGCCGCGCACAGAAACGCTACTCGCGCTTTGACTTTAATCTCCTCCCTGACCAATGGCTCCTCTTCTGACTTTACCCGCCACAACGTGCAACGATGTATATCCACCTTCGGTCGCCATAACACCGACGCCTACCTCCCGCCTCGTCCCACCAGCATTTACAACACCAACCCATCCCCACCCAAACTCCGCGCCGGACCCGACACCGGCTCTTCGGAGGTGCAGGTTGCCATTTTGACGACCAAGATCAACGTGCTAGCGGATAACCTGCACAAAAATGATAAGCACAACAAGCGGAGTCTGAGACTGTTGGTGCATCGAAGGCAGAAATTGTTGGCGTATTTGCAGAGGCGGGAAAGAGGAAGCGCCAGGTGGAAGAACTTGGTTGAAAATCTGGGAATTCAGGATGCGATGTGGAAGGGGGAGATTAGTCTGTGATTTGTTTGTAAGACAACACGATGAGAGAGGGTGTCTATTTGATAGTAGGACTTTGTTATGTGATCAGGAGGGGCCTACCATTGAACCCAATTGGTCTTCTCCAGCACGTAAGGAGTTTACATGTAGGGCCGTCGAGCCAGCTCTGCAACAACAGTACAATTCCAGTAAAAGCTCGAGTGTAGAAGCTCAATTGCTCCAACAAGCTTCAGTTACCTTTCATGCCAAGCAATTGATCGGCCTTGCCCAGCTGAGGACTCCGACCTCAACTTTCCTCCGAAGTTGGGACGATAGCAGCAAGCTGCCCGGCCGAGTTTTTGCTCTGCTCTGCTCTGCTCTACCTCAAGCCCAGCACGCCCTCCGAGCCTGGCCATCGAACCGAATTGAATGGACGACGGGCCCATCGTGAGCATTCTCCTCCTGGGCAATGCCAACTGCGGAAAGAGCACCTTCCTGAGGTCTGTCAACCCAAATCTCCCTTTCCCCCCAACCCAATCTCCCTCCCTCGCACCCAACCCCAACCACTCAACCCCACATGACCACAGGGTGCAACGGGTGTCAAAAGCGGTTGTTGTAGTCTAACACGAAGAATAAGCAAACTTGAGCAATGACTGTGCATTTCTGTTTCGAGCTCTCACGTGTTTGAGCAAGCGCTTTGAGTCTGGTGGGATACATGATGGCGATCCTTGATTATTGATTAGACAGGATGAGAGGGCGAGGGCGTGGGCGTGGTGGTGGATCCGATGGAGGTATGTACATACCCCCTACCTACCTCCGGCTATGTCATGCCTGTGCTTTCTGTTCCTTCCTGGCGGGCGGCATGGAAGGGGGTGAATAGACGGGATGGGATGGGATGGCTGCTGAGCGACGAGAGAATAGGGGTATCGTGTCGCGCAGGAGATGCGCTGTGATCGTTACGCCGAGTGTTCCGCCCGCACGGGGGAGTTGATGCACGAGGTCATTGAAGATATCGCGCGCGTCGCGGCGTTGACCACGACGGAGAAGGGAGGCCAGAGCGAGGGGCCTGCTTGTTCGGTACTGTAAGAACGAATACCCTGTTCACTGTAAGCGGCTCTTCCAATCACTCCTCTCTGCCTCTCTCTCTCTATCCTATCTCTGCATTCCGTGCCAAAAGCCCCCAAAAAAGAGTAAAAGTAGAGAAGAAAAAATTAACTCCCTGACGCGGGTTCGAACCCATGTCCTACTAACTAGTGCTAATCTCATTTGTTTTCGGCAAAAAGTTCGCATCAGTCCTTCTCCACTCTCTACGCCCGAGGGTTGAGTAGATACTGGAAGGAGAGAAAGACATTCATCTGCTATGAAAACTTAGCTAGCTAATCCAGATTAGCCAGCCGGTTTTACCGCCTGCCGTTGGACCACAAAGAGTTTGCGTGGGACGACGGGGGAAAAGTGCGGAATAATATAATATATATACACCTTAATCAACCACGTGTGCAGATCTGGTCGGTGTGTTTTCTTCCTTTGTCTTTGGTCTACGCTTGGCATGGAAAAGATTTGGGAAGAGAAATTGGGAAGAGCGGGTTGTTGGCATCTACCACCAGCAGGTCATCGATGTGCTATCCCTAGCAATGGGTCCGTGCCTGCTGCTACTTGTGGTCCAGATGTGTCAAGATCTGGCGAATATATACTGTACTTATGATCGAGTTCGCTATCCAGAGGGTGCTAGCTACCTGGGAAGACAAATTCTGTGCCAATACCAACGGAAGCAAAGTGGACCCCCTTTTCCAGAAGAGCAATACGCTTCCGCAGCCCATCAAGCGACTGGTAGATCTTATCATTGCCCCCGCAGAGACCGATTGCACTCTTCGCACTGAGCTACTCGCTATCAGACTGCAAACACACCTCTACGCGTAGCTCCAGAGCGCGAAACAACAGGGACCACACCCTGAGTGTCAGTGTCGAAGGGAGCGTATTGACCCCATGCACTCACTGGGCGGCTTTCCGAGGCATTGATGCCGATGCTGATCCAACCCAGAATGCCATCAGTCACACGTTCACCCAGAAGAACGTATTCCATCATCGGATCTGAACTACGAGCCTCAGTGGCAAGGATTGCGTCTTCGGCGTTCGTCGTGAGGTCTTGGGTATTGGCGGTATAAGGTGGGATGGTTTCCACTTCGGCTTGTAAGCTTTGGTCGAAGAACATCTGGCCTGAATGGGAAGATGTAAGACCGGAAACCGTGTTGTTATTGAGCAATGTGGTAGCATCCTCAACAAGAGTCAGGAGGTGGATGTGATTGGTTCGTCCTACCCAAAATCAGCAAGAGCTCGGTAGGCCGTGAAATCTGTCGATACATACCAGCGTAATGTCCTGGAAAGATGGTATCAAACTGTACAACACCCATGTCGTCAGTCTTTTGAAGCCCTCGAAATGCCGTGTTGTTGACATTGTTATTGTCAGAAAAGACGCCATTGCCGGCTGCGATAATGCCGCTGTAGACACCAGTTGCGTTGCAGTGCCAGATATCGACATACACACCATCTACCGGCTCGCAAGTCGTCACGTCAATGATTTGCATGTCGAGAGCTAGTGGGACACCTTCTTCGCCATTGGTGATGTTCCTACGGATTAGCTCGCCGCTGACATAGAAAGGACCTTCAGTGACCTCCGGCTGAAGAATGCAGGAAGAGTTGTCAGAGAATATGTCCTGCAGCGGAGTGACCAGGTTGATGCTTGTATCGTTTGAGCGATGAGATTGGCTCAACACAGAATCGAGATCGCGGGCTTTGAGAAAAGGATGATCATCAAGACCACGAGTCCGTCGGAGTTCGTGAGCCAGATGCTGACGCCGCTTCAAGCTGGCTGCTTCATGACCACGAGATTTGAGTCTTGCCGTACAGTGAGAAAGTGAGCGAGTGTTGTGCTTCAGATATTCTGAACGCTCAGCTGCTTCCACTTGGTGATCGTGTCCTGGGTGAGCCCACGAAATGTTGAAGTAGGCCAGGAAGAGGACCAAGATGATGCGGACGGTGGGGAACATCTTGAGCTATGATATGATGAGGTGAATGGATGTGTGCAGAAAGTATCTGTACGTAATAGTGATGGTGAAGCGGCAGGAGATGAATGTAATCTAAAACATACCGATCTAGAGCTGTTGATGGTACAGCGAAGGAGGGGTAACGAAGAGCATATAGAACAGAATCGTAGTGAAGGAGACTAGAGCATAGTGACCAGAATCGTTTCCAAAGATACATGGCATAAGTATCCCTAGCACGGCGCTAGTATTTGCCACCAACACGATGGATACAGGTAGTCCTGTCGATCTTGTACGACCATCCCTGTTAGTAAAACAAACAAACTAATCCAAATTAGGGTATCTCTGGGCACCTTATCCTCGCTACGGCAAGGCGTTAATACGTGGCGTTGTAACTTTACAGGGTCAATCTAGCGCCGTGCTAGCGATACTTACTACGGCTACAGGCCTAAATAATGTACCCCCCCCCTGGTGAAAACGCTAGTATCCGTACAAAACCTGCTATGCAGAATTAAGTATAGATATACATAAAATCGCCCAATTAGGACTAGTCTCTAAAATCGAGTTTGCTTTCCATTGGCATCTATAACTGCTTGACATCTCTCTCGCATTGATTCAAGCAACTCCTTAAGATATTCAGGGGGCACAGCATCCCATGCAGTATTAACAGCTGTTCGTAGCTCATCGTACTTATGAAGGGTATCTCCATAGCGCTCTTGTATCCAATCCTTCATCCAATTCCATACCATCTCAATTGGATTCAAATCAGGCGAATATGCAGGCCATTGAATGCAGGGTATACCACGTTGGCGAAGATCTCGAATAGTGCCCTTAGCAGCATGAGCAGGAGCAGAATCTTGCATAAACGTCAAATCTCCATTTGTACGTATCCAATTATCAATAATAGGGATAATATGCTCTTAATATGTTGCTTCTTTAATACCCCCCCATTCTTTCTCCCAAAATACACCAGGGCCCTTCTTATCACCATAGAAACAGCCCCAAAACATCCAACCTTTACGTCATTGATAACGTTCAACAATACATGTAGGATCCCACTCCTCACCAGGTCGACGTGTAACATACGTCTTTGTATGTTGATCCCCATTAACCCATGTTTCGTCGCTCTATAGTATCTTCTCCTATTGCTTATACGTCCAATTGACGTGTTCGTGAGCCTATTGTAAACGCGTTTGTTGATTCTTCTTAGAAATAGGGGGTTTACGACGAGCAACTTGACGTGAGAATCCTGCTCTTCGTAAAGCATTTTGAATAGCGTACCATCTAATATTAATCTTCATAGCAAGAGGGATTTGTATACATAATGTACGTCGATTTGCTGCAGAAGAACAAATCCACATGATAATTTGTTCAAGTTCTTCGTCTGTAATTATTGAATGTCTGCCAGGGCGCTTTTTAGGCGTTAATCGATTATGTATAGCATATTTAATTTGACGTCGTGTAAGATTTGGTAGCTGCTGAATAATTTCGTTGTACGTATGCCCTGCGTTATGTAACGTTTGAATTTGCAAACGTTGATCTAAATGCGTAGAATTCGAACGTGCAGAATTCGTAGAATGCGCAGATTTCGAACGCGCAGAAATGCGTAGAATTCGAACGTGCAGAATTCGTGGTAGATAGAGATAGGGATGCTAGCAAGGGTGCGTATGTAAAGTAGGCGTTTTGTAACAAATTTTGACCGGGGGGGTACATTATTTAGGCCTGTAGCCGTAGTATGCCTCTCCCCGTAGTAAGTTCACGAGCCAAGGGCTGAGGAGAGATCTTATGTTCAGCAGACCTGTGAACGTGACAAGTGAAAATTGATAAGTAAGCTTGAGGTCAGCGGAAAGCCTGGCTCTAGTCCAGTATTAGCGAGCTCAAAAGATAGTTCAGGCATTCCAGGCATTGTGTAAAAGACTGTCAATCTGGTCCTGGGAACGGACTATTCGCCTAAGGTGAAGTTGCGTGTCACTGACACTTCAAGTTCACTTATAGCTTAGCCTCCTGTACGATTCGCGCTGATTGTCCCTCTTTGTTTTGAAAACTTCGACATCCACACCACTCTGAGGAGAGGTAGAGACAGTTGCATGGAAAGACTTGAACAGAGGCAGGTATTGCAAGCCAAAATCAATGGGCGGCATTTATCGCGAATCTCTATATTTTCCAAGCCTCTTTAGGCCGTTTCGCGTCTCGTCTGCAACTCTAAAGGGCTGTGGTTGGAGCCAGGAACACCCAGAGCTTAGAACCTGAGAGACGTCTTCGGGAAGAAACATCAATTACGCGGATCCGAAGCCTTGCATGGAGAAGCTCACGGACCACTCCTGTAGGGCCCCCCAACATGCACAATCATTTTGGTCCTTGACCCAAGAAATTGGGCCGCGCATTGAACATGTTGACGTCCAATCAGCGCAGGAGCCTTCGCGAAAGGTAAATCAGATTTGCCTGACCCTGCCGCCTGATGGACAGCACAAGTGCCCCTAAATTGCCCTTAGTAAGTGGAATTCAGCCGTAAATTGTTCTCATCATACTTCAAGATCCATTGGACAAGCTGACTATAGCTTCTGTACTCCGTATTAGAGCCGGACATTCGATTTAGCACCATCAGCCTACTACTAGTAGTAGGATGAACATCGAAGAGGTAAGGCGAGTCGCGGGCGGAATGTCTTGGCATATAACTGAATCGTGTCGGAAATTTTTGTGAAATGCGCTGCCGTGTCTTCCTCCACCCACGAACCACAGAAGAGCTTCATGAGACCTTCACTTCCGCGGACGCCAGTCCACCTGTCCCTCGTATTCGGCGACATCAAGCGTGCTCTCACACCCCTGGGACTTTGCTTGCGGCAGCGCTCAAACTGGTATAGCACAACTTGCGCTGTGCGCTCACCACGCAGCGCCATGAGCGCTCAGAAGACCACCGACTACACTTCATGGACAAATGCAGATCTAATAGCCCGCGTTGCTGACCTTGAGCGCCAGCTGCGGCAGCAGAATGCTCAGATACTAGCTCGCTCGACATCTCCCAAACGCAGACGCATTCGGACTCAACGCGCCAACGTGTTCGACGCAACCAAGTACTCCACAAGACACATCGCACTTAAAATCGCATACCTCGGACAAAAATACAACGGCTATGAGCACGCGAACAATAACATCACGCCCTTGCCTACAATCGAAGAAGTGTTGTGGAAAGCGTTAAGGAAGGCACGCCTAATTTCACCTACGAGTGACGAAGGTACTGAGGTTGTATGGTCTTATGCGGAGCGCTCCCGTAGGCCACTCAATATTAATTGGGATGGCTGTCAGTACAGTAAAGGTGGGCGCACGGATAAAGGAGTAAGTGCATTTGGTCAAGTGATAGGCATTCGGGTACGGAGTAATCGGCCAACGATCGAAAGACCACGTGAAGCCTCCACAAATATCGAGATAGATGACGAAACTGTCAATAGCGACCTCGTAGCTTCAAGTGAGCTCCCAGCGGTTGGTGTTGACGACCTTGGGCATGATGTAAAACCTTCCTTTGACCCAATCAAGGATGAATTGCCATACATCTCAATCTTGAATTCCCTTCTGCCATCAGACATCCGAGTACTGGCCTGGTGCCCTGAGCCACCAGACGACTTTGATGCACGTTTCTCTTGTGGAGAGAGGCAGTATAAATACTTCTTTACCAACCCAGCTTTCTTGCCAACACCTGGCCCGATCGGGCTGAAAGATGCCAGCGGACATGAAACTGATCTGAGAGAAGGTTGGCTGGACGTGGATGCTATGAGGACGGCTGCGAAGAAGTTGGTGGGCCTTCATGACTTTCGAAATTTCTGCCGAGTCGACGCAAGCAAGCAGTTGACGACATTCGAGAGAAGGATTACACATGTTGATGTTGAGGAAGTCAAACAACAAAGTGGTCCAGTCGCGTTCTTCGAGCAACCGCAGCTAGCAAAGCACACTAATCCGACACACCTTAAGCCGGGTGCCTTGCCAACTTCTGGCCCTAAAGTTTATAGCTTCACCGTGCATGGCTCGGCTTTTCTATGGCATCAAGTTCGCCACATGGTCGCAGTGTTATTTCTGGTTGGACAAAGGTTAGAGTCGCCCTCGATCGTTGACGAGCTGCTGGACATTGAAAACAACCGAAGTCGACCTACATATGATATGGCTTCCGATGCTCCTCTGGTACTATGGGACTGCATTTTTCCAATTGATAAAGTTCAAAGCCAGGATGATGGGCTAGAATGGATTTACGCAGGGGATGCCAGAAATTTGGAGGGCTTAACCACTAAAGGCGATGGTAAGTTCGGTCTAGGAGGCATCGTCGACGAAGTGTGGTCCAACTGGCGGAAGCACAAGATAGACGAGACGTTGGCCAGCGCCCTGTTAGATCGTGTTGTATGTCAGGGTGATCAGAGTGCACTCCAACGTGGAGGCTTCAGAGACCTGGAAACAAGGACCTACCGCAGTCAAAAATTATTCGATGGTAGTGAGACTGCGAGGATGGCAGGCAAGTACGTACCAGTCATGGAGAAGCCCAAGATGGAGACGATCGATATCCAGAATGCTAGATATCGTACCGGCAAAGGGAGCAGACAAGACACACGTAGAGCTCAGGAGCTCAATAAGGACGATTAAGGAATTTGGAACGCAAATTACCCTCGACCTTCATAGAGACATTTTCGAGCACCTCTCCAGACCTCTTCGAGGATCTGGCGTCTGGGCAGTAGTTGCTGGACAGCTTAGCATTTGCCCAATTGGTCTGGGGAGAAATCCATCATACTGGGAATACTACAACAACCTCGGTTGCGCCTTCAACTATGATAGCAAGATAGAACCTAACCTCGAGACCTTTGAAAGCTTCGTGAATGACAATGTCCTGGATTTGTGTCGTAGGTATGAACCTGGTGGTTGAGGTGGACAGATACGTTGGTGAGGAAGTGGAGGTTTGTACTCCAAGTCCACGAAGAACCAAGAGTGTCTCCTCTAAGGCATATTAGGCACGAAGCAACGGTGGCTGGCACTGCCTGCAACCTCACCTGTATAACCTTTTCTGAGACAGAAGTAGAGAACAAGAAAGCTGCCAGTAGCCACAAGTCTCCAATCCACATGCTTTAGTACTTCTATGGTCAATCTTCCCGCGGCAAAATCGTAGAGATTGATGAATTCAATGGGCCATCCTTTGACAAGAGATTGTAACTTCACGATATCGATAGTAAGGACCAAAAGACAAAGGAGGATCCGGGAAACATTGCCGAGTGCAAACAGGATCTTTGATGGTCGGGTCGAGCGATGTAAAGCATTTGAGACTGTGTAGGAAATTGTGGTGTTTGAGGGCGAGTATATCACCAGATGCGGCGAAGCAGATCTGAACATTCTTACGAAGCTTACAGTAAGAAGAGCAACTTGTTTCGCCAAAATTGGTGGAACGATATTCAAACCCAGCCTTAAATCCTACGTTAGTAAGTACTAACTAGTAAGTTAGTAGTAGGGGTGAGCCCGATGCTAAGAATCTGTCCAAAGACTCTCCACTGTAAATTGACCTTATCTGGCTGTACCACATGTTAAAAAAAGGCGTCTTGGTCTACGCATATATTGTGCGTCCCAAAAGTGTTGCAATTGAATTGCAACACTTTTGGGACGCACAATACTCTAATAGCCTTCCTATTTGAATCGTTTGTTCTAGCCTTTTCTCCTCGAAGCATCAGGTTATATCCATTTTTACTACCATTTCTACTTGATTTACTATTTAGCATCGAGAGATTCCCTGAATGGTGAACCCTTGCACGCTGCTCTCCTTGTGTTCCGTGTGTCCCAGTCGACCTGCTCTCGTCGACCTGCCCTCAGACGCCTCGCACTAGGTTTTATCAACCAGAGAAGCTCGAATTCTTTGATCAGCGTGGTCCAACCCTGATTTCACTGCTGGATAATGGTTTGCTAGATAAAGAGGGCTGGGGGGGCGTTGGTGACTTGAAATCCCGGGACGAAGGCTCTTAACTGGACAGATCAATTTCCAGAATTCGAGCATGTCTTCCCACATATGCCGATACAATTTCCTCGGTGTCGGTCATGGAAGGATCGCTCTGGCCCCTCCTGTGCTTATATCTTCCGTTGGCTAACTCGCATTCGCGAGTAAACTGTTGTCATCCAGGTCTTCGGCGACAAGGCCGAAACTCATTTCCCAAAACAGAAGTATTTGACTAGGATGGCAAACAATGGCCTCGTCAAGAAACTTTGACATATAGGCATGTAAAAGTAAACACGACCAGTTTAGCACCGTGATCACCATCAAGTGCGATTGACAATCCTGTCTAGAGAATATCCTGACTTCTCACTGGTCATCTGGTGGTCTGTTAATATTGTTCCCAGTGATAACAGGGGTAAGAAGTGTGATAGACAAGGTATGCTATGCAGCCGAGTTATATGAGGGCGGTAGTTGTTGCAGAAATCAACCCGTCATAGGGGTATGCGAGACCTGTTTGACACGTGGATATGTTGTCTAGCGTCCCCATTTCACTAGGGTGGAGGGCGTGAATGATGTTCCCACATCTCCCTAGCTTTGGATCCAGCACATCATATTCATTTGCATAAAGTAGGCAAGCTGCCATCTTCGTCATGGAAAGGATGCGTAGTCACGAATGCTGCCTCAATCGAGGACGAGAATTCGTAGACTGAAGGCCATCTGGCTGTTCGGCTAATTGCGGTAAATCTTCTCCGTGTGTACGTAGTAAATACTGGAAAGCTGTGTGCCAAGAGTACTCCGTGCTACATACTAGAAGTGGTGCAGTCATTGCCAACTCAGCAGACAGCCTTAAGATTTGTGAGACCTCTTCACCGACATATATTCAGCCAACATGCCTCGAGAGGGCTCGCAGTCACCCTCTTCAGATCGACCAATATCCCCAACCCGAGAGGAGAGAAGGCGCAGTCGGTCGCCGCGCCGAGAAGGAAACCGTCGTCGGCTGAATGGAGGTTTCAAATGGAAGGAAAAGCGGCGGACGGATGAGGGAGAACAGAGTAGGAACAGAAATGGTCGTTTAGACAGGGGCTACAAGGACCATTACCGCGCTCGATCACCTCAGCGGAATCGAGACCAAGACGATCCTGACCAGCAGTCAAATAAGGATACAGAGCTACCATCAAAGGAGAAGAAGGAAAGGAAAGAGAAAAAACAGAAGAAGACGACAGCTATACCAGCAGCAGGAGAAGCCATGATCATCGTCAACGTCAACGATCGGTTGGGTACAAAAGCTGCAATTCCATGTTACGCATCAGATCCGATCAGTCAGTGTTCATGATTCCCATAACAAACTACACCAGGCTGACAACTACACAGAACTCTTCAAGGCTCAAGTAGCAGCCAAGATAGGGCGCGAACCTCACGAAATACTGCTTAAGCGGCAGGGGGAGCGGCCTTTCAAGGATCAGCTTACTTTGGAAGACTATGGGGTAAGCAACGGAGTACAATTGGATCTGTCAGTCACTCCCTTCTTGAATTCGACGAGCAAAATACTAATAAAACCTTCAGGGAAGTGGATACTGGCGATTGAACATTCTATGCAGGATCTTCCCATGCTTTCCTTCGTGCTTCCTCATCCTTGTATTTACAGGCGTGAGCATCGAAGGCGGGGTTTTGAATGTCATGATACCCGAAACTTTATCAGCTATGAATTTAGGTCGATTGTTAGCAATCATCCCTATTCTCCCATATTTCTCAAAAGCTCACAGCCTAACTGGGCAAGATCTGATCGCAAGCTCCCCTTAGTGTCGATCCGGCTGGATGGCGTGCGGGGCGCGGTACACACTCCGCGCAGTTGATTTTTCCACGTGGTATCATAACTTTTTTTTGACACATGGTCCTGTGTCACAATTACGACCATCGCAAACATTGCTTTGCAAACCTCCGAAAACACTGACGCTGCCCTCAATCCCGGCAGGCATTCTTTTACCAGCAGCAAATATGCTTTGACAACCGTATTCCTTCCAAGTCGGCTTGCCGAGTCTTCCTCCCTTGCCTTCACTCTCAACAACAGCAGATAACACAACACTTTTTTGAATAAGCAAAATCTGATACATGGTAGATAAACTGCAGAAATGGTCCGCAATATCGTCGTTCTTGGTGGTTCGTCGCATCCTCAGCTCAACGAGTCGATCTGCGAGATCTTAGGCATCCCGCAAGGTAACGCGATCCTTTCAAAGTTCTCAATAGGAGAGACTCGTGTCGAGATTGGAGAATCAGTTCGTGGAAAAGATGTCTACATCATACAATCCGGCGGAGGAAAGGTCAATGACCACTTGATGGAATTACTCATCACAATTTCAGCCTGCAAGACGGCATCGGCGAAGAAAGTCACGGCGGTGCTTCCACTCTTCCCTTACTCTCGGCAAAGTGACGTCCCTTACAACAAGACCGGTGCTCCGTTGGTCAAATCCTCGACCCAATTCAACAAGCCAGACCTTGCAGACAACGGCTACACCTTTGAAAGCACCCCACCAACACCTCACCCAGACAAACCATGGAGTCGAGGACTCACAAACGGTATAGATGGACTGCACAAATCTCTAGCCAAAGTACACATCGATGACTATGAGATCAGCCCAACGACTCATACGGCACGTTATGCGCAATACAGCAATGGCGTTACGTCTCATCCTAAACGTAGCGATACCTCTGAGTCTTCGAAGAGTGGTGACTACTTCCTTCGCCAGCAAGCCTCTTCCCACGGCTCTCTCACCAACGGCGTCAACGATGACAACGCTTCAGTCACTTCGGAGAGTCTCCAAAGCGCATTTAAACCAAGCCCAGGATATAAACAATGGGTAGCACAAGCTGGGACACTAGTCGCGGATCTCCTGACCTGTGCTGGTGCGGATCATATCATCACCATGGATCTACATGACCCTCAGTACCAAGGCTTCTTCGACATTCCAGTGGACAACCTTTACGGCCGACCCCTGCTGAAGAGATACATACAGCAACACATTCCGGACTTTAAACAGTGTGTCATCGTCAGCCCTGACGCAGGAGGAGCAAAACGTGCAACCGCCATTGCAGACTCCTTGGGCACGGAATTTGCTTTGATTCACAAGGTACACCTCACATAGAGGTCCCTGTGGCCTATCACTAACGAATCTGTGTTCAAGGAACGCCGTCCCACCAAGATCACAGATCGACAAAACGCCACCATGATGCTTGTGGGAGAAGTGGCAGGCAAAACTGCCATATTGATCGACGACCTTGCCGACACATCCAACACAATCACCAGAGCTGCCAAGCTGCTGAAGAAGGAGGGTGCCTCGAAAGTGTACGCTCTGGTCACGCATGGCGTGTTAAGTGGCGATGCCATCGAGCGCATCAATGCTAGCGCTCTGGATCGTGTGGTTGTGACGAACTCCATCGATCAGAGAGAGCACAGGCTAAAATGCCCGAAGCTTGAAGTCTTGGAGGTTGGGCACGTTTTTGCCGAGGCAAGTCAACTCAATTCCATATCAAGGGGGCATAACACTGATATCAACGCTGTTAGGCCATTCGCCGCGTTCACTACGGCGAAAGTATCAGTGTGCTCTTCCAGTACGACTGATCGGCTTCGCTTCGATCGGACCGGAGCTGGCGTAGGGAACAAGGATTTTCAGTTCTCAAAATTTCAAAAAGGTGAGCAGGCGGGTAATCTGATAGGAGTGTCTTGCCTTTTTTCTTTGGGCTTCAAAAGCGTAGAATTCAAATCATAAACATATGAATATGTATATGTATGAGCATCAAAACCTCAGAACCAAGCGCTGGAGAGGTCGGTCCTGGTTGGGATAGAGATATGTAAGGAACATCTCAGTTGATGATGTATCATTGCGGAAATCGATCTCAATCCATCCGGATTACGTGTGGAATAGAGGTGCAAAACCATTTAATCTACCAGCGTCGATACTGAGACCCGGGGTGGGCTTCTAGATAGTAAGGATACAAGATGGATATTATTGCAATAACAATCAAAAGACTGTGATATAGTTCCCTATTCTATCCTTCTGGTTCTGGGCAATGCATTCCGCGATCCATGTGATGTTGCGTATTTCCTGTAGAAGGTTAGGATTCAGACCTTGTTTTTCATGTTGTCGCGTCAATCCGGCGGGACGTACCTGTTCTCTCAGCTTGACCCATGCGTATATGACAGCATGGGTGAACTGGTGGGTAAAGACCAGCTTCGACAGCTCCATTTCCTTCTGGTAGAACAAGTCTTCGAGGCTCTTGCCTTCGTTTGCACTGCCTCCCGCCATGTTGCCGGCGCCGACCCCTCCGCTCTGATTCATCTGGTCGAAGAAGCTCTTGTAATCCCCCACGCCACTAACTGCCAGCCCTACACTTTCAATATCGTCGGCGCGTGAGAGCATCAGTGAGCCCTCGGGGTAGAGCTTGCCGAACTGCGGATACAGCTTTTGTCGCTCGGACTTGGATAGTTCGGTTCCGAACGAGTTGATGGTGATGTTGATGGCTCTTCGGTCGGCTTCGAATTCTAGGACCCCCGACATCACTTCGGCGGTCGGTGTGCCGCGCATGTCAGGGTGGTTGTTGACGAAATGATAGAAGTCTTCCAGGTAGTTTTTGTATAAAGTATTCCGCACGATTTCGATGTTGAGTTCGTCCAGATCTTGATGGCTTAGACTACCTTTGAAGTAGGGTGCTAATGGTGTTTCAATGAGGACGGAGTTATATAATTCTTCGATGTTGGTTGCGACGCAGAGTACGGGCAGTGTTTCGAACCAGCCAAGTGGATGACACCGTTCTAGCAGTTCTCTCGTGTCTCTTTCGTGTAGTGTGCCAGTGATGAGGAGAGCGACGTTGTCGATCATGTATCCGTAGGTTAGGTATTCCATAAACTTGGCCAATGATCCCGTCGCTTGCGCCTGTAGGTATCGAAAATCTGCAACAAGCTTCTCTGTCGTCTTGTTGGCTAATGATGAGGTTGACGGGTTAGGAGGAAGGGCGGCGAGGGTATCACCGTAGGCAGGACCAAGCTGTAGCTTCACATCTACATAATGTAAGCCGTCCTCACTACTGACCAAAGACTCCGCATCATACCATCGATAGATTCGCACTGGGTCAGGTTCGAGTAGTTCTGCGCAGTGAGTAGAGTGTTGCGGTAGCCTCTGACAATGCCCTCGACAAAGCTTTTACGGTCAGTCCATGCCAGCTACATTCTGGTTGATAGACCTACCCGCCATTGACATTGTAGAACATGCCCTCCATCTTGCCGGGGATTGGGAGGAAGAAAGCGCTATGTGGATTGCAGTAAACCCCAACCTCGAGATGGATGAAGCTCTGATGCAGGACGCCATCTCGGAGAAAACGCTAGTCCCAAAAGGTGGCCACTAATGAATTTGACTTGACCTGACAAAAATCCTCCAAAAAGTTGGAGATCGCGAACATAGTTTCAAGATCAATTGTATCACTTTGATAGATTGTACAGTACCTTCTTCACCCACCAAAGACTGCACCCTAGCTTCCAGAGAAGCAGCTAGGTGGTGGTCTCAAAATGACCTTGTTCATTTTGACCGAGACCAGTGCTGGCTATGCTCTCCTCAAGGCGAAAGACAAGAAGCTTCTCAAGCGAGATGACTTAGCTTCCGAGACAGAGTCTGCGGAGGGTATATGTAGCCTGTATGTCCTTTACAAGTCTGGTCAATCTGTACTCTGAAGAGCTTGCTAAACATCCTTTTCCAGGCTAAAATTGAAAGACTTCCAAAAATTCGACAGCGCAGCAACAGCTCTCGAAGAGATCGCAGCTGTGGTGGAGGGAAAAGTAACATCAAGATTGACTTCATTGTTGGATTCGATCAAGGATGAAAAGAAGGTTTCCCTTGCTGTGGCTGACCCGAAATTGGGAAATGCCATTGGCAAAATACCGGGACTCGAACTCAAAGCTATCGCCGACTCCACAACGCAAGACCTTTACCGAGCTATTCGCAATCATCTACCATCTCTCATTCCTGGTCTCATGCCCGACGATGTCAACACCATGTCGTTAGGTCTTTCGCATTCCCTCGCAAGACATAAACTGAAGTTCTCTCCCGATAAGATTGACACCATGATCGTACAAGCAATCGCCCTTCTCGATGACCTCGACAAGGAACTAAACACCTACGCTATGCGGGTAAAGGAGTGGTATGGTTGGCACTTTCCAGAAATGGCAAAGATATTGAATGACAATCTTGCATATGCCAAAGTCGTTCTGAAAATGGGCATGCGAACCAATTGGGAAAACTGCGACCTGGCAGAAATACTTCCCGAAGAAATAGAGACTGCCGTCAAATCTGCGGCTGATCGATCTATGGGCACAGAGATCACACAAGAGGATCTGGACAATATACAATTGCTTGCTGAACAAGTTGTCAGCTTCACCGAATATCGACAGCAACTTGCAAGCTATCTTTCAGCCAGAATGACAGCTATCGCACCTAATCTAACGGCATTGGTTGGCGAGCTTGTTGGAGCCAGATTGATTGCGCATGCTGGTAGTCTGTTGAACCTGTCCAAATCACCGGCTAGTACTATTCAAATTCTGGGAGCCGAGAAAGCGCTGTTCCGGGCATTGAAGACCAAACACGATACACCAAAGTATGGTCTCATCTACCATGCGTCACTTATTGGACAGGCTTCTGGCAAGAACAAGGGCAAAATGGCAAGAGTGCTGGCAGCCAAAGCCGCCATTGGTCTGAGAGTGGATGCTCTTCAAGACTGGGGAGAGCACGAAGAGGACATCCCTGAGGATGAGAAGGCTGCTCTGGGTCTAGAAGCTAGGTTTAACCTCGAACGAAAACTCGCGGCCATGGAAGGCAAGCCGCTGAGGCCAAGAGGCGTGGCAATAGCACCAAATGGTGTGGCATCTACACAGCCCAAGAAATGGGAAATCAAGGAGGCTCGGAAATACAATCCCGATGCCGACGCACTTACAGGCGAAGAGGCTCCTGCTGTTGAAGCGACCCCAGCCGAATCGATAAAGGACAAGAAGAAGGAAAAGAAGGAAAAGAAGCAGAAGCTAATTGAGGAAGTAAAGGAGGTCAAGGAAGCCACACCCAGATCCGAAACAGAGGAAGACGAGACAATGGCTGATGCTGCAGAAGATGAAAAGAGCGACGAATCAGACTCACAACCAGACGAGCCCATAGACGAACGGGAGGCGGCTGTCATAGCACCACCAAGCAAACCCGCAACCAATGGCTTCGCAGCTAGAGAACCATCCGAAGACGAAGCAGCACCTGCCCACTCCGACACCATCTCTACCCCCTCTGATGACACGCCCCCCTCGCCCGACTCCCCAACACAACAAGAACGAAACTGGCAATCCTCTATTCTCGGCAACACCAAAGAAGCGAAGAAACAGCGCAAGATCGAACGTCACGAACGCAAACTCGCCATGTCGGCGGAAAAATCCAAGGAGAGGAAACTGCGGAACGAGAAGCTAGCGCGGCGGCTGGATCGGAAAGAGAGGAGGGAGGCTAAAGCGGCGCAGGTGGACCGGAGGGAGAAGAGGGAAGAAGATATGTTTCTGGAGCCGGCGAGGAAGGCAGGGTTGAGCATTACGAGGTACAAAAGGAAGTTGGAGAGGGGAGAGATCAGATTTGAGGAGGATGGGACTCCCGTGGCGATATCAAAGAAGGAGATCAAGAAGGCAAGGAAGAGGGCCGAGAAGGAGGCTGCAGAAAAGCAGAAGCTAAAAAGCAGCATGAGAGAGGAGACGATTAACGGAAGTGAAACGAAGAAAAGGAAGCGGGCTGCAGAGGATGAAGCGGAAACGGAGGTGATGGCTAAGTCGGAGAAGAAAAAGAAGAAGAATAAGGAGAAGGCTTGAGTCAGTAGTCTGCTAGGCGATTCAATCTCGATCTCCTGCCTCAACAACCTATCATTCCTCTTTCTTGTTACCAGGCCTACGATCTGTTCGCTGCACATACGGCGTTGAGGGGTAGATGCACGGGAAGACGAGATTGGATTGATGGCTAAATGTTCGGGAGACAGGAAGTGTAACAGGCAGTTTGTGCCCTCGAATTGAGCAAGCGAACGAAGTACACAGTACATTCCGCTAGCATACATTGTTACGCGGTCACCTGCTCCACGACCCAATGAGGCACTCGAGATAGGGCTTAGCGTTAGCATGATTGGCGATACGTAGTATCCCTTCGTCTCCTGCAAAATGGCCCTTTAGCGTCAATTAGTGGCAATGCTAGCAGGGGGCCTCTTGTGTATCAAATTGCTCCAATTCTGTAAAATACTAGTTAGTAGAAATAGTGCTTATGAAATGCTTAGGGCGCGCGCGCAGCGCTGCGAATTTCGCGAATTCTACTCCTTTGTATGATATCGCTGCCAGCAGGGTCCTTGGACGCATAACGGTACGTTACATTGTTTACAGCCTGTATAGCCCTTGGATTCGCGTAATGCGTGCGCTGCGCGCGAAATAGCGTCAGCTGTATCAGTATGTACGCTGTATTAATCAAAAGAAGCGCTGCTGTCAATAGCAGGTAGTTGATTGGTAGCAGCAAGGATGTTGACGGATATGGCGTTGCGGCGTTGATTTTTGCGCTAAAAGGGCACATGCAGGAGACGAAGGGATACTACGTACGCACGGGTCAAATCCTTTCATACTACGTGGTGCTTTTCCGCTCTACTACCTACTACGGTACCTGGCATAAGTATTCGTAGTACGGCGCTAGTATACTTGCACTAAAACAGGCCCTAAACGAGACAGCTAAGCTTTGAACGGTTAAGCGGTATTATTGTGGCCAATTGATACCACTAATTGTCTAACAAGCTTCTAGACACTGAGGTGACGCTGTATCCGAACTAGCTGCTACTAGCGCCGTGCTACGATCAATTATGCCCCCTACCCGTAGTAGAAGTTAGACCTAACGGCTACGGTATGCATGGTACTGTGCCACTCCGCATGCATGGCCATGTTTCAACTTTTAAGCGGTGGTCTATGGGTCCCACTCGACTGGGATCACGCGCAGAATTGTGGCAAGTTAGTGGTATACCACCGCGGCACTGTGCTTTTGATGCCAACCAGGAAGCGTATCTCCATCGGGGAGAGAAACAGTAACCGGAAGAATGGTCTGCTTGTGCTACGGCCATGGTTGCATCATTGCCGACCAGTTAGCCAACCAGAAATGGCATGGTTGAAGGTGACAGAGTAAGCCCTTTGCATCGCCTGAGCAATTTGTCCCGTCCCATGCTCTTTGTTCCTTCTCCCCACCATACTGGTGTTACCTACGGACCACTATCAATTCAACTTGAATGCAGACGCTCTGGAGACGACCCATGATCCTTGTCGTAGTAGCACGGACAATCCTGATCATTGGCTGTCACGAACCAAGCTGCATTAACAGAAAGGTCTTCATTGACCTTTCCACGATGTCTTGTGCACGAAAACCAGCGGGATGGACAAGAATCTCCAGCCAGCTATGGCGGCAACTGCTAGGGGATACACGAATCCAGTCTGATTCGAAACCCATCAATGCTAACTTTTTGGCGGAGGGGTTTGATTGATCCATGTTGCGTTCAATCCCCACATTGGTCTTGGATCCATTGGTTTCCTTGTCTACTGCTGCTCTACTCGGATCTCGGAACCAAACACTATCTGCTCTGTCTTCTGATCGGCTAGAATGGTCTCTTATGAATTTTGGACTATACTGTGGTTTAAACCCTACTAGCGCTATCCTTTTGGCTCAGTAGTTGATGCATCCTTTCTCTTCAACTGGCGACGGCTCGCTCCTCTTCTCCTATATATTTCAGCTATGCCCCTCCTATGATTTCCGGCCCACATTTACTATAGCAGTCGAACGGCAACCATGGCCATCATCAATTTGACCGCACTGTTTTCGCGCCTTGTGTCGAATCTCCCTTACACTTCCCTTGCTCTACTTTTTTGTGTTGCATATGTTGCTGTATATCGCATCTATTTCTCCCCTTTGGCACACGTGCCAGGGCCAAAGCTCGCCGCTGTTAGCAGTTTGTACGAGTTCTACCACGACTGCATCCGTCTGGGACAATTTGTCTTTCGCCTGGACGAGTTGCATAAACAATATGGTATGAAGGTGCCACGCACTTTGACCATCGAATGCTAAAAAGCTCCACATCACTCTTGTAGGCCCGATTGTCCGTATCGGCCCTAGCGAGGTCCATATCAAGGATGCCCAGTTCTTCGACAAATTCTACAATGTGACAACCAAGCTTGACAAATATGATTGGTTCTACCGATTTGCGAATACTCCCTATGCGTCTTTCGGCACGATAAAGGCAGAGGATCACCGTCTGCGCCGGAGCGCTTTGGCCAAGCATTTCTCGCCAGCCAGTATCATCAGGCTGGATCCAGTGATAACACAGGCCGTCAGCATATTATGTCGACGGCTTGAAGAGCACCGTCGCGGGAAAAGGGTAGTTGACCTCGGAAATGCTTTCAGATGCTTCTCCGGTGATGTCGTCACTGAATACGTTGTGCCCGATCCCCTCACTCTCCTTGAACATGAAAACTTTGCAGCGGATTACAATTCTGTTTTTATAAGGAGATTTGCCATATTCGGGACTTTCAACCGCCATCTGGGCTGGCTCTTACCAGTCATGCTGTCGATGCCAAGATGGCTCCTCTTGCTTACCAACCCTCCAGCAGTTCTGCAAGTCTTTAGCAGAATTAAGGTGCCGCAGATCCAAGCTTCCGCTGACGGACGCCACTAACTTACGTTTGTTATAGCTGATAGAAGAGCAGGCTCGGATTGTCACGCAAAGCGGCGGACCTCCGAAGCAGAAGAAAAACTATCCACTCGTCCTCAGCAGCATCTACCACTCCGACCTTCCAGCGCACGAAAAGACCTTGATCCGCCTTGCCCAAGATGGGCTCGTCTTGGTAATGGCGGGCACAGAAACAACTGCCATAACCCTATCAGTGGCCACCTATCACCTTCTCACCAAACCCCATTTACTCAAAAGACTCCAGATCGAGCTCCAATCCAGCTTCCCAGCTGCCGCAGACGATACCATCATCAGCTACCGTGACCTAGAAAAACTCCCCTTCCTCACCGCTTGTCTCAATGAAAGCCTCCGTCTCGGCTCCCCCGTCTCTGGGCGCCTCCCCCGCATCGATCCAAACTCACCCATCACCTACGGCGACCACACCCTACCCGCCGGCACCGCGATCAGCATGACCCTTCGCGACATCCACTATGACCCCTCCATCTATCCGGATCCGCGATCTTTCAACCCGGACCGCTGGCTCGAAGACACGGATCGAGCCCGCAAGCTCCACGAGCACTTCCTCGTCCCCTTCGGCAAGGGCGCCCGAAGCTGCATCGGCAACAACCTCGCCCTGGCCGGGATGTATGCGATCCTGGGGAACATGTTCCGGAAGTTCGAAGCGATCGAACTGTTTGAGACGACGGCAGATGATTTTGAGATGGCGTACGATTTCTTCTCGCCGTTTGCAAAGTCTGATTCGAAGGGCTTGAGGGTGCTGATCAAGTAGCAGGATCAGAGTCGCCTTTTGGTGGTGGTGGTGGTGGTGGGCATTGTACCTCCCGGCTGTCTTTGAAGTTTCCATGTGTGCGTTGAAGTTTGAGCCGCAAACGCGGGAACTTTGTCTCTCCTTTCTCTTTGTCTTCTTCTACCAGCAACCACACTCCCTCACGTTCCCTTGGAAATATGGTGGTAGTGCAATCCCAATCCGAAATCCGGAGTCCCGTTCCCCTCCTTCGCTGAAGTGCAGTACCTCCCCCGTCCTACTCGATGCTTTCCCAACCTCCTGGCCCCAATCCTCCCCTTCCCGTCGCCTTCTCCTGCTACGACTCCAACACGTTCAGCTTCTCTCTCTCTCTCTCTCTCTCTCTCTCTCTCTCTCTCTCTCTCTCTCTCTCTCTCTCTCTCTCTCTCTCTCTCTCTCTCTCTCTCTCTCTCTCTCTCTCTCTCTCTCTCTCTCTCTCTCTCTCTCTCTCTCTCTCTCTCTCTCTCTCTCTCTCTCTCTCTCTCTCTCTCTCTCTCTCTCTCTCTCTCTCTCTCTCTCTCTCTCTCTCTCTCTCTCTCTCTCTCTCTCTCTCTCTCTCTCTCTCTCTCTCTCTCTCTCTCTCTCTCTCTCTCTCTCTCTCTCTCTCTCTCTCTCTCTCTCTCTCTCTCTCTCTCTCTCTCTCTCTCTCTCTCTCTCTCTCTCTCTCTCTCTCTCTCTCTCTCTCTCTCTCTCTCTCTCTCTCTCTCTCTCTCTCTCTCTCTCTCTCTCTCTCTCTCTCTCTCTCTCTCTCTCTCTCTCTCTCTCTCTCTCTCTCTCTCTCTCTCTCTCTCTCTCTCTCTCTCTCTCTCTCTCTCTCTCTCTCTCTGTGTGTGTGTGTCTTTATATTGTGTTATCGAATATCTAAATCACAATTAAGATCTCTTTTTTATTTATTTCACCCTTCAAGAAAGAAAGAAAAATAAAAATAAGATAAGAGTTTTCAGGTTCAGTAAATGTTATATCATAAGATCTCGTCTGAAATTGTAATACGGCTTCTTCACTTTGCTGATTGTGGTAAAGTCCTAATCGACGGAATGTTTCCCTCTGATCAGGCACTTTTTCCAGGACCAAGCCCATATCAATCAACAAACTCTTCGGGGCTCCGGACAGGGGAAACAGAAATACGTTGAGGATTGTCGTCTGGTGGTTGTGTCGGATGTCTTCATCACTGTTCGCAGAGAGAGCATTTGCTCCGTGCTCTTCGACCCACCGGTCTACCATCCCATCGATACCAGGAGCCTGCACCTGGTTTTCTCGCGATATCGCACTTGATGAGATAGCCTTCTAGGACAATCGGTCCACCCTGGACGTCGCTGAATGCGTCACCGCCCGTTTTCATGTTGCTTTCAATAACGCGCACAGCGGGGATGGGGTAATAGAAACAGGAAATACTATCTCACCGCTCACGGAAGCCCATGACCAAGACGGATCTAAGTTGGTTAGACAATAGTGATGTCCAGTTGCCCCACCAGAGCTCCAAAGAAGAGCCCACGGGAGCGTCCCTTTCCCGATCCGGGCGAGATAGTCACCCTCAGGGATTCCATTCTGGATCGCGAGATCGAGTGCAATACCAGCAAGAGCAACCAGCCCGTCTTTAGATTCATGCGTTAATTTTCTTCTGATGTGGTTCGTGACCATTCGGGTCCATCGATAGAAATCTGGATCCATGATAAGATCGCCCTTTAGACCGATTTAGTGGTTCAGGTGATATCCTGCACCGAATCTTGACCACGCCTTGGCACACAGTTGGGTTGGTCGTTTTTGCTGCCTGACTCAGGAATGAGTCACCCGGCTTAACTTCGCACTGCTCCCGCTGCTCACCTTCTTGTTCACCTTCTGTCCTGATACTGCCGGATTAAGTAATAATGTGTTAGACCAAAAGGACTGTGGCCCTCGGAGCGTGAAATAGCTTATGTGTGACATAATGTATAATCTCTATCTTACTGCTTCATGACCCATAAGAACTAAGGAGATAGTATGTTGACGAACTATGCTGACTAATCAATAGATAGTGTGTAAATAGCAAGTTGTTCTATCTAATTGAGCGGGCAAGGAGAACGTACTTATATATACAAAGTTGCTATATCAAGACCAATCCAAACGAAATAGTGCGAAACGTACATACCAAAAATACATAAGGTCTCAGGCAAAACACGTAACATTCTGTAACAAAACACTGGTGCGATGCGTCAAAATAGGGCCAAACTGTATTTTGGAGTTCAACATATGTCTACAAAGATCCAGACAGAACCAGATAACCTGCAGTTCCGCAGCGTGCTTATTCAGGCGCCCGTGTCGCATGTGCAGTCCGTCAGTGCACACTGACCAAAAGGTTCGTACTACTCGAGCAGTAGGCACGGACGAAAAAGTCTCGGGTTCGCAGCGAGAGTTTACCAATAAGCCTGCATGCTGAGACTGTTCGCATGGTTGGGAGGAGAGAAGAGGTATAGGAGATTAGGAATTTTCTCGAGGTGGTTGATGCTTTCTCTAGTTTGGGTCTAATCATGTGTAAGTATCAAGCAAATGAATTGAGCTGATGACAAGCCAGGCGAAGAAGGTCATGCAAACAAGCGGTAAGATGACGCCTAAGGAGCTGATGAAGTCAGCGCTGGCCTAGCTATAGGTTAGAATCGAAATTGCAGCATTTCAATGAGCAGGAGAAGGTCTGAATGCCATAGTACTTACACCTGAATCTTGGCCTCTTCAAATTCCATTTTCCCTTTGAAACCTGGGCGCACGTGACTATAAGCTGAGCAATCAATAAGCAGCCCCTGGGGTGACTTTGCAAGGCTATTCCGAGCCTGAGCAGCCCTGAGCGTCAACTAAATCCTACCCTGAGCTTTTCATAAGGGCCGGAGTCTACGCCAGTCTCCCAACTCCAGTTTTGAGCCCTTCAAGTTGTTTAGTTCCTTGCATATTTCTCGAATTACTTCAACCACCTGGAAGCTCCGCCCTCGTTGATGAATCCAGCTCCTGCTTGCCTTCCACATTTGATAAGATAGGCTGCGCTTTAGCTTCTCGCACTCGGCTTAATATTCGTCGTCGAAACAACCAGTAGATTCCAGCAAACAGCGCAGCCAATCCCAGAGTACCTAAGGAGACTCCAAGACCAATCCCAATCTTTGTATTTTCGCTGATATCACTTGAGGTGTTGCCCGATGATGTATCCGTGGTTGGTGAAGCCGTTGTGGTAGAGGGGATTGCGGACGATGACACGGTTGCCACATTCCATCCGTTAAGTTGTATACCAGCTATGGTTGTCGAGGACTCAAGACTTAGGGTAGTTAAGAACCAGCTTTGGAATTGATTGCGAACAGCATACGTTATAACTTGTCCGGGGTTAAGTTCGGAAACGCATTCGCCGGTATTGCCGTCTTGGAGTAATCTTGCAAAGGTATAGCCCCTAAACTTAATTAGTGTGTTTTCACATGCAAGACACTGTTGTAGGCTAGAAAAGTAAGATATATGCTTAAAAGGGTGTGACTCACGATGGACAGCACGCGACTAAAGTGCTCGTGGCATCCTGCGCCGACGTCGTTGCCGTTGTGTATGCTTCTGGACATACTATAGGGCCAATGCTGATCTTCGTGTTGCTATTTGGACCCAGTCGTGCCTGATTCCACCAGGCCGTCGCACCCTCCGGTAAACAGGAGAGAGTAGGTTCAACGCTTATACCATAACCAGGATCCCAGCCCGCTATCGTCGAGGGGACATAGCTCCAAAATGATTGGTCGCAGCCCGACTGTGATGGCCAAGCTGTTGTGATGGGTACCCAGGAGGTTACGACGCCGCCGTGGGTTTCTGGAGGATATTGTGAAGCCATTGGGCTTCATCGACTATTCAGAGCAACGATGATTAGATTTTATTTTATAAATTTAGAGGAATTTGAAAATGATATTGTTGCCAGAGCTGCATGAATTGGTAGGTGAGCCGTGAATCACCTTTTGTATCAAGGGAGTGAAACTTACCAGAGCCATGGTCCTGGGCCCCACCGGCGTGGGCGCTATGTTGGTCTGTACTAATATTATCCACTGTCTCACTGAATGAGTGTCTCTCCTTAACCTACTAACTAGTAGGTGGACCAACAGGGCAATTAAATTTGCTTGGCGGGTTTCGATTCCTACCGAACTTTCAAGCCACCAACTTCAGCTCACCGCCATTTGACTATTAATTGCCTGATAACAATAAGCTTTTGATATATTGTTTGCAGGGCTGAGTTCTATGCTGTCAGGGCAGTGTAACGTACGCTCCCCACGTGCAAGCACCTTGCCTTACGGACGCGGCAAAATGACTGGACTGGCAGAATCATCTGCCAAGGACACGCAACCATCTTAAATCCTAACATATGTTTTTTTTATTCAAATATGGCTAATACATTCACTAATTTGAACAAGAAAGAGCGTATCGAGAAAGAGCGTATCGAAAAAGCGGTTGTCACTTGCGTTCAGGAACACAATGAATTATCTGTGTTATGCACGCCAAGCGCACGTTATGCGTACCAGGACGGCTCCGGTAGATTCTACGTCATTCTACGTAGCTTCTTCGTTGTTCTATGCATCAAAGGACTCAAAAGAGGCTATCGTACTGCTTATATTCTTCTCCTTGTACATGAATTCTAGTTCTTCGCACTTAATAAGTCAATCCCTGACCCTCTACTGTTCTATTGCCCTTGCATTCTCTTGAGATCCTAATAATCTGTAAATAAAGTCGCATAAATTTTAACATTGCTTCTTTTATCTTTTATCATTTATCTACATATGAACGCACCGCCAAGCTTGATCAATTGGCTGCAAAGTGCAGTAAGCTAAAAAATGCAGGCCGCGAGGAACAGCCTTTTTATCGGATAATGTTCCCCTTTCTGCCTTCTTTATAGTGCCAAGGCTGCAAAATTTTTGCCAAGCCGTACCCCATCAAAATCAGAATGCGCAGAAAGAGGGCATAGAAATACGCAGAAAGAGGGCACAGAATTGGCACGCAGAATGGGCAGAAAGCGTAGAAATGCGCAGAAAGAGAGGATTCGCACGCAGAATACGCAGAAAAAGCGTACAGGATGATCCTCCTATCCTCCTATCCTCCTATCCTCCTATCCTCCTATCCTTCTATCCTTCTATCCTTCTATCCTTCTATCCTTCTATCTCTTTTTTTCTTTACAAAAAGTTACATCTAGTAAGAATATTGCATGAACACCTCGATATTATCCTGGCGAAGGTGGAATCCTGTCAAACGGCAGGAGCGCTCATTGGCCGCGTTTCCTACGCGAAATCCCTGCGTTTTTCTTGCTTTTGATTGGTCAATTTCTGCTGCAATTTCGCGGCTAATTTCGCTGTGCCGTACAGCAGATTTGTACTTATTTCTGCGCCCTGCGCAGCTTTTTTGAACGAACAGAGCCATTTCTTCTTCCTGCTCCACAAATACATTTCGGAAGTTCTCCAACAATGGCTTAACGTGAGATGTCTGAACTACGCCCATCATAGCCTAGACGAACGCTCCTCACGGGTAAGAGAAAGTCGATATTTATTCCCAGCAACCTAATCGGTAGCTGATGGGGATTGATACTTGACTTCGGACTTTAGCGTGACCTGGAGCATGAAGAATGGAAAGAAAGGCCTGTTGATAGCCAGACATTGGGGCTCTCACAAGACTCGGGGGATGATGTGGATGACGCGAGAGAGCTTATTATCTTGGGTTGTACCCACTGGCTTCTCCACAGACATCAGAATTTTGCATAAGAAAAAGAGACAAAGATGTCCACACCTGCTGGGTTTAATAGGCTGAGACACAATAGTAGATCGGCACTCTGTGGATCATTCCAGAGATTGAAGCGTACTTTCTCTTTCCCGGCTCGTCGGGTAATGATCGCGTCCATTTGGTCTGTCTTCCACTTGACAGGAGGCACATACCTTGTACTTCGTGAGCCCGATAAGCATAATACATCTCGGACATCCGTCGTGAGCAGCCTTGCGTAGGCCGAGAGGCGTCAGTGTATCCATCAAATCAAATAAACCAAATCGAGGCCTCCGTTTGATTTGATTGGATTGGATTGGATTAGGAAATCCTCCGCTTGATTTGATTTAACTCATTTGAGAAATAAGTCAAATTGTATGTATAAATACTATTTCGACTTCAACGACGATGATGAGGAGGAGAAGAAGAAGAAGGAGAAGGGACTCAGGGGGAAGATATCCACCTTTCTGTCGTAAATTTGACATTTTTTTCATTGGTTGATAGAGCCGCTAGGGTTCATCGAACAGCCGCTATCAAATGAGAAGTATCCATCAGATCTCAATGTCACTTGAGTAAACGCTAGCAATGAGAATAATGTCAAGTTCACAACAGAAAGGTGGATACTGCGATTTTGGAGCAGCAAAGTAAATTGAGGCGGGCCAGTCATAGGGACAGGCCTCGCAAGGCCAACATAGGTCATTTGGGCCAGAAAAGGGGAAGGGAAAGGGGCAGTGATGAAAATGGATGTCGAAAAAGTTCGCTTGGCGCGGCCCCACGGCCCTGAAACCGGAATGGATGAAGAAAAAGCGGCCAGCCGCTTGGTTTGGGTGCCGTTATTCAACTAGCTCTGTTTTACAGGTACCTAAATAGGCGGGGTTAATAAATGCATCTTGACCATTATCGCAGGATCAGAATCGTGCAACGGAGGCGAACGACGGAAACAATGTTTCTGTTGAAAAAAGGCCCTAGCTTGGGGCAACCTGGTTTCCTACCACTAGTATAAGGAGAAGGAGACAGTGGTAATAAAGGGGACAAGGAAAGCCGAAGACGATTGAGCATTGCCAGTAGGATAACAAAATAGCTTCTAGACTGTGTGCCTTGTTCAAGTCATTTACCCAATCGTCGTGCTTGCTGTTGGCCTTTCGACCGTAGTACCGCCATTTCCATCTAAGATGGAGATGATTTGCTTTATACTGCAGAGCACGTTTATCAGTGCTCTGCAGCAATAGGAATGTATGTTATCTGGAGTTGACTAAAGTAGCAGAGTCATTAATTGCATTTTCACAGCTCCGAAAAGTCGTTAATATAGAAGATATACAACAAAGTAAGCGAAGGGGGGTATTCCGCAAGAAACAGCACAGATATTCGTGCTACGAGACGCCACAGAGATGAGATGAGCAGGGCCGTACACAAGCCAATGACGACAGGGTACTACACGGCAGCGCAAAGGAATGTTAGCGTTTGCCCGCTCAAATGTTCTCAATCACTCTCGCGTTCATGGCCTGCTGGAACCCATCATTCGTATCGCCGGAGAATGGCGAGTTTGCGCCATACTTGCTTGGCCCTTCTCCAGCTTGATCTGCGGAAGCCAGCTGTGACTGCACGGTCTGACTTGTCGACGGACCAGGCAGGAAGATGACCTTTGAATTTGCCGATTTGGCCATTGCTTGCATTGCTTCCAAATACCTGATCTGCATAGCTGGTGCGGAGCTCAGGATGTCGGCGGCCTGCCTCATCAATTTTGCGCTTTCGACTTCTGCTCTGGCGGCGATAACTTTGCTTTCTCCGATGCGCTTGCTCTGGGCCGCCATCGAAAGGGAGTCTTGTAGATCGTTGGAGAAGATGATATCTTTAATGAGCATGGATTCGACCTGGACACCCCAGCCGAATGCGACATCTTCGATGATCTCCCCGATGGATTGAGCGATCTCTTCGCGGCGCTCGATCACGTCTTGTAGCACGCGAGCACCGACCACATGGCGGAGAGTAGTTTGCGTACGCTCTACCAGTGCCTGTCTGATATTACTAATGCCGAAAGCTGCTTTGTGCGGCGAGACGATGTGGTAGTAGATAACGGATGTGAGGTTCAGCGTGACATTATCCTTAGTCATGCACACTTGACGTGGTACCTCAACGATCTGGATCTTGACGTCGACCTGGATGAGGCGCTCAGAAAGCGGGTTTACCTTTACAAGACCTGGATCAACTGCGCGCGAGAACTTTCCGAACTTTGTGACGAGTCCGACATTCCCTTGAGAGACTGGCTTGTAGGGGTTGGGGGTAGAACCAAGGGCATTTACTGCACGGGATGTCAGCAGGCAGATTTTAGTATCGATACAGGTCTAGACGCACTCATTGACCCATACCAGCCATGTACAGCCTCGGTTTCGAAAACTAGAGTTTGCGCATATGATGGTTGTAGGTCTTCGCGCCTTGGAGGCTGTACTTTGACGATTCCACTGTTCGTTGGTCGGAAACCGACGTTGCCACTTTGAGCTGGGGCTTTGCCGTTCTCCATTGACTTTGAGTGATCTGGTGAGTCCATGCTGGTGGTAGATGGGGGGGAGGAGGGGCGTCTGAGGCTTCTGGTTGACGACAGTGTGACTGCTGGACTGTCGCGCAAAGGACCTTCACGAGCCACTACCGTTTCAGGGAACCTTTTCAAGGGATTAAGATTCGGAGGCGTATGAAGTAATGAGAAGCTACAAAAAGAGTAGATGCAGCTGCGGTTGATGATGGCTTGTTACGGAGTATATCGTTGCAAAGTGGTGATGAGGAGACTCGCTGCACCATTTAAAAGGTTTACTACGTAGTAGACTAGGGCACGACCGGGGGGCCTGCTAAGTTGGATTCGGCTTCGCGTGCTATTAGTGGGTGCTTCTTCGGTGAAGAACCCAAGGCAGATTGACTAGTTGGCCTTTGAGCACTAAGTTACGGGTCCACCGCACTGCTGTTAGGGTCATCCGTGTCGGTCACGAGCCGAGGCTGTGCTGTCAATCAGCCAAAGGATGGACCCACCAACATCCCGGCCACTTTTGATCAACTTAGTCTAAAGCTTGGTTTGGCATTCGTATACTATTATCTCCAGGATTCACCCTCGTGCTCAGCCTTGTTCGGGGGTGATAAGTCGTAGTCCCCAGCAGAGCCAGAAATGCCTCATCGAGATCATTGCCGAATACGCGCTCTGGAAGGTTGGGCTATCCGGGTCAACCTCGAGACGGTAATGTGGGGTACATTTCTATCCCCACATATCCCGCCCTGTCCTACGCAAATGGAGGGTAGCAACCCCTTACACGAAACCATCTTTTAGCTCCTCGAGGAGATTTGATGAAGCAACAATAGCCGTAGTATGGTCTTGATCCCTTGCTGTGTACGAAAATTGCGCTTGTTGGCGGGTCTGCTCCTAGCAGAGCCACTCTGGCAAGGCTTATTTGAATCCTTAAGGCGTGGAGGAAGAATCCGGCCGGGCACTGCCTTGGTCACTTGATAGATGAAGGAGAGATTTATCAAATTGAAATAATTCTGGCAGCCAACACATTTGAATCAGCTCAAAGCACCTATCACTTGGTACCCCTTGGTTGACTCCATAAGATTTTGTGCACAGGATACGGTGTGAGAAGGAAGTTCTGGCAGATTTCGTGAAGGTTCCCGCGTGAAATCGACAACAAACGTGTATGTGGTCAATATCTCTATGGCTTCCATAACAAACTCTTGCGGTTCCGTCGGGTTCTTGCGAAGCTTCATCCACTCGTATACAGTGGATAGAGCACTGTAGCTTACCGACTTTTCGCTTGGCTAGTTTCAAGGTTGAAAGTTTTCCACACTCGGCAAGCAAATCGCTCAGCTTGTATGATTCCCACCTTTCCGTGTTCTCAGAAGATCCATCCACCAAGCATTTCTTGTTTCACAATACACACGACTCGGAAAGTATCTTTCCGATATAAGCTCGTTATTGAGAGATGCAGCTAGAGTCAGGAATCTTTCTTCAGCTCTGTTTTCTTTTTCTGATCCTCGAATCATACTAAGAGACATTTCCCAGGTGGTGAGAACTCTGAGGGCTTGGTCAATTCCCGAGTCTTGCAGTTTTTTCGGCATCTATGGATTTGTCAAGTGAGTCAGATTGTATGTGTAAAAGAGAGTTATACAAAAATTAAATAAGTATAAAAGAATAAAAGAAGTAAGGAAAGCTTACAAAGAGTCTAAATATAGAAGATAAATTAAAAAAGAAACAAGAATTTTATTGTTGCTATTATTATCTAGTTTCTACTTTTTCCAAGCCGATTTCTGAGCGACAAGGGCATCACATAGTTCGTTGGGTTAAGTAAGCTAGTAAACTTGGTGAGATAGTATTCCTGTTATTAGTATAAAACCCAGCTCTGAGAGTACTTTCTAGCTGAGTTTCTCCACAATATAACCTACTGGGTATGCCTGTGGATCCTCTGTAGTTTTGCGTTCCCACCCTTTCTCCGCTCTGAATGTACCTCCCCGAAGACATTCCGGCGAGGAAGATAGACTGGCGGACGGACTAGTAGCTTTCCCACCCAGATTGCTCCGGTACATACTTCCAGGTGTTACTTCTGCCACACCTCCTCAAAGACTTCACAGAGACATGCGATAGGCCAGTAGCAGACCCACGTACACAAATAATAGGCGTGTTGGCTTCATGGTTGCGCTTGCCAGAGTCCACTGTATTTACACGCAGGTTCCCGGGAATTGCTTTAAGCGCATAGAAAGGTGTTGATTGCGCCTCCTGTACGAAGGGTGTGAAGATTGAGGATTGTCAGGGGCGCTGGCAGTATTCTGAAGAGATTCATGATTTTCCATTTTGGTTTGCCATTGAGGATATCGAGGACAAACAAGGCTTTTTGCATTCGTTAAAAAGACAGAAGACAATCGAAGAGGTGGTCCATTGGCCCATTGACGCGAAAAAGAATAACGTAGTAGGAGTATATGGGTTGCATCATTTTCCCCGCAACGTCTAAGTTATGGATCACCCGGGCTTGGTTCGACGCAGCTTGACTACTATAGTACTAGTGCAAAAGTATCCGGTCAACTTCAAAATTTGTGTGGAACCACACCAAAAAGTGGGCTTTTTGAAATAGTTATAGCGACTTTAGCTAGAGGTTGTAGTGCACCTGTGGGCCAGATGCGTATGAAGGCGACAATCCGTCTGAAGTCAGTGCATGAGTGGAGTGTGTCTATCCTCTGTCTGCCTCTGAGGCGACTAAGTGCCTCTGAGGCGACTAACTAACTAACTACTACTAACATTTGGCAGTCGCCTTTGAGGCGCATCTGCTAAGGCGTCTTGGTCAGGGCATACCATGGGCATGACAGAGGTCAAATACTAAATTTTAAATATATAATCAATTTTAAATCGATATAATATTTATTAATATATGTTACTTTTTTTTATAGAATATCTAGAAACAAAATAAAATAAGATTAATATTAAAGTTCAGTGTTACAGCACCTACCCGGGATAGGGAGGTTGCCCGAGCCCTGCAGCCTGGAAGCTAGACGCACAGCCAAGACTGAGCGTACTAACGGTTGCTCACCTCTGCTCACTACTGAGCACAACTGAGCTCACCACTGCTCACCACTGAGCAAGACTGAGCATACGAATCCCGTATCTATATAAGCACGCTCCTTTCGCAGATAGTCAGATAGTTCTTCTTACTCCGTAGTCAACTCATGTTATCAGCTCATACCTAAGTTGAAGACATTCTAGTATTGCTCACTGCACTTCCTGTTCTACCTAACCAACCCTCTTGGACCCAGCTTCTAGTTGAGACTTGTCTTAACCAGTTGAGCCCTAATATTCTAGAAAAAATTTTAGTTTTACATAAAGTTTTATATAATTCTTATCAAAAAATCTAAGTACTTTACTTTTAAGTACTTCTACCCAAAACCTATAAGTTTTGAGACTAAAGTTTCCATTAATAAAAGATTAATCTACTAATTTTGAATATCTTATAAGATTTTAAATATATAGTCGTCGCCTAGGAAAAGATTTTAGGAATTTTTTAAAAGTCGTGTTTCCAGTGGGTTTGGTGTGAAAATTTGTCTTGACCAGATACTTGCGCTCGTAGGTGTACGTTAACCAAGTCCCAAGCATCCGCTCCTTACAAAGCTGTCTCTAGTCAAGCTTTGGATGTCATGTGTCTGGGCGTTTACTACCGCCCTTAGAAATGTGAAGCTGCATCTTCTGATCAAAGCAATATTGCTGATTCACATACGTGCTTGCGAAGGATCACGCCTCTACCATTTAATGAGAGACAAGCTGCATGCAGTCCATGCCCGCTTACGTGTCACCTAGTTCAGTCAATCGTGAATACACCAAACGGACTCCAGCAGAAGAATGTTGCAATACATTGCCTAGAACCCTTGTCTTGCCTGAATTAAAGTCAACACGACACACTTCGTTAATATAGTCCCGCTCGAGATTTTTTGACCGAATCGAATGCCCCTTAATCACACCAATAGTCCACCCCCATTGCTCTCAATCACCGTGCCCGTGACGAACTGATCCCGCATACTATAGAGATACGCCTCTGCCACGTCTTCCGGCTTGCCCACCGTCTTCGTCGTACTCCTCTCTCTGAAATGATTCAACAAGCTCTCCCCTCCGAAGGCTTGGGAAAGCTCCGTATCCACCCCCCCCGGCGCGACGCAATTGACCCGAACGGGAGCGAGATCGACCGCTAGACCGCGGGTGAAGACTTCGATGCCACCGAATGCAGCAAGCATGCTTGATTGGCCTGCTCCGGGTTTCGACTCGCTCATCCCGGAGGTAAACGTGATCGATGACGAGGCTGAAGATTTGAGATATCCATGAGCGGCGCAGAGTTTGCCGATGATAAAGGGTGCAGCAAGACGAACCAAACCGGCCGCGTGGAGGTACGCGACGTCCACTTCTGCAAGGGGTTTCATAGGTGGGGCGTCTCCAGCGCTGAAGACGATGTGATCGAGTTTCGTCGTGCCGCTATCTGTGGCCTGGTCGAAAAGAGACTTGAGGTTTCCTTCCAAGGTTTCCTTGTTCCCAAGGTCACAGGCAAAACCTTGGAGTTTGGACACATCTCCGGCAGGGTTGTTTGATTTCATCTCCGAGAGTTTGTGATCCACCTTCGGTTGCCTCGAGCCAGAGATAGTGACTTTTGCTCCAAATTCCCAAGCCGCCTCCGCCACAGCGAAGCCGAGCCCAGATGTACCACCCAACACCAGGACTTTCTTGTCAATGAGCTTTGAGGCATATTTCCCCGGCTTAGCAAATGCCATTGTGGGTGAGTACCAAATTGAACAGTAATACCAAGATTGCACAGCAGAAGACGTTTATGATGTAGAAGATGTTTATGAAGTAGAAGACGTTTATGAAGTAGAAGACGAAATGGGTACGAAGGAGGCTTTTCAAGAGTCTGCCATTGACAGTCCGCAAGCACTCACTTCTTATAGAGCGCTCGTTCCTTATAAAACACTCGCCCCTTATAAGTTATCCAATCGCGTTTGGTTGTCAATCCATGTTCTCTCGACCGAAACCATGAGATACAGGAGGCAACAGCGAATTTCAATATCACGCAAGACAGCAGAAGGCCGAATCGGACGGATACGGCCGAATTTGGTTCCACAAATTCCTGGTCGTAGGAAATGCTCGCTCGGATTATCAATCATTGAGACATGCTCGCTATGGTAGCTATTATGGAGCTAGAGTTAGCGATGGAACATCGTTGCTGACTCTTGAGGTCCCAGGCTGCATTGCTCATCTGGGGCAAATTGGAGGAAATGGCGCAAAGATTAGCAGACCAGCCTCCGCGGACCATTTCTATGTCCTCATGCTCCACGCGCCGAAACTGTTACACGGCTGACAGTTCGATATGGGTGTCCGGGCGGAAACGGCCGGCTGTGAAGTAGTACGTAGTACGTAGTACGTAGAAGAATTTGTGCTGACATGTTTCATTCATACGACAGCGCCGCCGCCACAGCAGTTCGCCACAGCGGTTGTTTAAGATTAGCATATGCTTGATAGTAGTTGGGTGTACGAGCTGGGATATCTCATTGACGACATGACACTAGGAATTGCAAGGGTCTCTGTATAGAAGAGATAGGATATGATTCTGTCGATTAGCAACGATTACTTACTACGGTAGGAGGCATATTAAATGTAACCCCGCCCTAGTAGTAGCAGCTTGTAACGCCAAGATAGAACGCCACAAGATCGCTCGATTAGGACTGATCTACTATCTATCTTACATCGAGTGTGCATCCCGTTAGCATCTATAACTACCTGGCATCTTGCTGGCATTGATTAGAGTAGTTAGTTGTAGAATGAGATAGAATCAGAGGAAGCTTAAGGCGTTGAACTCTGTGGATGGACCCCCAAAGGGTACGTCATTCGTACAAGCGCGGTAAGGGTATCTTATGAAGGTCGTTGATAACAATTTGTTGGACCAAAAGGACCGCGGCCCTCAGAGGACCGTAAACTAGCTTTTGTCTGACACAATTTGACTAGGGCGGAGGGTTACATTTAATATGCCTCCCGCCATAGTAGCATTTTAAGAGCTTTCCTCAGCATGTGACTTCCAAAAAATATCTTGAACAGACCAGTTTTCTGTTGTATATTGTTGTCCTTTTGGGACAAGGGGCGCGATTCTGAACGCCCATGGTGTGATGGTGATTTGTGATTGCCCCGCAGTGGAAACGAAAGGACAGAGGCGAAGGTATGCGCTCCGGTGCATACATGATCTTGTATTCCTAAGCTTTGAGGCGTTGTTGATGAGAGAAGCCATTTCTGGTTCGTGCATCCTGCGCTCAAGTAAGGGCGCGACGCAGGGTTCTGGCGACGCAGGGTTCTGGCGACGCAGGGTTCTGGCGACGCAGGGTTCTGGCGACGCAGGGTTCTGGCGACGCATGGTGCGTCTGGCGATGGCGCAGTTTTGCGACAGGATTTGCAGCACTTCTAGGTTCTTCTGTAAAACTGCCTAAGAAGTATTGCCTCCGTTTGATAGTTTGCTGGTGGTCCCAAAAGCATGTATAGCTTCGATATGGGTAATGCCTGCTTCCACGTCTTGATCGTCTCATCCATTTCCCACATATATCTACTCTCAGGGGTTCTCACTACCACCTAATATCTCCCCACAAATCTGCAAGATCTCCTTAATATCAGCATCGGTGAAACGATCATACATTTCCTCGACTATCGTATTCAGGACGGTGATGTCTGAATTGTCTTCTTCCTGCTCATCCTGCATCTGGACATCCTCGTGGCCTGCCGCTCGATTCTCAGCTTGCGCCCTGTCCGCACCTTCCGCTGAATCGAGATGCCTCTCGACTTTATCTAAAAGATCTCCATCCCCGTTCCCAACCATCTCTTCTTCTTCTTCGTTCGGCACCTCGATAGCTTCTTGTCTAGCTTCTGGTGCTTTCTTTACTCCCACACCTAGATTGATCATCACCAAGACTTCCGGCTTAGTTAGGTTGAATTTTTGGAGTCGCTGAAGGAGCGTTCTCATAAACTTTGAAGGAGGATCTGGGTATGAGAGGAGGTGGGGTGTTATGGTCTCAGTGTAGTCTGTAAACTATTGTGGAATGATCAGCGTTAGTGACAGCTGCTGGAGCACAGATATCAGCCGCAAAGGGTAAGACAAAGACTTCCTCATACATACCTCTCTTTGCACACTCCATAGTCCTCTCAAGTCTGTCACCGGATACCCACCGACTCGCGGATCCGGTTTTCGTGGTGGATGAGATCGCATAAAAGAGAGGACTTCGGAATTCGTTAGAACTGCACATTGGGGATCCAGAATCTGGTTTCAGGAGGATTAGTATGAGGGAAGGACGCAGGTGTAAGCGAATATCCTGACTCACCTTCATAGTGATGAAAATTTATCCTGGTACTTGAAGTATACGGATTCTAAGCCACTCAGAAAGATGTCAGCCACAGTTTTGGTGCGATCTGAAATTCTCCCGATTAGATCAGATAGACTACGGGTAGGAAAGCATCAATAATTGAGGTTAGTTAACAAATTATTATGATCCATCTGGTTCATGCTACCATCAACGGAGTAGTATTCTTACAACCGGAACAATTGAGGTTCGCGTCGCCGACTGCGGGACAACATGACGTGACAAGGGAAGCTGACGCCACAATCAGAGCCACAATCAATCACATGTTTCTGCTTGCATTTTATCAAAGCATCCACCGTTACGAGTCATGATGGTGTGCAACCCCTTGCGAAGCATTCTGGAAGCGGGATACACACTCGTTTCCTCCTACTAGCAGCATCTGTAGGCTTTTGCATCCGCCTGACCCGGTCACACAAACGGTCTTCTAAGAAATGGAAATTCTACAGAGGGCCAAGAACGTCTTTCAATGCGGTACTACTACTAGTAGCAGACGAAGGGGAAGAGGCGAAAGGAGGCTGATGATGGCAATTGCATCTGCATTCAGATGCCAAATCCCAAAATCCGCAATGCAGCTGTACTAAAGTACCAAGACCTGCTTCAGCAGGATTCCATGCATCTGTCCGTCTTCTGATTGGCATTGACTGATTCGAGATGCACGATAAGAAGGGCTATGGAGTTTCGATGTGTAGGGGTAGCTATCTATGCACAAACACTAGTCGTACTAGCAGTGGAGGAGTTCTTTGTGAGTTGGATTGGAAGCATGATTCATCTTTGATACGTCACGGATATCTCCTGATGTCGCGGGTGTTGTACGAAGCAGACCCCTTATTAGTGATGCATGCTTGATCGCTGGTAATCACACGTGATTCATCTTGGCATGCGGCAGCTGTTTGTTTCTAGGGCGCGGATAGCGAATGGCCAACAAATATTGAGGAGGACAAGGCGAGAACTGAATGGAATGGATACGCACAGTGTAATTGAAGTACTTGAGCAATGCCGCAGTAGTCGCTTAGGGGCACTCAAGCACTGCTACCAGTACTACTAGTAGTGGTATTTTCGCAGTACGGAGTACTACTCCATGCGGCTGGTGAGAGGACCTGTGAATTTCACATGTCAGTGACGGTAGTTCCTGGATAACTGAACTACTAGCATCAGGGAAGCTTCAATTTTCCAACGTCGTCAATCTTGGCGAATCTATGACCCGCCACTGTTAGCGAAAACTGTTAGCGAAAGGTTGACTGAGGCTTGACGGTTGACAGTTGACAGTTGACAGTTGATGCTTGCAGCTTCCTCCCACTGCCTGCAGCCAGAAAAAGTTGTTGAGGAGGCAATCCTGATTCACATGCCAGAATTTCTAATACTACCTGATCCCTCATACACTCTGCTCTTCAATTCTCCCTCTCCATCCTCACTCTGCCCAGTACTACCAGTCTACCAAACTGCTTCACTTCCTCAACACTGAGATCCTTCCCCTCCATTGGGATTCCTGCAAGCACAAACAAGTATGTACACCTTCCCTATCCACATCCAGTTGCACCTGGTGCCTTCCTTGTCGAATGTCTTATGTCTTGTATGAGCCTGCCCTGTTGGGTTCAGATTCTTTCTTCGACCTGATCTCCGTGTTTCGCCCAACTTCCACAGGATTCTGCTTGAATCGTCCTTGTCCAGATGTCTTCACCTCCTCCCAACAGCACCAAGCGTCGTCGTGCCAAAGCTAACAGGACTTCCACCAGCAAACAGTCAACTCCTTCTATGCCCCACGCCACCGCCGATATGGGTGAACCATCTATCAACGGCGATATGCCCTCCTCCCAATTCTTCTCCGTGAGTCATACCATCCATCCTGAGTTCAGCTGTCTCTCTTACATCTGGGGACTAACCTCTTTCTCTAGCACCTGCACTCCTACCCCGTGGTCCATGACTGGGTCTCAACCTTCATGAACAACCCGTATGGAGCCAGAGGTATCGACCTGACCAATGCTACCTACGCCAAATTCGTCCGCCCCACCCTTCCATATTTCAAAGGCCCATACTCCTACGTTGCACCATACGTCTCCAAGGCCGATGAGCTCGGTGACAAGAGTCTATGCAAGATCGAAGAGAAGGTGCCAATCGTCAAGTCTGAGACCAAAGAGATTCAGCAGACCGCCATGGACGTCGCCCTCTGGCCCCTCAACACGCTCGGAAGAAGCAAGGATTATGTTCTGACGACATATAGCGAAGAATATAAGAAGTGTGGTGGTGACGGTGTCATTGCAGGTTCCAAAGCAGCCGTCACCAGCTCGCTGGTCATGTCCGCGGACATCCTGAGCTGGGTCTCATCGCTGCTCAAGGCCAAAAAAGACGAGGCTCGAGACACTGTCAAGGAGAAGACTGGCAAATGAGTTGGACAGCTAGGGTATTGCAGGGTGCACGCTAAGTGAGAGGGATCCATTACTCGCGGACTGTAAGATTGTTACCCTTTTTCTTCGTGGTGGTAATGATGCACCGCATGTGGACCCCCAGCTGTTGACTGCGGTGGCATATTTTTGTTGAGTCGGAAAGACTGCCGAGGTATCACCAAACTTTCTCCGATGAAGGGTGCAAGGATTGCATTGGTCGGAGCGATTCATCAAAATCATTTCACCGAGTGCCGATTTTCTCTTCTACTCGAACATACCATAGACTTCTAGTCTTCTTTGCTTCAATAAGATTGTCACTCATCGGGCCAAGTATACCGTGTCTTAGTAGCATTGATCACGACTGTCGACCCCCTCTATGGCATCGTCTACGGCGAACCTCAACCTGTTGACGTGACGAAACATTTTTCCAACCGCCTTGTCTTGGCTCATCCATCCCAACAGCAAGTGGATCGATTTCGATCAGCTGCATGCCACTCGACGAGGCCAGTCTACAGGTACCCGCAGCTTTACATAATAGTCTGCGAAGGCGTCGAACCATTGTTCACGCTCACGCTTATGCTCACACGTGAAAAATCTCAAACACTATTCCCGTCTCCTGAGGGCCGGCTACAGTGATTCGCCTCCCATCGGAAAATCTTCACAAATGCCACCATGTGTCCAAGGAAGATCACCAGCTCTCTCTCTCTGCTTTTGTTTTCGATAATGATCTCTAAGGCATCTAGCTAGCTAGAGTGTGCGATGTGCTCGAGTACTAAGTTACTTAGTACTTAGCACTGATCTAACTCAGAGCGAAGCTCCCTCCCCTCCCCTTTTTTTTCTCTTCTTTCCTGGAAAATGCACTGAGCTCTTCTAAGCAAGTCCTGCCATGCGATGAGCGATGATGGACGAGCCAAAGCATGCATGTTCCCGCCCCCGTGATCCGAGTCCTCCTGCTGCAAGCTCTCGCAGCATGAAACGCGTGAGAAAGATGCATGACAACGGGACCGGAAAAAAGAAGCAGGGCCTTCGTATTGCCGCACCACCCAGGGGTGACTTGTATCTTTTTTTTGGGCAGGTTTCCCGTCTTCACGTCAGTGGATGTCAGGATCAGCGCGAAACGCCCTCGTTGTTCCCATACCGTATTGTCCCGTTCCCATATCTCCCCATGCGCAACAGAGGCCAACAAGGGATTCCAATCACGCCTTCAAGAAATCATCAAACTCCTTCGGGACCTCCCATCCATGAATTGCACAGGCGCGCTTGTAAGCTTCCACTGCCTCACCGACACTATACTCGCCACCAGCTGCGGCATCACCATAACCACCCCTGGCAGGCCCAGCACTCCTCTTGCCGCCGACCGGACCAACGCCAAGCCTCCCCGTGCACATCAACCGAGCCGGTTTCGGATCCAGACTACTCATCGCCAGGCGAACCTGCAACAGCACGCTCTCCACGCTACTGACCGGGCTCCAACCGCTATTCGTCAACAGCTCCATACACAGCGCCCCGCCCGCGGTGACGTGGCCACCGCCGCCATGCATGAACGGGAGGAAGCGCGGACGGATCACACGCACAAAGGGAGGCGAGATGGGGAAGTTGCTGCTGAAGCGCATCTCGAGGATGATGGAGCGGAGACCTGCGCTCTTCATGTCCTGGGCGAGCGGTAAGGAGGGTTCGAATGAGTGCATCTCCACGATCCATTGGTACATGTTGGTGATGAGGTCCTCGTTGATGTACCAGCCCAGTTCGTGGAGCGGGGTCGTGTTTTGTATGTGTAGCGTTTGTTTGAGCGTGGTGAGGAGGGCCTTGGTGGCGCTGGTCGAGGCCGAGGATGGCGGTGCCAGTAAAGGGAGAGTGGAGGCTTGGAGTTGGCCGGGCACGAAGTCTGTTTTGACGGGCTCGGTTTGGGGGATGGGCTGGGCATCTCCCTTTCGGCTGTGATTGGGCGGTGGGCTTACTGCATCCTCGTCTTCATCGTCGGACAATAGGATCGCAATATCAGACGCGTCTGTGATCATGCTTGCGGCGTCGTCTTCGCTCTTTTCGGCTTGCTCTTGAGTTGCTGAGCCTGTGACTTTGACTTTCTTGTTGCCAAGGGGCAGTGGACTCGTGACCGCTGTGGGTCGGCGTGACTTGCTGATGGCGGTGATTGGAATGATGACGGGTTGGCCGTGTACGCCAAGGGCAACATGCTTTGGGTCTTGACGGTACACGTGTTTTGGCGGTGTAGAATCGCCAAAATTTTGGCCTAATTCTCGGTTGTTGGCTTTGACAAAGAGATATCGAGCTTGGATCCAATCGATCTGGTTAACGACGTAATGAGGGTTCCTGTGCACAAATTCATTGGGGGCGTTGATGACCTCGTTCAATGCCAAAGCACTGGAAACACAGAGCTTGCTGTTACGCCAGTTGTTACTGATGCTGGTGGACGGATCCGCTGAATAATAGCCCATGCCAGAATAACCAATACTAGTTGTCGCGTGAGGACTCATGTAAACGCCATGACCATAAGCTCTACCATGCAGGGTATCGTTGAAATGGAGGCCTTCCCGTACAATGGAATGCCAGTTCGGCAGAGGGCTCCCATGCCAGGCAAATAGCGTTGGGTAGTTTCCCAGCTGCAGTCGAGTAGAAACTTCCTTGACGCAGTCCATGAACCGTTGTTCTTTGTCAGGTGCACCTTGGGCAAAGCGAAACTGCATCCACTCTTCCATCCCAGAAACGCGGTCTTCACCACCTGCAGAAGATGCTGAGGAGGATGGCCGATCAACCTGCATGATGCACGATCTGTTGGAAGCTATGATCCACCGCAATAGATTGAGAGCAGTGTCTGAGATTCTATGACGGAATCGTTTTAGTGAAGGGTCTTGAGGATGGCTTTCCAGGAAAGCTTTCATTTGCATCACATCCGGAAGGGTATCAAGTATGCAAGTGATGGAGCTCTGCTTATCGTGATCTGATAGCTCGTCGAAACTCTGGTCATACACAAAGACCTCAGCGTCAACCAATCCAACCGATGCAGATATATTTGAGATCCCGCTATCACTGGGCATGCGAGCAACGCCCGACACATAGATCAACTCGCCCAACCGAATTGTAGGGAAGAAGTTTTCTTCAACCCGTGCATGATATGCTCCTTCAAAGCATGTTGCAGTGACAACTAACCAGTCTCCAATCTTGAGGGGCCCGGGAGCTTTCCGATCGATCAGAAGCAGTTCTCGTGCCGTTGAGTCAAACCTTGAAGGAATTGGTCGAGGCACGAAGCGGGTAGCAGGTGTACTTGGAGCGCTTGCAGGTACCGAAAGAGGAGGTCTGTGATAGTGATGGTAACCTGTAATCTGGGTTGGGGCTGGTTGCGGGAGGATAGGAACCTTCAGATCGATGCCGATTGGGAAATCCTTCAGGCGACGGCCTTGAGCGCTGGCGTAGCAGAAACTAACCAATAGATCCACCACGTATGGTTGAGAGAGTATTTCCCACTCAATGCTTGGTCCAAAGCCAAGGGCCATATACTGAAACAAACAAAGAGGCTTCGAACATACATAAGGTTTGAGAGCCTCGAAATTTGTGTCAATCTTGCAGTGGCACACAAGGCAGAAATCTGTGCACCGTACAAAATGCCGGAGAACGAACTGCATTGCGGCGAGAGGAAAGGACATCAATTCTGGTAGTAGTGTTTCTCCAATGTGATCAGCAGTCACCATTTTTGGCAAGGCTTGAGAGACAGGAGGATCGCTGACGTTGAAGGAAGCTTGAGTTACATCTATCGATGTTGCGGCTTTTGACTGGATTTCGTTGAAGAATAGCTCGGCCCCGGTCCAAGAATACGAGCAAGCAATACGGTATTTGATTATAGCTGGCAGTCTTGTCAGAAGTTCATTCAGTGGCCTCCCAATGAAAAGTGGCTCAAGTGTGCCCACGGCGGTTTGAGCTGCGCTTCGTGACGATGCTTGTCCCTGTTCGACCACGTTCGATGCCTTGGACTGTCCCGAAAGCTGACTGAATGCGTTGGTGGCTTCGGTGATTGTTGGTTTGTATTGTTGACAAAGTGCGACACGGAATTCAGTTCTGGATATGCCTGACTTCGTTTCTTCCTTGACATCTTCAATGTTCTTGTATCCGTTGCCGTAGCGAATCAGGAAGATGAGATAATGGTTTCTTTTGAGTCCCCACGCTTTCAGAGCCTCTTCTGAGATACCCAGCTTCGCTATCCTGACCGAAACACATACGATGCCACTTTGTTCCAGGTTGCCGAGGACGCCAATCTTGAAACCAGCCTCTTTAACTAAGCGCAGATCTGATCTGATTCTGGCTTTCACTTCCCTTTCTAGGATCGGTCTGCTACCACCGTCCTTGAATGCAGCTTCGGTGGGCTTTTCAGACGTTGGCGAGTGGGTAGACCACATATCGGCGTCGCTGTCGTCCTCGATCAGGGGGTCGTCCTCGTCGATGGCATCGGAAGATTCAGGATCGCCGTCCGGTTTGTCTTTTCCTAACAAAGCATGGTTGATCGCTGTTGAGACTTCAAGGAGCATCTGGGAAATACTCCGACCAGAGACAGAGGGCTGTACCGATTGTACGGCCTCGTTAACGGCACTCGGCGCATTTTCTGAGGTAGTGAAAAGGAAATATGAGTGATCCGAGGGATAGTCGGACACGTCTAGAGAGATTTTAGCACAATGTCAAACCCACGATGTATGTTCCTTGACTTGGAAGACAGTTATGATTCTTTGGAGTGGTTTTGGGAGGACGATGTACCAGATACCATAGCGTCAATCGCAATCTCTTCCACGGAGAAGGCTAAAGACTGAAACATGAACTTGATGGTGCCATCATCGTCGCCGCCAGTGACATCGGAGACCTGAGCGAAGCGGCCAGGCAGAGCAGCGTCTCGAAGATCATTGACAAATGCTTTACGGCCCATCTTGAAGTCCTCATGGGAGTGACACCAATCAACGGCCCAAGCGAGTGGTGGTGACGAGTACCCAACGTAGCCAGCCAAAAACAGAGAGGCCCAGATCAAACTGTATTGACAACTGACGGCATATAGCGATATTCCCAGCTTTGGTGGAATCACTTCCTGGTATCTAAAAAGAGCAGCCTTGGGCCATAATTTTGTGGGAGCGTTCCTAGAATGAGAAGCAGAAGTGAACGAACACCTTATGTTCAGGGCACAGTGATATTTTCAAGGCATTCACTGCCATTAAAGAACACTAAAGAGTCAAAAGAAACACCTAGTCATCTGTTGTGGTGGGACTTGTGCCTTTTGCCCAAACACTTGCATATCAGGCAGCAACAAGCAGGCTGACACAAGAAACACACCAATCTAGCATTAATATGGCAAGGCGAACATCTAACACTCGAACCTACTAGAATAATAGCAACTTGGTGTGGTTATGAGTCTTGTGAATTTCCCAGTAACATTCATGCATCTGGTATCGTTGCTGAAAAATTAAGTTAGTTGGATTGCTGGAAAGGAAGATACATTTGTAGTTTGACCACCAATCACGATTCACCATGCCATTGGGAACGATCTCTCAGTCAGGTTCTGTCGCGAAACCTTCCAAACAGTCCGACATGATGGCTCAATTGCTTCACTAATGGCGTTGACTATCATCGGTCAGATGGTCTGTAGGTTGAAAGCTACACGATGCCTGCTCGAGTCTTGCAGGAGTCCTCACCAATCTCCATAACGACACCGGCCAATGATAGCTCAAACCTAGACTTCACCGCTACCACATTCGACCCTGTCTCTTTCCTGAACGAATCTCTTCCCGCCCCATCGCTATCATTGACCTTGACGCCGGATCAGGCTCGACCAAGGGATTTGTCACTTCAACAAGTCTCAACGCAGACGCAGGCTTTCCTCGCCCAAATCAATGCTCAGAATATCCGTTCCGCTAGCACTCTTTCCCAACTGACGGACGAGATCTTACGAAGTGGCAGTCGGCTTGCATATGAAGTAGAGGTGCTGCGTGGAGACGCGAACGCTCTCCATGACAGTCTTACAGACGCTCTTCAGGAGGACATTCAGAAATTCACTTTCGCAGATACAACAGCAGATGGTAGGGATGTCGCTGTAGGGGAGGAGCAGCTCAATGGCTCTACACATAGCAACGAGCCAGCTTTTATCAGCCAGCTACGGATGCTGGCGCAAGTGAAAGCGCGGCTAGAAGAAGTCATCAATGTTTTTGGCGAAGCTATGAAATGGCCTCTGGCTCCATCACAGCTCTCCCTTACCTCCTCCTTGATTTCGGTGTCAGCACCAGAGCCCGGATCAGAAAGTCACAGTCGGGAGGAGAAGGGGAGGGAATATGCGAACAAAGCCAAAGCGGAAATTGTTGAGCTTTTGAACAACACTACCGGGGTCCCTAATGTAGAAGCTGCTGCCAGGAGAGTGGACGCATTTAGATCGTTGTTGGCTGTATGGAAGGGCACTGCAGAGGAACGAGCTAGGACCAAATTTGTTGACAGTTTGAGTAAACTTGTGGAGGAAAAACGAAGACAACTAGAGGCTCGATCCCTGTCACAGCCTCTACAAGACACGAATGCTGGGGCGCAGCGGTCAAACTCAACACCAGGGAGGCCATCTGCAGGACAGCCACGAGAGCGTCTCGGAAATGAGACGGGTAGTGGAGGTGGTTTGTTCAGGAATCTGCAAAGACTTCGAGATGAAATCTACCTGGACTGAGAAAGGTGCATGACGGGTGGAGATCACAGACAACAGTCTAGACAAACATTGACCCGGCTGCTCTATGTGCTGTCGAATCATGAATGGCCCCCTTTGTTTGAGCGTACCAAGAGAGCCTTCTAATGGTATGTCCCAGTCGCGAGGCGAGTAAGCTTGTGGCATCTCTGGAGAATCTCGCATTGAAATTTCTGGAATGCTTTATGAAGGTCTCATGCGCTGTTAATTGCTACTGGGATATTCCCAGGCACGTCATGATAAGCTCGGAACACTCCAGCACCTGCATCATCAGGCACCACACTTAAAATCTGAGTGGCGTGAAGAACCATCTGTTCTTGCCACTTTGGTATCTCTCCTCCAATGCCTTCTTGACTGTCTTCTTCGCCTCTTCCCGTTGGCTGATTTCCTTGAATGTGTCGTTGCTCACCACTCCTTTCAGTCCTTCCAGTTCTAGTGTGTATCGTGTAGGCATGAGATGGTTGTAGTTGATCATTTTGATGAAGGGTTTGACTTTGCTCCGTTTCTCCATCCGTTTTTTGCCCATGCGACGTGTGACTTTTGTTGGATATCGTTCAATGCCTGCGACCAAAGCATAGGGGAAAGGATGTTGCTTTGTGCCTGTGTCCATCGGTTGTATTATCACGACCTGAATGAGCAAATGTCAGTCTACTGGTTCAGACATCTCACTTCACCAAGAGCTATTGTTCCAACTACGACGGTACCTTCTTGCCCGCATATCTCCCCCGTGTAATAATGGCAACTCGGCCTACTTTGAGGACTGGTATCGGAGGTTAGCCGTTGCGTCGATGCTTGTGAGGAGCAAGTAAAACCACTTACACTTCATCCTGCAGGCAAGACACGAATAACCTGCGGTTTTGTCGTTATTGTGAGTTGAGATAATACTCAAGGGAAATTTAGCAGTTTTGGAGTTGCGAATTTGTGTGATTGTGGCAGACGACACCTGATTGGTTACCGGCAGCCCTAAGCCGAAGTGGTAAGCGCAGTTCCGAGCGTGGCTTGGCAAGTGTTTGTTTACTCGGATTTCCTCATGCTTGCTAGTGTATCGGTATATTGAATTGAATCCTAGGTATACCAGGAAGTATAGGCGCCAACATATCCGTGGACCTGCGCACGGCGAAGAGGATCATACGTATTATATCAATTGCCTGCAAAACATCAAGAGCAAAAAGTATGGTTGATTTCCCTCTCTCGAAGCTTATGCGCGTGCATTCCTGAAGTGCATTCTTCAACACCACGTTTTACGAGTCGGAAGCATTCGCCGACAAGCTTTGGCCATGCCTTCAATTAGACGAGATGAGTCGCGGGAGTCGCGGGAGTCTCGGGATCGAGACCGAGATTCGCTTGTGCTGAAGCATCAACATTCCTTCTCTGAATCTGGCAGAGCGTCTGTTCCTATGTGAGTCTTGCTTACAACTTCAGAGCGCTGTCACGGGCGCTGACGTGGTGGACTAGGTGGGATAGCTCTGATCCTGAAAGAGCCCCTCCTCCACTACCATTGAATCCAGGTACCTCGTCGAGCCCAGCCGCACGACCCAATACCTCTGCGAAAATTGAAGAGGCAGCCGCGCTGATCACAGCGAAAGCCCGCGATAATGCACCAAGCACTTATACCACCAATGTTATGTCCAGCGGATCCCCGGAGAAAAGCCTTGTCAAACCACATCACCGACGTTTGCAATCGGTCCAAAACAGCAATGTTCGAGGTTTGAGTGACTCGCTCGAGAGACGTTCTCCAGAAAAAGGTCTGCGAGCTTCGAGAACATCAGAATTTGAGAGTCGTTCTGCGGAAAGGAGTCCAACAAGGGAAGGTTCAGAGACTCCGACACCAACCGGCAGAGCCACCCCTAATTATCTCAGCAAACCAATTCTGGGCGAGAATACACCACCATCCGCTACGATGCTCGCTCTGCAGTCGATGCGATCACGTGCCGAGTCTGAAGCTCCGCTGTCGAACATCACCAATTCCTCGAGCAACATGGGACGAGCTCCGTACACATTTGATGCTATTTCATCTCAAATTCTTAGTCTCACCAGTATTGCCACAAATCTGCAAAGAGAAATGGCGGCTCTGAGTAAGCGTAGTAAAGACAATGCTACGGATCTGATAAGTCTGAAAGAGGCTACCAATTCCCGGGATGAGGATATCCGCAAGAGTTTGAAAGATCTTTTACTAAATCTAGACGCGAAGTTCTTGACTGCACCAGAGACTTCACGCTCGACACCGACTCCCGGATTATACCTGGATAATAAAGCTCACAACTCGACGCCGGCAAGGAAGAACTTTAGTCTGCCACGAATCCCGAGCCCAAACAGTTTCAGTGTAGCTATGGAACGAGAACTCACTGCATCTCCATCGATCGTGTCTACGGACGGGGCGGCCAGTATTGCGCTACTTGAGAAGGTCTTACGAGAAATGGGCACCAAAGATGGTCAGGAGAAGATTTTAAAAACCCTAGAGAGAGTCAAATCTAGCTCGAAAGAGTCCCGCGTCGATCAGTCACTTATGAGCAAGCTGGAAGAGATTCTGCAGCTATTGAAGGATAGCTCGGCTAGCCACGCCCTTGTTCGTTCCTCCCAGAGCTCGCGCACCACAGGACTTTCCAACCCAGATGCCGAGCCTGGGCAATTAGCCCGTGCGATACAGGATCTCAACGTTAGTGAAAATAAGAAGGCGGACGAAAACACTTCTACCCCTGACTTCATCAATGATGAGGTTATGAAAATCCTGAAACGCGTCAAGCAATCTGTGTCCGAAGGAGGTGGGTTGACTAACGAAGTCAAAGCACTTGTTCGGGAACTTAGGGGCGAAGTGCTGGGCATGGGACGCGAGATTGCTAGAAAACTTGAGCAGGCCGAGTCGTCCTACAAGTCGTCAAGGAACGACAGCCAAGGCCCCGGGCGGGAAGAGATTGCTCAGATAGTTGAAGATGGTCTGCACGAGCTCAAACAGCACATGGATCAGCTGATTCGCGAAAACCGACGACAATCGGCAGCAAGCACGAGAAGTATAGCGGATACGCAAGAGGTCGTTCTAGCCGTGCAAGCTGCTCTTGCCGAGATACCAAAGCCTAGACAGGAGCCCATTCGAGATCCAGCGGCGGAGCGTGAGGAATTGCTGAGCGCCGTCAGAGAAGCTTGGGAGGATTGCAAACCAGAAATCGCGCTCGAGCACTTCGGCCTAGAACGAGATGAAATCCTTGACACTCTCAAAGAAGGCCTTCGCTCATACCAACCACAACACCCGGAAATCAGAGAGGTTGGAGCCAGTTATGAAGAGGTGCTTGACGCTGTTCAGAAAGGGCTGGCCGACTTCAAGCCACCCCCGATTGACACGGACGCAAGTCTCACGCGAGAGGAGATCCTCATGTCAGTCAGAGAGTGTCTAGAAAGCTTTGAATTCCCAATGCCTGTTCCCCCCACGCCCCTTGCAAAGGAACCGAATCTTACCCGCGATGATGTTGTCGATGCTGTCAAAGAAGGCTTGGATAACCAAAGCCACACCACCAAAGAGATCGAATTCAACCGAGACGATCTCTTTGACGCAGTCAAAGCTGGACTCGAAGGTGCACGAACCCCGATGGGTGGTGTGGGTGAGCAAGTGTTGGAACAGATGCACGAATTCCTTGCAAGCATGAAGAGCGAGTTCAAGCAGTACAGTGCAGCTAACGGCAAAGATACCGAGCAGGTGCTTGACGCCATGAAAGACGGCCTCGAGGAACTCAGAGCTGATATAGAATCCTATGTCGATCGGGCTGCGGACGTGACCGGCAAAGACGAAATAATTGACACGGTCAAAGATGGCTTCAGGGCAATGCAAGCTGACATTGAGAAGGTCTCAGGCAATCGAGGTGGACATGTGAATACACCCGAACTGCTTGATGCTATGGAAAAAGAGTTCGAGCACCTCCGGGACTCCCTCCACAAGTCTCTCACTCGTGCAAATACCTCAACAGATAGTGCCGAGATTCTTGACGCGATCCGTGACTTGTCGGAGGAACGGGGGTCAAGCTTGAGTAGTAATGGTGAAGATATTGCTCGCCTGGTTAAGGAAGAGCTCGAGCACATGCGAAGTACATTAGCCGGGACGCTTGTGCGTGCTGCGTCCAACGTGGACCGCGAAGAAATCCTGGAGGCAATCCGCGAAGGACTTGAGGCTCATCAGAGTCCGAGAAAAGCGGATGGCAATGAAAGTATCCTTTCCAACACAAGTGAGCTGTTGGACGCTTTTCAGGATGGCGTGGATGGCATCCGATCGGATATGGAGAAGCTCATGAATCGACCGGTCGACATGAGCACAAGTTATGAGATCTTGGATACTCTCAAAGCTGGATTGGACAGTGTGCGGTCTGACATAGAACGCCTCTATACCACACAAAGGGACCTTTCCGATACGGCGACAGCGCGGGGTCAAGAGGTCGTCGTGCATGATGAAAATCTCATATCTACCGAGATCGAAGGCTTGAAGGTCATGATCACGCAGCTGAGGATAAAGGTAGAAGCTCTCGACGTGATGCCTCCAGAACGAGAGCCTCTTCACAAGGATGATTTCGCTGAGGTTCGCGCTGCGCTGCAGGAAGTGCAAGCAGCTGTCCTTCACTTTGGTGATGTAAAAAGCAGCTCCAGCAGTGACAACATGGCTACCAAGGACGACACCGATGCCATTGAAATTCTGTTACGCAATGTCAAAGCCAAGCTTGATGACTTTAGCCTACCGGATGTCGATGGGCTCGCAAAGTCCGTCCACTTGGATTCGATAGAAGACATGGTGCGCGAAACGAAGCATCTTGTGGAACAGACCGATGCTCATGCACGCGGCGAGCATGCATCAAAAGAAGATTTGAGCATCGTGCAGTTGCTTCTGAGAGACGTGGCCGCGGGAGTAGAGGAGCTTCAAGACAAGGTCACAATACTGTCTAGCGACGACGATCGCGTCACCAAAACAGATCTACAGGTCGTGGAGACGTTGTGCTTGGACACCAAGACCCAGCTTGATGAGTTCACGTCCGTCGACTTTGCAGCTCTGCCCACCAAAGACGATTTTAAAACCGTTCATAACACCATCAAGACCTTCCAAGAGAGCATCGAAGCAGAAAACGAGCTTACCGCGCAGGCGTTTGAGGCTCGCAAGATCGAACACGGAGGACTGGCAACAAAGATCGAGGATGTGAAAGGCATCCTCAGTGAGATCCGGGGAGAAATGATTGAGAAGCTCGACGGCAGCGAGGAAGGTATTGTCGAATTGTCGAAGGTTCTTGGGCATCACCACGAAAGCATGAGCAAATATGCATCCGCAGAGAGCATCAGCGAACTCATGGATCTGATCAGGACGGAATTCGAGAAGCAGCATGAGGAGCAAGGGAAAAGCCGTAACGATGTTGAGGAAGGGAATGCCGCATTGCTTTTCAAGCACGATGAAGTCCAAGCAGCCATCTCCAGCGAGTTGTCTGTCAAGATCGAAGACAAGTTCAGCGAGCTTATGGCCAAGTACGACGATGCACAGATGTCGAACGAGAACAAGCTCAACACTCTTGAAGAGAGAGATGGCAAGCATCTTGAAGCATTGACCACCACCAAAGCCGTGGTCGATGACCTGAAACTGCTCATCGACACTCTCGGCTCGACCACGACAGAGGCCTGTGATAGGATCTCTGATGACTCCAAGACGGTCTTCAATCGCGTTGCTGACGCCAACTCGAAGCTTGATGTGCTACACCAGACTTCTGCCAATCAGCACGCTTTGACAAGAGAAGAGGTGGCAAAGACACTAGCTACTGCAATGCGGCTCGAAGGCTCACTCCTAGAACACCAGCCTGCCGTGTTGGGCGCCATCAAAGAAGTCATGAACATCATCACCCAACACTACGAGCACTCACAAGCTCACTACCAGCACTCCCAATCCGCAACCGAAGAGCTTCGCTCGAATATCAACGCCATCCCCTCTACCATCCCAAGGAGTACGATGACAGCCAAGTGCACGACAAGCTCAATGTCCTGCTCAACCACGCCAGCGGTGCAAAAGAGGCACTCAACAAGATGGAGGCAAATGTCTCAGACACCAGAGAATCCCTCGCCAACATGGAGAAACTGGACATGATCCACGAGCAGATGCTCGCAACCGCGGGAGAAGTCTCCAGCATGATCATCACGCAGACGCGGTTGATGGCCGAGCACCACGACTCTCGCGCAACAGAAGCAGCAGAAGCGGGTATCGCGTTGGAGAAGCGCGTAGCCCAAAAGGAGAGGGTCGAGGCCGAAGTCGTGGCTCTTACGTGCGAGAAGAACGATCTCCTCAGCGCGGTGGAAGCGCTGAAGAGGGAGAAGGAAGGGCTGAGTGGACAGGCCAAGCGATTAACGCGAGAAGTAGCCAAGCTCGAGACAGCGCTCAGCATCCGACAAGAAGAGATGCGAGAGATGGACTTGCGGGCGGAGAAGTTGGAGCGCAGGATCCTGGAGGGCGTCATGGATCATGCCAAGTCACTGAACATGATCCGGCCGGTCGCTGCAGGGAGCAAGAAGAGCAGAGCTGCGGAACGGGATCGAGCGATGAGTTTGAAGAGGGTGGTGAGTACTTCTTCGACCGCTACTGCCAGGACGGTGGGGACGGTGAAGGACGGCACCACCACCAACAGCGGTACGGGCTCGACGCTGGGGAATGCGGTGGGTATGGCGCTGAAGAAGCGGACGCCCCTTTCCAGCGCGGCGAACTCGATGGTGTCTTCCTCGCGATCTAGTGGTGGTGCTACTGTTGAACGCAGGATCCTTAGTACGAGCCATGTTATGGGCAACCGGCCACGCGATCAGCCAGCCACGAATGAGAGGGCATTGATGCTCGCACCGACGGCGAATGCAAACAACTCTGGCCTGATGAATCTCAAGCGCAGTCATTCCGTCAAGAGCAATCCGAGCAGTTACTACGGTGGACGGAAGGCTTCGTGGAATGGTCGCGGCATGACGGATCTGAGCATGGTCTCGTCTGCGGACAAAGAGAATGAGATCCTGACCGAAGAAGAAGAAGACGAGGAAGAGGGGAGTCAAGGAGAGGACGGCAGTGAGGCGGGCACGGAAAGAAGGACCTCCTTCTCCGGCACCAGTGCAATGTACACTGATAGTCTGACATACGGCACTGGCAGTACGCTGAGCCGCAACACCTCCGATGCTGGGAGGTCGGTCAGCTATGCCAGCTCCGCGGCTGGTGTGGTCGGTGGTGCGACGGAGGAGAGTATCGAGGAAGAAGTGGAGGACGACGACGACAAAGAGGAAGAGGAAGACCAGGCTGCGGGACAAGAAACGCCACCTGCCAGCATGGAGACCAGGGATGGAGAGGGAGACGCAACTCAAGACGACGAGTCGGCCAAAATCCTAGCCCTGCTCGGTCCACCCACCTCTTCCTCTGTCGTCTCCGCCACCAGCACCGTGTCCTCATCGCTCACATCCGCAGATGACGACCAAGACGCATCCTCTCCGCCTTCGCCTTCGCCTTCGCCTTCTGTCGCCGACGACGACCACGATCACGAGCAGCAGCAGCAGCAGGAACTTACCCTCGCCACCGCGCTCTCAGACCTGCAACCACCCAAACCGGCCTTTGCAAAGGCAGACAAGAGAGGCGATGTGGTCACGTACAATGAAGGCCAGCAGCATAGCGATAGCGGGTTAGGATCGGAGCCTCAGACGGCGGATGTGGAGAGGATGGGCGCGGCGGCCGAGTATTTTCAGAGGGATACCAAGTTTTGAGCAGATTCCCCCAGTCCCCAGGCTGGTGAAGCGAAGGGGGTTAGTTAGGGCCAGATGGGGAAGTAGAGCGGCTCGGGGCGCGGGGAGGGGGTTTAAACTGGAAGCAGAAGAAGATGAAGATGGCATGGCATGGCATGGCATGGCATGGTATCCCTTTGGGTTGTGTGTGATATGCTGCTTGCCCTTCGTGTTGAGGAAGATATTTTCCTGGGTTGGTTGCGTACGGAAAAAGCGAACGAGCGAGTGATCGAGGCGTACAGCAGTTAGGGGCTTTTGGGTACATTGCGTTATGATTGGGTAGTAGGTATGGATGAGTAGGGGCAGGGTACGTTCGAGTTATGCAATATGCAAATCAGGGTCCAAATAAGAGAATGTATTCCTTTCAACTGCAAAGTTTTCCTACTCGTTCTGCGGCTTTTCCCGTTTTCAAGGCCAGGCTTGATTGCCATGTTGCTGGGCCTATTGTGTACCTCGTGATGTTTGGGTTTCCTCTAGTTAGTTGTGTGCATCACTCTGGCTTTGAAGGAATGCGAAGCGAGGCGAGGCGAGGCGGGGACTTGATTTGCATGTTTAAAACGAATGACCCTTCTTCTGGTGTTCGCGATACCTTCGATTGACGGACACATTGCGGTTGGTCATTGATGTGTCTTCTCTGTTCTCACCACTCACTCACTCTGTCGTATGTAGTAAATTTTGCGCATTTTGCTAATTGGTTACTATACTGCAAACGCGACCATGATCTAACAGGGCATCCATCATTGGATCATCAATGCGCGGCTCACTCAGCTAAGTTAACTAGTTAGACGAATCATGATGTCTCATCAGAACTTTGATAACGCGAGCTACGATATTTTAAGCCTAAAGCGACTTGGTTTACGGAGTACTCTTTGAATGCGTTAAGGTCTTTTTGGTGTCTATTCGTTCGTCCAGACTAGTTGAAGATATGTTGATGGCTGGGTCATGGTGATCGATTAGAAAATACGCAAAATTTACGACAGAGTGGTGGATGGGGAAGTGTGATGGAGAGAGAGGTGCAGAGTTAGGAGGATGGCGAGCTGACTCTGTTGCTGGGTATTGGTTAAAGACCTGAGCATGGAATGGAAGGGTGCAAATATCCCGGGAGTCCGGCGGTCTGTGCCTTGGACACGGGACCTTCGGACTGTTCTCCCCCAGACTTGATGGGTTGGAGTGATTCTCTAGCAGCCCTGTACATGACATGGCTTACACGATACTGAACGAGTAAGAAAGGGAGGGATGGGAGATGAAGGTCTTCACGTCCAGGAGAAAGCTGCCTTGCCACACTGGACGGCACTTGCTTGGGATGTATTGATGGTGATTACGTACGCTTCTTCGCCACGATTGCACCTCTCATCCATCAGGTCAGGTCAGGTATTCTGTGATGACCTTCCTTCTGAGACCGTTGAAATTTGTCATCCGCACTTCTCTCCAGCAGCTCGTGGATCTTGAAGTACATTATTTTGCGATCTCTGTACAAATGGGAAGAATGAGAGCTTTGAATATGGAGATGAGGATGCTGCGGTAGGGAAGGAGTACAGGATAGAGTGCCCAAGCCAATTGCAGTCACTGCTCCGTGGTCCGAAGTGTCCGTCGAAAACCCCACTGAGGGAGGAGCAGGTTGTGAGCCTCCTCTGTTGATAGTGGGGCTGTTATCACTCTGAGAGTCATCAAGGCCAACGACCGTAGTCGTGGTTCGATGGCTAAGGGTCAGAGCATAATGCTGACCTATAGCTTGGCTCGGTTTCTGCAGGGTAGAGCAAGAAGGTGAGATATAACAACGTTAGATCGGTCAGGAACTGCGACTTCAGAGCCAACTGCCGGATTTGTGGTCAGTAGCATCTCTCTGTGCCCGTGACCTGTCACTCCACACCAGTGCAGAAGCAAAAGGTGAATGCAAAGGTGGCAGAGAAAGAGGGTCACCGGCCAGCAGCCTTCCTGGCACGGATTTGCATTCTACTCTCCAGGTTACCGAACCGTTGACGAAAGGTCGGTCAGGGCGGACACATGGTCTCTGGAGGTGCCGTAAAGGCATCATCACAATATCAAGGGCGATGTGTCTTGTAGGCGTCTCGAACAGAAGATGAAGTGATGAATATGTCTTAGCTGTAAAATTGTTTATCTCTTCGCGCTCGCTGAATCTTGTCCTGTCCGCCCATGTAAGGCCTAAGAACCTCTGGTATGATGACACATTGCTCCTCTTCTCTCCATCCATGTTCCAAGATCGCAGCCAATACTCTTGGTACTGCCATTGCCGTCCCATTCACGGTGTGCGGAAACTTCGCCCTTTTCCCACTCTTCTGGAGAATCCGAGTCCCAAGCCTGCGGCTCTGATAGTCTGTGCATATCGACAAGGATGTCACCTCTCCCCACCCCTCATCTCTCGACATCCGCGAGGGAAACAAGACTTCGATGTCTACCTTTCGAACAGCACTTGCACCGAGCTCAGATGAAGGCATTTCCAAAATGCGACATGGCAGACCGAGAGAAGAGAGTATCTCCCGCTGAATCCGAAGCATTTCATTAAATACTGGCATGGAGCGTTCAGTGTCTTGGGAATCGTCCATACTGTTCGTCCATGCAAACATTTCCACTTTTGTGAATTCGTGTACTCGATACAATCCTTTCGTATCGACGCCTCTCGCACCTGCTTCAGCTCGGTAACACCGACTCGAACCAACCAGCTTGAGTGGTAACCGGTCTTCAGGTATGTCCTTGCCAGCGTACATGGCGGCAAGTGGAATCTCCGCAGTGGCTGCTAAACTTCTCTTTGGTTTCAGAGCATCCTTTTCAGCCTGCTGGATCTGCCATATCTGCTGCTCGTCGTTTTGGTCTCGTGGCTGAAAGCCACAAGCATCTGCAATGTAAGAATATACAACAGAGGGCGGGGCCACTGCAGTCCACCCCTGACGGAGCACCATAGACAATGCGTACTGTACAAGCGCTTGTTCGAGAAGTGCGCCCTCATTGATCAGAAAGTAGAAACCCCAGCCTGTACTGAGAGTAGCAGAATTGAAGTCAAGTATTGAAAGCGAGGTCCCGATATCTACGTGAGACGTGTGGCTTTTGGATGGCGCGACCTGACCGGGTTCATGGCCGATGTATGAGATGAGTTGTGGGCCGCCCTTCAAGGGTGTCTCGGAGTTTGTGAGGTTAGGTAGAGCCAGAGCTAATTCGTGAGCGGTAGCATCGTATGACGCCTTCCGACTTTCGAGTTCCCCCAGCGCATCACGCAGTGTAGCAGCTTCTTCTATAGCTATCGCGCTCCGTTGACTTGATGAAGTGGGGCTCTTCTGGGAGGCGTTTGCTGTGGCTATTTCTCTCTCGAGCTCTTTGATCTTCTTCGACAGTTCTGCAATATCCGCCGCGACGAGCTGCGACTCTTTCCCAAGTCTTGCTATCTCAGCAGGGAAGTCGGCATGGCCTCCATAGTTTCGGTCAACGCAATTCTTCGAATATATGTCCACATTCTGGCGTATGCGCTTGAGGTCTGGAAACTGCTTGGGAGCAGTTGGTGGTCGTGGAGTTTGGAGTTGGGAAGCAAGTCGTCTAAGGGAGGGCGGTCGAAAGGAGCACACCAGCCTAGCAGGGCATATCTTGGAAAAGCCTGTGAGGCACACAGCCATTCAAGAGTGAGTGGGGTTTATCACTTTCAGCATTACCGCGTTAACCCGGCTGTGTTCCTGGAAGTTTTTAACTCGCCTTTTAGTTGGCTCTCCCAGCTTCGGGCCGCCGTGTGCGCTAGTAATTAAAAGGCTAGCTTCTGTCCTAATGCCTACTGCGTACTACCAACTCTGTACTTCGTACTTCGTACTACGTAACCCTTCAGTGAGCTGCTTCCCAGTACAGCCCATAACTAGTAGATAGTCAGCACAACTCCTCATAATATGATCTCCCGCACGGGTCGTTTGTATGTGTCCCTGAAGATGTACAAGGGAACGTACAGCCTGGACTAGGTCTACGAGACCATCGCCGCAGTGGAAGACATCAGTCTGATTGCCCATCAGAGTCAATAAACAAGCTGGAAAGCAAACTCCCCTGCTCGTTAGAAGCAGGACTGGTCAGCGCGAGGGCCCAGTTGGGCTTTGTATAATTGGACCTTTGGACGCGATGACAGTGTCATCTCCTAGTGTGATAGCGTCCAAGAGTGCCAGTTCCGACATACGCTTCTGAGGACGGAAGGTTTGTCTTCTGCTATTGATACTGATGGAGCTACATTGAAGCTGGTATAGGAAAGGCGTCATAAGGTTAACATTCTCAACATCACTGGTTTGCCTTGGGAAGAGCAACAAAGAGCCCCTTCTCGAATGAGTCAGAGTAGGAAGATCGGGAATATTGTTAGTAAGCAATCTCTGATGTCAGCAATATGATTGATTTGTATCAGGAAGGTTGTCTATATAAAGCCCATTCAAACTGGCGCCAGAAGGCGCATTGTACATACAAGAGATGAAGTTAAGTGTCCTTCTTGTTTACTCCATTTACCTCCATCATCAGCTTCGCGATAATGTTATGCTCTTTCTCTGTTAGGAACCTCTCCATGGGCAAGGGCCCTTTCAATTCTTCTTTCCCATTGTTGACGATGTCGATGTCGATGTCGTCGATGTGGTTGCTTTGAGCGGCTGCATCCACGCTTGCGGTTTCCTTGGAGCCTATGCCTTGAACGTCATGGAGAGCATTGGTCAGGAGATTATGCTCCGCCAAGTTGGCGGTGGTGATCATTCTGGAAGACCTCTCTTTGCGATCTTCCGACGCGTGACTTGTGTATGCGACATGAGTACTGACCGGGTCCGAGCAACGCGAGCATGGGCACTGAGGCAAAATACTAAGAGAAGGTTGGGTTAGCCGACTTTGTTCTTATGAAGCGTTAGAACAGAAGTCCATGTCGTACGAGGTGACGGATGGACAACGTCCCATTGTTTGTGGTTCTTCGGCCATTCTTCCTGCCTGCACCCAAGCAGCAGCAGATTTCGATTGGTCAGGCAAGCAAGACGAAAGGCTCGTGCAGAAGTTAAGTACAAAGGATTCAAATATCTCTGAGACGAATTCCCGACGTACTTTTTGCGGAGAGAACGCCTTTAGAGAGTCAAAAGTGGAAATCTTTACATCAGCATAAGAGAGATATCGGAAAGACAAGTGTGCGAAACATGGTTGATTAATGCCTAGCAGACCTTGCCAGCAGGCAAGCAGATCCAAATACCACTTTTCCATTCCTGGCGCTGGCTCACCGCACAAGTGAAGTAGGTACTAAGTAAGGGCATGGCCTTAAAGGGCATGGGGTGAAAACAACAGAGCCGGGTCAAAGTCGTTGATACAAACTTGGAGAGGCTGGCCACGAAGGATGATCCGGAAGCTTTCATGCATGGTCCGAGATTTATTACTTGGTCGGGTTCAAGCGATGCTGCCGATGGTTGGTCCTTGACCTAGTTAGTCCACGTAGTAAGCACGAACAGAATGCACGAGAGGACTGCAGAAAAGCCCTGAGCCAAACCGTTCCTGGAACGAACCGCAATCTAACGCGAGAAACATGGTAAATTGATCTCAGAAGACTCAGATGACATTCTGTGATGGAGGTGCAGCTTGGCTGCATAGTTGCCTCAAAATCCTACTGGCTTGAAGCCAACATGATGGGAAAGCAGGGGGGATGGTTGGGAACAAAAGTTGATATTCGGGTCGCCTGAGCGTTAGATTGCTCCATGCATAGTTTGACATACCGTATCATAGCAAAGACATGAGAACACCAGCACTAGAAGCTGCAAGATGGAAAGCATGAGCCTTTTCGGCTGTTTCGTCGCTGTTAGAGAACTCATCGCCTCATGATGATTCGCAGCCAGGTTCAAGGAATGACCTATTTTGTGCCTTGAACAGCCGTTGTGGAAGGCTAGTAGCGTTCTGTACTACGTGATCAGCAGCGTTTGTGCTGATCTGACCACTTCCTCGCCCCGTTCATTCGTCATGGCTTGTCATCCGGTCCAAGCCCTGGTCAACGCGTCATTAGTCATTCTTTGACTGGAACTCGCACTTGTTTCCTCTTCGACTGGAAGCTATACTCCGTAGTACATGTTTGTGAGGGTCAGCCTAAACCTGAAGGAGGTAAGTCAGCTTGAGGGGAGACTTTGGCCCCGGTTCCTCTCCTCTCCGCCTCTCCACGTCTGGGCCATTAGTATTTACTTATCCACGTAACCCGGCCCGGTCTCTCATTCTTCCGTCCACATGTTCAGATCCACCACAATCGGGGGGCTAATTATCGCAAGTCAACCTTTCTGTCAATTTTACTAGTGATGAGCACACGGTGCATGGTACTTAGATCACACTCGAATCGCCTCATGCATGATGGGGCTTTACCAAGCTCCATCAATGTCCCCATCCAACTTCCGTTACAAATACATCATTCTGCACTCTGTATACAACTTTTGACGGCTAGTTGGAATTGTGGACAACGATTTGGAGACACTCGCCGGAAGACTATGTTGAAGGTCAGGGGCCGGGAGTGACGTACCATGTCGATACGTATAGTACGTTTTGGAGTGGTGTGGGCCCGTGCTGATGTGGAGATGGCAAGTGCTGGCGAGGAGACTCGCCTGGAGTTTTCCTTGCACTAAATTAGTTTACTTCTCCAAGACTACCACCACTACTGGTAAGCGAACTGGTAAGCAACATGACGCCACATACACGTGGTTGCGTCATTCCCTCCGACGTATGATATGGCTTAGTCACCTAGATGAAGAAACCACGTGGTTCTATAAAAGTCAAAGTGATCATCAAGCCAATTCGATAAATGCCTCATTTCAGGCCGGGTCATGAAAAAGGGAATAATGCAGTACAGCAGTCAAGGTTGATGATGGGAAAAAGACGAAGTGGAAAAAGGACCGCGCTTCACTTACGCTTGTCCACACGACTCGTGCTTCCATTCTAATCATTATTCTAACTGGCCATGCATTTAGTATTTTTGTTTTGAACTAATGCATTGGCGTAGCTGAACACTAAATAGTAATCAAGAAAATCGAAAAGTTTTTGCAAACGATGACTAGATCATCCAGGGCCAAAATGACATTTGCAGATGGGATTGTAGCTTGTTGCCATGCATTAGAAACAACACCACAGGCATGCTGTTCATTAGAGCAGGAAGACAAAAAGAATATTTATTAAGTATACATCAAACTTTTTCACTCCACACGCCTCTGTGGTGTAGTTGGCTATCACGCAGGTAAGTCTGTTTGAATTCACACTGTTCAGGTAAAAAATTAATCTTTCCAAGGTCTCATAAATTATGACCCATCTCAGCTGGGGGAATCCTGAGGTCACCAGTTCGATCCTGGTCGGGGGCAAATGACTTTTTATTGCTTTCCTTTCGTGGTTTTTATTGTTCTCGTTCTTTCACAGCAGTATCGTCGTTTTTGTATACTTACCACAATAGAAATATAAATACAGCTTAAGGGTCTCCAACTACCTGACCTTTGGCAGCCCTTACATCCCACCTTCTTTGGACGACGTGGTCTTTGAATGGGGGATCCGATCCTAGCATAGTAGTGAAGTAGTAGCAAAGAATGATAGCAGCTGTCAGCAGCTGTTTTGTACGATGTTCGGTCACGAGCGAGTGACGGGTAATCAGCGTTATGAAATTCGATAACTTAATCTAAAAACATCGGTACTTGACCTCTATTGCGGCGGTAGCATGAAATAGTATGATGGCCAAGGTATCGTCCGCTGCATCCCACGGAGCGCTTAGTCTCATGAAGTAGCATAGCTCTTAGAAGCATGGTCAAACCGCCATGCTTGAAAGAGTAGCAGAGACCTTTTAAACATCTCGTTCACATTTGCCGCGGAATAAATCATTCCATTAATCCTCAGAAGAAAGTCTCTTCAAATGTCAGAAGCAGGGTGGGCTCTTGGCGATGTATAGTCCGGTCATAGTCAACTTTGTCAACACCATCCTTTTCCAGGTTTGCTGGAAATTGCCCTGGGACTTGAGCATTGAGCTGTAATTGGGTTGATTCTCTACCGGACTCGTTTGGAAAGACATCTTCGGATGAAGAAGACGAGCTTGGACGCCATAAGCAGATTCAGAGGGATAAACGGCACGTGGTTTCGTATGCAAGACCCTGAGCTACCAAGTGATATTACTAGAAATATACTCCTCCAGATGCTAAGGCTGTTAAGCTTCTTCCTCTGACGCCCAAACCACGGGGTCGATACCATGAACGCTGCCAGTCATCTCCTTCTCACACTTGCTGGGATGGCCACTCCTTTCAAAAGCCGAACTTCTGCTTCTTAATGCGGGGAACAATACCAACAACCACCAACACACTTGCCACGATCACTGCCCAGAGTTGCATGTGGAGCACATTGTTGTTGAATCCTGTCTGCGTGGCAGCACAAATCGTTGCCAAGGACATCAAGAGAATGAGGTAGCCACTCATTCGATGATACTTGTATAGCGCCTTCCCGTTGTCGACGCTACCCAGTACTGTCTTTGGCACGTAGAATTGCACGAATCCGATCAAGGCTTGTATAATTATTAAGATGAATGTTATCAGGCCCATGATGCCGTGGACGTTCTTGAATCGAGTTTCGGGGTGGCTAGCCTTGTTCCTCTCGATGATGATCAAACCGACGATAAGAAGTATGGTTCCGGAGAGATTCAATGCGAAGTGGACGTGGGTTCCCTGGGTCTTTTGTTTTGGGGTTGCCGTTGGTTGAAGCACCAGAATGGCTTGCGTAATAAGCAGGACGCCAGCAGAGTTGACAAGCTGGGCATTTATCAGTAACGGAGAACGAAGGTCACGTAAGGTCAACTTACAGGATGGTATGAGAAGAAGATAATTTTGTTCATGAGCACGCTCGACCAGACAAGAGCAACCAGCTTCACGATATGTTAGTAGGAAATCACATTCAATCTGACCTAACTGACGATCCATATGCCTGCCTGGGCAACCATGCCAGTGCCTGCAGAGCAGTCAGTCGTATATCCTAAGGTTTGAGCCACAAAGACTCACCAAGGATGAGGTTATATTGTAGACCTTGCCCTTCATGCTGTGATGCGTCCCCTGGTCTTCCGAGAAGAGGCTCGTCTTCTGTTGGCGCTGCTGGTCTCTGTTCCGGGATACCTGTTGCTGATGCCATGATAATCGAGCTTGGATCGACAAAGTGAAACGGGCAAAGAACATCAAAGGAGGAGGATATAGTGGGATGGATGGATGTCACAAAGGACAGCAAGGACTATTGGATCATGAGGGGTATTGAATCGGATCCGATGATACTCATATATGCAATCAATATGCGAGGGAGCTGGTGATGGTGTGCTGTGGTGATGCTTGTATGGATGTAAACTCAGGGTCCAGATCGCCAAGTCCCAATCAGATCTATGACTTTTGCAATGGCGATATTGATAAATGCCTACACCGAAGAATCTGATCCTTGAGACAGCTGTAGAGAGGTCTCTCGAAATGTTTATTTTCTTTTAGCATGACGTTCGAACCAAATTGCGTCTGGAGGGGCACTGTGCCAAAGTGTCCATCACACAGGAGGAGGAAGAATTTTAGTGCACAATATGGACCCCGGCAACCAGAAGTAAACACCTTGATCGACAGCCGTGACCAATCCTGACCAAGCGCAGTCTCTTCACCACTGGTCCATGCCAGCGTGTACACAACAATTCTTCAGTAATGAGAGTTATACATTTTTTCCGCTGAAGAGAACCTTCTCTCTGGCATTGGGCGGGTCACAACAATCTGCCCACCATGGCATTCCTCTTTGGTGCCAATAGGCGACAGAAGCAGCCTACAGACATCGCAAGATCGATTAAGGATCTCCTTCGAAGGCTATGGAATGAGCCACCAAGCCCAAAGGTACGTTATCGTCGAGTTGAAGAAGGCATAGTGTTGACATCTTGCTTGTAGGTGGACGAGGAGCTGGGGAGACAGATGGCGCAGATGAAGCTCATTGTTCAGGGCACTCCAGGTTCGTGCCCAAGAAATCAATACCTCAATCCAGGCCTAACGGCACGTTTTAGAAGTCGAGTGCAGCCCCGAACAGGTCCAACAACTTGTGCAATGCATCATTCAAGAAGACATCCTATTCGACCTAGCGAGAAGCATACGAAAACTACCATTCGAAGCACGGAAAGATGCCCAAATCATCTTCGCTCACATCCTTCGATGGAAGCCCGCCAACGGGCGATCGAGTGAGCCTGCAATCTCATACTTGGTTTCGAAACGACCAGAAATTATTGTGGAGTTGTGTCGAGGCTACGAACACCCGGAGAGTGCACTGCCGTGTGGGACTATACTACGGCAGGCAATTATGCAGGACAGCATCACAGCTATCATCCTATATGACGAGTCCAAGCCAGGAGAAAGAGCAGTACAGATATCGGAAGTTGATGTTAGACGACAAGAGACCTGTCAAGGGCTTTTCTGGAACTTCTTCAATTGGATCAACAAAGGGAGTTTTGAAGTCAGCGCAGATGCTTTTAATACATTTCGGGTATGTCTTTATTTCTTACCTCTGGGTCGCAATTGACAAGGTCGGTCAACAGGATATCCTGACAAGGCACAAAACAATGGTTGCACAATACCTGTCTACCAATTTCGAAGAGTTTTTCTCACGATACAACACCCTCCTGATTCAATCAGACTCGTACGTCACCAAACGTCAAAGCATCAAGCTTCTTGGAGAGATACTTCTGGATAGGGCAAACTACAACGTAATGACAGCGTATGTCGACAGAGGGGAACATCTGAAGCTCTGCATGAACTTGTTGAAGGACGATCGAAAGATGGTCCAATACGAGGGATTCCATGTTTTCAAGGTCTTCGTTGCAAACCCGAACAAATCGACGGCAGTACAGAGGATTCTTATAAACAATCGTGATCGATTACTGAAATTCCTCCCGAAATTTCTGGAAGATAGGACGGACGATGATCAATTCACGGACGAAAAGAGCTTTCTGGTAAGACAAATTGAACTTTTACCATCAGAACCGGCGGATTCGAGGCCACAGCCAGTTGGTGGAGTAGGAGTTGGAGCTGTTGCATAAGCATAGGAGGTTTGGTGTCTTGGGGATGAATGAGATCCAAAGACGGAAAAGGCGTTGAGCTCTGGAATTGGCTCCTGGCCGAATATTTGGAATTTGTAGAGGATGGTGTGCTGAGACTCGGCGCGTAGGACATTGCATGACCAGGATGGACGCAGAAGAGCTTAAGTAAGTAGATGAGTATCATGAGTATCAGTTACGATATTGTTATTTTATGTTAGCCATAGCTGCCAACCATTTCCGAACCCACGTGAATTATGTATTTGGTAGTAGTTACGGAGTACTGTACCACCAAATTGTGATAGTAGCAGACGGGCCAAGACGGCCAAAGTTAGCAAATTACCAGTGCGTACAGAGTATTACTGTTGATATGTTTTAGTAGCAGTTGGCCAGCAGCTCTATTATATACTAGAGTAATAGAGTGGGCGCAGTGGCTCTCCTTGCACATGTAGGAACGATTGGAAGGACCAGAACCAGTGTGAGAGCCCTGCCTAGCCGTCAGGCTAGGTACCGCACTCCAGGCCCGTTGCGGGGACAGCCACGTTCGCCAACCACTTTGAGGCTAGTAGAGGCCCAAAAAGGTGTTAGATTGGAGGCTAACCTACTACTAGTATTACCAAAGTGTGTTAGTAATCCCAGCCACAAGTTACGTAGTAAACATTGGTCGATCAATGTAAAACGGCCCCAAGGCATTAATGGAGGGTGGATAAGGTGTCTGCCGTTTGCTGCTATGGTCATAGATTCATAATTCAGTCTGATAGTGCGCAACAGCTACTATTTCCCTCGTTCCTTGTCGATTGATGATGTTGCTGGCCTGCCTGCTTGTCCCGCCCGGAGATGCGGATGAGTGGAGCTGTGTCTGTGATTTGGGGGTCGAGAATTGTTGGGATTATAAGCGGAGGCTTGATGGGAATGGGGATGCTGGGTAGGAGGATCGGGAGAGATTGTGTATGGCGGCTTGTCTTTGGGATGCGACCGCTAAGCAATTGGTGAGGTGCGCGCATGGAAGGCGAAAGACAGGCAGACCGGAATTGGCGATGCAGGAGGAGAGAGGGGAGACGAAGGGCCGGTTGAGACCGATACCAAGTGCCGTGACGGCGCCGGTGCCGAGGGCAGAATGGGTTTTGTTGGTGGTTGTGTTGGTTGTTGCGCTTTTGATTGCGGTTTTCAATGGACGGTTTGGTGGCAAGGCTGGGGAATCAGCAGCAGCAGCATCGAAGGTGATGTTCTCCGGGCCTCCGTGGTGTCGAACCAGGCTTATTCATTCTCTTGTTCTCACCTTGGCCTGACCTTATTAGGTCAACCAGAGCATAGATTAGTCGCTCCATCACACCATTCCAGTAGTCCTCGTCCTTCTTGACCGCAATCCATCATCATCTTGTGTATTTTTCGCCTCGTCAAGCGGGCCCTTAGAAAGCGAAAACTGAGTCACCATTTCCTTAGCTGTATGGGCCGACAACGATTGATCGTGGAACATGCTGGCCCAAAAGAGGCTCTGGCTGTACTATCGAAATGTAGCCTGGAGATAGTAAGGGCGGAAAGACCCGGATGGTTGGCTGGGTAGGATAAGCACAAAATATACAGACGAGGTTGCGTATTTGTAATGCCACGTGATTATCCAGACGTACCTCTTACTCTTGTCGGTGACTTCTTACGCTCTTGATTCAGTATTACAAATCCCTTAGATTCACTTCTAAAGTTGAAAAGGAACCAGCCATATCTATCCCCAGACGCTCAAAACCCATACAGGATGCCAGAAAGTCAAAACAGAGTGCCATGGAATTACTACCTGGCAAAGAATGATAATCTAAACTACATAGTATTACATTTAAGCTTAGGACATAATTTCAACAACGCCAGATCCACCCAACAACACTCAACACACACACACATACCGCTGGGTCCGCTCCGTCCTGTATATAGCTTCTTGGAAACCGTGATTAGTCAACTCAAAACAGATCATGATCTGGCCAGCGGTTGCCAACAGCGGCAACAATTGAATCCATGAGTTCGCCAAGCGATTGCGGTCCGTCCGTACGCGTGTTTATCACCACGGCATAAGCGATGCCATCCGTTCTGCCTGTCAGTGTTGCGTTTGTCCCTTCCCGACTGCCGGTATGCCATCTTTCCGCTCTATTCACCCTCCACCCTCGCGCATAGGATGATCCAGGCACGGTGGACGAATCATACATCTCCGTCTGCGACTTGGCCGACAGAATGTTATCTTCCTTGGCTGGAAGGAAGTCGACTCGGGTCAGGATGGAGAGCAGGTCGATCGGCCGAGCAATCCAACCGCCAGCTGAGTCGCGACGCTCGATGTTGATCCGCGCCTTTCCATATACAGCACCATTATTGGGGCCTGGGTAGTACGTGACCTCGTCATCCGCACGGTCTGCCTCTTCGCTGGCAGCGAGCTTCATCTTTGTAACACCTGCTCTCCTGAATACGTTCTCACGGACATAGTCACTGTACTTTTGCCCACTAACTTGCTCGATTATCCGACCGAGGAGCATATAGCCAAAGTTTGAGTAGAAAAATTTGCTGCCCGGAGGTGTATTGCGTAGGAGCCGTCGGTTATCCATAATTGAGCTGATGAGTTGGTCCACGCCAAGATCAAGCTGCTGATAAGTTGGATCTGTCTCTTCTCCATTCGTCACATTGTACGAGTACCCGCTCGTATGTTCGAGGAGGTGCTGAACGCTAATATTCCGCATAACCTCAGAGTATGCCTTGTTACTACCGTACCTGGTTCCTAATATCGCGTTCTCGCCAAAAACTTTGCTGTCAAGTTTGATCTTATTCTTGTCAATGAGGGTAAAGATTGCGATGGCTGTCATTGTTTTGGAGACGCTGGCGACACGGAAGAGGTTGTCGGGATGGACAAGTGTTTTCTTTTTCCTATCTGAGAAACCAGCACCCTTTGCGAAAACCAAGCTCTCATTTCGAGTGATGGCTAACGAAATGCCCGGTACTGAGTACTTGGTAGTAAAATCTTTGATCAACCTGTCGATCTCCAGCAGATCTCTCCTTTTCATGACCTGGTTGACGTATATGTATGCATACCGAGCTCCATCGCCTCTGCTAATCGGATAGCCGAGTACAGTTCTGGCTCGGTAGCCCTGAAACCTATTATTTCTGTATTGCTGGTGATACTCCTCCGATGTGAGGCCCCATTTGGAGAGTTGAGGTAGCCCATCGACTTCGGACTTTAAAAGCCAGATCGCAGCGTACTGAAGGGCTCCCTTGATCTCGTAAGCGCTAATGACATCCAAAGAATAGCCGCTTGTGCTGAGCCGTTCGTTCTCTCGTTCAAAGGTGGTTGTGGTCATATCCACCTTTGAGACCGACTTGGGACCGGGGCTTTTCTCCCATATAGCAGCAAAGCGAGCTTCCCCACCCGGATAATCTTCGAATCCGCTAAGGTGAGTCAAGCGATACCCGTCTGCAAGCCTTTTTGAATACTCGGCTTCGTATCTGGTTCTGCCGATTCCGGCATACGAAACCCAAGAGGGGCTGCTCCGCATTTCCCAGACCCAGGAGTATTTATCCAAACCGTCCCGCCCGGCATATCCATTAACAAACACCAGACGATATCCTTGGTTCACCTTCTTGTCGAATTCTGAATCATATTCCGGGCCGGTGATGTTGTGGCTAGAGATCCAGCGTGGCCCCTCGATCTTCTCAAAGACACAGGTGTAGAGTTCCTTGTTTCTGACCGTATACCCACTGATGTACGTCGGACGAAAAGACTGAGCGACAAGCTCATCATGTTTGGATTGATATTCTTGTGATGTCAGGCCGTGGTAGGTATACCATCCCGGTTGCGTGGCGGCAACAGCTGCGGTAATGAATGACAGTAACAAAGTTAGGATCCATAGCTGGGGCATCGCAACATTGTCCCTTGTAAAGGTGCTGAAATGAAGCTAAAATGTATTTTCAAACCAAGGGAACGGAGAAATAGAACTGCTCTCAATGGGATACTTCCATTTATGTACTGGAGTACTTGGCAACAGCGCATTATAGTGTGGTGGCTGGAATCTTGAAAGCTGAATGTCTTCGAAAAAAACAGAAGCCTGATCGGTCCATGCAACAGCCTTGTTACTTACAAGTTTGCTAACCCCTTTATCAACGGTCCTCTTGAATCACAGCTATCGCAACTACTAAGGCGTTTCACGTCGTAGCTGAATGGTATTCCGCTCTCTAACGGCGGGATCATATGATCCGGTGACAAGAGCATGTCTATTTTGACATGAAGGTTTAGCCATCTGGTGCTCAAGGTTGGTCGGCCTCAGCACACGTGTTGGATTGGATCAGGCGATGGAGGCTTTCACATACTTTAAATTTCTCTTTCCACAAGCCTCTTCGGGCTGTGTGCTATCCAGCCGGTACATTATCATTGATCATTGAGGAAGAGTGTGAAGAGGGATTGGGACTCCAGTCACCCGACCCTCGTAAGCTTTAATTAGGTACCGTAATACTAATTTTGACTGACCAATATCCATTTCTGTCTCGGGCCTGGAGGGTAAGCCAAGATTGAGCTGGCCTAAGGCCACCAGAGCACCCTACGTAGTAAGACTTCTAGATGGCTACTCGGTCCCGCCAAGAAATGAGTTCCAGCCCTAGGCTATACTTAACAAGGTAAGAAGTACATTTCCATCATGTTTGAATTGCTGAAAGGCATATGTAATACTCCGTAGTACGTGAAGTGCTTGTGCTACTGTGAAATCAGAAGTAAAGAAGGTGTCTGATTTTCTAGTTACAAGTAGCTACAACAATATATAGCAAGAGTGTCATGTGACCTGGCTTGATCTATAATGCCAAGCTAGTCATGTGTTAGCGCTTAGTCTTTTAGCTTAAATATTATATTCTTCTTTATTTAGATTTAAGTATTACTTTAGATATAATAATTATAAATAAGTATAAATAAATAAATCTTATAACTAGATTTTCTTAATAATAATTACTTAGAATAGCTTTTTATAATTTAATCTTTTATAAGTTATATATAGCCTATTATTATAATAGTAGAAAAAGATTCTCTAAAGTTTTAAATAGTTCTAAAAGAATACAAAAATTTTTAAAATTCATTTTTAAAATTCAGGGCCTAAATTCTTTACTCTTGATATAGTTATAATATTATACTTGCTATTTAATAGAAGAAAACCAAAGTAATAATAGATTTAGGAGCTACTAGAAACTATATTTCATGACATTGGCATTGTCGCTACTTGGATGGCCTGCTAGGCTCTTGATCCTTGTCGCTCTTGGATCTTGGCCGGTGTTAAGTGATACTCAGCTACAGGAACGGGAGCTTGATTCAGCCTCGACCACAGACCCTTCGCAATAATACAGAAGATCATTCCACAGCAGTGAGCGTGTCCTATCTGGTCAGCCCGACCTGGTCTGACTTCTTTCCAGGCGTGTTGCTGGCCGAGACCCTCTACATTGTCGGCGGTGAATTTTTTTACATACGCGAAGATGGATTGGCCGTGGGATATCCCTACAACTCGACCTACTCTCTCGATCTCTCCACCTCATGGTCGCCCAAGGATGTACGCTTCAACATGATCGATAATGGCGACAGTCCCGTTTTCAATCGTCCGAGCCTCTGGCCAGCGCCAGACGGTGAGTCGTTCTACTCCTTCAACGGCGATGTTAGCCAGGCGGGACACTACACAATAAGAGACCCACCTCCTACCTCACAACTTTGGCAGTTCACGCCCGATGGAAAAAGCAACGGTACATGGAGTCTGGCTGGGACAGCGCCGTCACTGATTCAAGTCCAGACCGCAAGATCGACTTTCGGAAACGGCTCCGCATACATTTTAGGTGGCTTTACAGATTGGAGGACAACCAGACTCTATGGCTATGATAATACCTACATTGGCTCTGGAAACGGAATCGTCTCTTATAGCATGAATAGCCAAACATGGCAGAATCAGAGTATGGCCGGTGTCGCTCCCACCGGTTGGTGGTATGAAGGTGAGCTGCATTGGGTTGACAACCTTGGCGGCTCTGGGCTAGTTGTTGCTTTGGGAGGCGTGACGGCCCAACCCCTGCCTCAATCAGCAGGAGAGACATTGGTCCCATTCGATTATGTATCCTTCTTCAACCCTGTTACGGGAGAGTGGCGGAATCAGTCAACTACTGGAGCGATACCTACGCCGCGTCGACGTGCTTGCTCTGTCGGAGTTCTGGGTGACAATGGGACGTACGGGGTACGAGCCCTCTTGAACAAGATAGTGCCTTTTTAGCTTACAGGACTCTCTCAGATAATCCTCCACGGCGGCTCCATCCTCCCCGCAGACACTCACTTCGAGACCGTCCCGCAAGCGACAATCGACCTCGACCAGGTCTGGGTGCTTTCCCTCCCCTCTTTCACCTGGTATAAATCCAACTACCAGCCCGCCAATGCCCGATTTCTTCACACTTGCAACGTCCCTGGCAACCCGCCTCGTTGCCAGATGGTTGCCGTCGGTGGGATAATACCTCAACTTGAATATTACTTGGAGCCTAGGGATCCTTGGCCGCAAGGGCTCGGCATCTTTGACTTGACGGAGATGCAGTGGAGAGACAACTACGACGCGAATGCCGACGCGTACGAAACGCCGAGAATGGTCAAGGATGGGATTGCCAAGGAAGGCATGTATCCAAAGGAGTGGGATAGCCCGGAAGTGGTAGGGTAGCTGACGGGTAAATGTATGTGTTTTTTTGTTTCTTTCCTCTTATTTTCCCCCTTCTTTTTCTTTCCTGGCTCACATTTCGGAAGAACCATCAGCCCTTGCCGACACAGCAGGAACAACGAGTTTACCGGTTAGCAGCACTGGAACTGAAGGTAGCAGCCCTGGAACCGGAGGCAGCAAAAAGGCCGCCATCGCCGGCGGAGTCGTCGGCGGCGTGGTTGGTGCCGGTGTCCTGCTGGCTGGACTGAAAATGGCCCTGCGAAAGAGAAAACAACGCTTGCACCATCTTTGCGCTCAAAGAACGGTTATGAGAAACCGGAACTTGAAGCGGCCGCCGCACCACCCGGCTCAACTCAAACTGGGGCTCCGCAGCGTGCACATAACCACGCGGAGCTTAACAACGATCCGCTGACGGCAGCGGAGCTGGCGGCACCGAATAACCGACCAGTCCATGAGATGTAGAGCTCGATGATGACGCCAGGACATGGGCATACAGAGGCATGAGATGGCATCGTGACACCCCTATCCATACTACATACATACATACATACATACACACATACATACCTGTATCAGTCTGGAGAGGAAAGAATCTAAACCGAGCGAGTTAACTGGGCCTGATATGGATGGAGTCCATATTGAAAATTCAAAATAGAACGAATGGCTGTGTGTATTTCCCTATATATTTTTTGGCTTTTCTAGAGAACAGAGGAGAGGGGAAATATATGTCAATTTCTAACACAGAGTCTAGTACATGCATCAATAGAGAAACAGGTTCAGATTCGGGTTCGAGTTTCAAGCGACCTGAACTAATAAGCAGCCAAGCTTGAAATCTATATTCACAGTGAAACAGACAACTTAATCACCTCCCGCCTGAAATCCAACCATCACAAAGAGCAATTTGTCCAACCTGTCTATCGGATAAATGCTCGCCTGATAACCAAACTCTATCCCAAGTTGCAATCCTCATCCGCCACCTCGGTCTTCCCATCACCACCTCTCTCGACCCCTCAGCCGCCCAACCAAAAGCGGGGGACAACATCCATACTCCCTATTATCCAAAAACTCCTCCTTCAACCCCTGCCCCAGAGTTGGCCTCCCCCTCCCCCTCACGCCCTTGCTCCCTTCCTCATACCTTCCCCCCTCCCCTCTTCCCCCCAAAATACACTCCCAACCTCCGTCACCCTAAAGTTATATCAAGTAACGTTTATTGTAGATTGGCTTTATACTGCTGCTGATTTATGCAATGAACAGTCAATTGAAACTCTTGGTCGGAGGGTCTTTACTATCCGCTCGATCGGCCGTGTCTTGATAATTAAATGATAACCTAGGTCCAGGTCACATGACTGTCAGGGTGCAATGGATGTCAGAAGTATCAGTGGAGATACTACGGCAGGAGGCATAATGTTTGTCACCTGCGCACTAGTAACTGGTTGTAACGCCAAGACGTAACGCCACAAAATCGCCCAATTAGGACTACTCTAGTTTTTTCTTAATATCGAGTATGCCGCCCTTCTGCATCTTTTACTGCCTGGCATCTCTCTGGCGTAGAATTTGAACTTTTGGTGGAGTGGTTGATGTGTCCCTTTTCCTAAACCAGCGACAAAGACCGCCGAAAATAGCGTCCGATGTGCCGGGAACTAATTAGAGTTAGGCTGTAGTGTGTAGGCTGCGGGTATCACGACAGACATATTAGTCTAAGGACCTCAGGTCAACTCAAGCCGCGACATAAGTCTCTACTTGACAGAAGTGAGGTCAGTAGTCTGGGCAAGTGTGAGATAGCTACAACTCTTCATACTACCTGCTTCACTTCCTAACGATGAATCCTACCATGCATAACGCATATCGCCAGTACCCTCAAGCACAGGGCAGGTCCCCCGCTGCAGCGCGTCGCCCTGGTAAGCAGGCCCGTGTCATGAACTCTGTTCTGTTTGCTCACCATCACGAGGCCCTGTTCCGGTAGGTTCGCATACACAACCACACCCCAGCATAGTCAGTCAGCAACAAGCACAGCGTAATGTCCATGTTGAACACCAACTGGCCCAGCGCCGATCCAAGAAACCAAACGATCGCAACATGCCGGAAGGTCTGGAAGAAGTCACCATTGGCGACGGAGTACAGCAATACAAGGAGCTACGGGATGTGGAGAGACAGTTGGACTATGCGATGATGAGGAAGAGGCTGGAAATTGGTGATTCCATACACCGTATAAACAAGAGACAGAGAACGATGCGCCTATGGATCTCTAATACTGTAGAGAACCAACCCTGGCAGGAAAGAGGATTAGATTCTGATGCATTCGACTTTGGCACAGGGGTTGATGGGACTTATAGGGTGAAAATTGAGGGTCGCTTGATTGATGATGACTCGGAAGATCCCACCAACAATGACGACGAAGAGGAGGAACAGGGAGAGGATATTCCGATGCCTGAGGCACCAGAAAAGGCTCCAAAAGGAAAGACTCGAAAGCGACTGTCCCAGTTCTTCAAAGCAATCAACGTCGAGTACGACAGGTCAAGAACTATGTCAGCGGAGCCTTCGCAGATCGAATGGAAGAAGCAGCCTGGCAGCGCAGAATTCGACTCTATAGAATTCGAACGAAAGGGTGACGAGAACATGAATGTCACCATCGGTCTTAGCAGGGCAGATTCACCTGAACGATTCCGTCTGAGCAAATCACTGTCCGATGTTCTAGACACTGACGAAGATGACAAGACCGGTGCTGTTTTGGGAATCTGGGACTATGTCAAAGCAATGGGATTGCAAGAGGACGAAGAGAAACGGGCTGTACGGTGTGACGACCGATTGCGAGCAGTAAGTTGGCCATGGCTATTCCGCATTCATTGCTCATCCTTCCAGATATTCGGAACAGATACGGTCTACTTTCCTCAAATCCCCGAGCGACTGATCCCCCATCTTCTACCCTTACATCCCATCAAACTACCCTACACTATCCGCGTTGACGCCGCCTACCAATCCTCGCCTCAACCAACTATCTACGACATTCGTGTCACAGTTGACGATCCCCTTCAGGCCAAAATGCTTGCCATGACCCAGAATCCGGAATATCCTGCCACGCTGCGTCAGATCTCACAGCTCGACGACCATCTGGCCATGACCATCCAAGCATTAGCACAATCGAAAGCGAAACATTCCTTCTATAAGTCCATGCAGAGTGATCCTGTCAATTTCGTCAAGCGCTGGATGAGCAGTCAGAAGAGAGATCTGGAAGTCATCTTGGGAGAAGCTACGAGAGGTGGCGGAGAAGATGGCAGTGCGCCAGAATTTCAGAGGGGTGGAAGTGAGGGTGTCTGGGGGACGCAGGTTGTGAAGGAGGCAGTCAGATACAAGTTGGCCAAGGACATGACGGCGAAGAGGTGATCAGTCTTTGGTTGGGTCGATGAGCGATGCTGTAACCTGAAATGAGTGAAGAGTATTAGAATAGTTGAACCGCCATTTCTTTAGATAGCGGTCTTTCACAGGAAGACATCAAACATGACGCGCTCGTCCTTCCTACGTGGTATACAGCTGGTCTAACGCGGTTGGAGAAAACCATGCTATACCATGTCATGCCATCGTCTACATCCTACCTTGTTGGATTCCAGCTGATATCTCTACCAGCATGTAAGCCTCTCCAACCCTTCACAATACCCAACCTCGAGCATGCTGAGATTGCACGAGCTGCTGAACAGGATGCTGAACAGCGAGTATCGACACACAGAGGTGTCCTTCGTCTCCTGGTTCGTGCCACAAAAGCAGCATGTTTCCAGGAGATGGGGGATGAAACACCACGATTGGCCTGCACTTGTCTAGCTGAACCCTGAACGAACATGAAGCCACAACAGCTGTCCCGTGCTTAGCCTCATTCAGATGTAGCAAAACTGTAAACTAGGAGCAAAGGTTGTATCGGCGGCTGACTCGTAGAGACCTGCAGCAGACCTGCAGATCCGATCTGCACGCTTTTGCCCTTTGCCCAGTTCAGTGGCCAGTGCAGTGGCCAGTGCAGTAACCAGTACTGTGCCCTGCCCAGTGTGCCCGGTGCCCATCCACTGTACTACTCGAGTCCTACGTGGTACATCCACTCCCAACTTGGCAGCGCCCCTCCAAACAAACACCTGCTTCCACGCAAATACTCTTCTTGCCTGCCTTCGAATAACCATACCGGTACGCCTTGCAAAGAAACTTCGTTCTCAAAAGACAGATGTTAGCGAGACGTATCAACGAGAACGAGATTGGGAACCAGGCTATCTGAAAGTGCGAGGTTACGGACTAGATACCGATTCTACATACTCTTCCAGGCGCAAAGAGAGCATTCCCCATCCGAACGACAAGACAGATCGACTCAGGCGCACTCTTTGGCGAGGCCATAGCCGACGGACTCACCTGAGAACCTCGTCGAATGTGTATGAATCTCCTTGAAGGAACCTGGCGCACTGGCTTCCCGATGCAAGACACATCGGCCAGCGTATCACTAGATGACCTCGCTGCTACCACCAGATATACCATCATCTGAAATCCCCATGGTTTCCCGTCCAGAGGTTGCCGATCACTCGAGGCGGGCGGGCTCGGTTGTGTCGCGCACTACCCGTTCGAGGCACCACCGAGGTCGCTCACATCACGGAGGCTCCTCTTACCAGCCACAGAACGAGTTTCCCTTCTTCGCACAGACTGGAGATGTCGAGATCGTCATAAGTGCTGATGGGCAGGAAAAGAAATATCTCCTACATAGGCTGATCCTGGCACAATGTTCGGGGTTTTTTGAGGCTGGCACCAGTGCTGAGTGGTCGCAAGCCTCAAACTCTGCACCACGGCCGGAGAATGCATTGGCAAGGATAGGAGAAGATGAAGAGGACCCTGCACCAGTGCGACCGCCTGTTGACCCTCAATCAATAAATGCGCCAACACCGAACAGAAAGAGATGGAGGTATGAACTAGATTGGGACCATACCGATGAAGACGAAGATCCAATGCTGGTCCAGAAGACTCCAAGCAGTGGATCTCTTTTTAACAGCGACTTCCAGCCAACACTGCCGCCACCTCGTTCTAAACCTTCCGCTGCTCATTCAGGAGGTTTCTTCCGCTCGATGGCGAATCTGACACTCGGCGCTCAATCTACAAGCCACCTTCCATCAATCCATCATCCTCAAGACCAACCCATCACAAGTCCTATTCTTCGAGATTATGACAACCTCTTTCGCATCTTCTACAACTACGCACCATCCCTCAATCCAACATACCTACCCTCTGCTTATAGTGAATGCAAATCGCTACTCGCCCTTGCAGACATGTATGATGCCCTGCCAGTAGTAGGACCGAGAATAGACCACCATCTTCTCCGCTTCTCATCACGTCTTTTCAAGCAAATTGCGAAATATCCACCTTCCTATCTGAAGCTCGGTTATCTTGCCCGAAGTCGCATCATTTTTGCCGAAGCACTTGTGCACGTAGTCGGTCGGTGGCCACTAGATCGTCCTCATCTCCAAGGTGATAATATTGGTTACGAAGTACCGGAAAGCGTGATCGAGCTGATCGAGGACAAGGTCGACGAACTCGAAGAGATGAAGGCGAAAGTCGAAGCTAAGCTATTTCGATTGACGCTTACGACTTCCAGAGGTGAACGTGTCAATCCTGGCAATGACTACCTGGGGTGGCTGGCAATGAGTCTCTTCCGGCAATGGCTTGCAGAAAACACCACACCTCCCGTTCAGGGAATATTAAGATCACCTGCCACACCTCCTGCAAGTCGTGTCCAAGGCTCAATGCAACAACACCCTAGCCCCTCTTCCTCAGGCCAGCGCCCGTCCCATCCTCCCCCTCCTCCACCAGCTCCGTCACCGATGACGAACACAGGCCGCGTCTACCGCGCCCTTGGCTCCACCAACTCGCAATCCTACCTGCCTCGCGATGAACTCAAACGTTTCCTTAAATTCCATCCGTCCTCCATCTCTTCTTCCTCGTCTTCATCAGCGCTAGGCAGCTTGTACAACCGTGACAATCTCCGCCGCTTCGAACGAAAAGTTGATGAAGTAAAGAATCTGGCTCGGGATGTGGTGAAACCTCTGACGAGGAATTTTCTTGAGTTAGACGTCAGGACTGGAGACGGTGCTAGTGGGGGTATGGGAGAAGGGGCTAGCTTGGTACAGTATCTGACCTGTACGAAAGTCGAGGAAGGCGAAGTGCCGTGGGATTACTGAAGATTGAGAGACTGGAGAGGAGAGTTGCTGGTACGCGACCTCTACACCGACTAGCGAAAATAACTCTCACAACGATAATGATATCAATACGATGAATGATTCTGACGAGGAGGCAGCGATATGATAAATCCGAAGGTTGGGCCCAAGACAGACGGTAGCACACACGGCACAGCAGGGCCGCAAATATCCTCGTTATCTCACAGACATGTTGGTGGAGGGAGTGGTGAAGCTATCGAAAATCTGCCAGTCAGCGCAGTGCTTGGTGAGCATAACACGCCCTCATTGCATGCCGGATTGCGCCGATGTCGCTCTTCTTCCATGTTTGGGACAATTCCCGCCTTCGCTTCCCGTGCTTGGTCTCCCAAGCAGAGCTCGAACCGTCTGTTCTCTTACAATCGACTACGCAAGCTCCTGGACGGATACGAACATCCATGCCGCGGTTCGAGGTCTTAGCGTTTCACATTTGGGTAGCCTGACTCTACCTAGGCGAATGGTGTGTGCATATGTCTTCCCACTGCCTTTAAGTTCATACGAAGTATATGCCTGTTCGACGTTTTCTGCTTTTTTCTATCGCGCGTTACTGGTCACAGTTTGGCTGAGCTGGTTTCTTTGAGCAGCCGTGTCAGGTCGTGCTGTGTTGGTTTTTCTCGGGGCTAGTCTCCCAACGCGCGATCTATGAATTCATTTATATATTCCCCGAGATGAGCGAAGCAAGCGCGCGAGGATCTTGAGCTTGGTGGTGGGTGTTTTGTGTCTTTCTGTTTCTCCTCCTCAAGACTGGGTGATCACCGGTTGCGTTTCGGTTTGGATCATATTGTACTTTCTGTCCTGTCTCGTCGTGATTCAATTAGTATTCACCGACAAGCCAGCTAGCTCAAAAGGGGCAATTCCCTCAAATTGAACAACAGTCCGAACTTCATACCTCTTTGTTTCCTGTGCAGACCCAGCCAATGCATCCCAACGTTCGGGAAAAAAAAACCCAACTCTTCCCTATGGTACGTACTCGACATATCCCCTCTAACATAAGTAAGTCAGCCAGTCAGCCAGTCACTCTGCTCTGCTCTGCCCTGTCCCTTTCCCCCCTCTCATTCAATCTCATCCATCCATCCATCCATCTCCTCCCAGCAGCCAGACCGCGCGGTAACTGCTGCACATGCTGTAACAGAGCGGTCCACTCCACTCCAATCCTCCCTCTCCTCTCCTCTCCTCTCCTCAACCACACTCGACAAGCCGAACCAAACCATGTGACGTCATGTCACATCGTCATCTTCGACTTCGACTTCGACGTCGCCTTCGTGTGTCTCCGTCTCCGTCTCTGTCTCTGTCTCGATCCTGGGGCTTAACATCCCTCCCTACGTCCATCCAATCATCAGTCATACAGTCACACAGATACCATCACGATACATGAGATGGTGCCAGTCAGGCTACCTCAGCGAGCAGAGCAGATTACCCAACATGTCATCAAGTGTGCATGGGGAAGCGTGCCCGGATAGATTCGGGTTTTGGATTCGATTCTTGATTTGCTTTGGTTTGGTTTGGTTAGATTGGGTTTGGTGGTGTGGGTCATGTGCTTGTGGATGGATGGTAGGTAGGAAGTGCTTTTTCGGTTCGTGAGTATGAGGATGAGGATGAGGATGAGGATGAGTTTGATAGCTTAGCTGGGCCTGAGCCTGGGTAAGGCCGAGGCGTGTCTTATCTGCATGAGACTAGATACTGTAGGCGCATGTGTGCGTGTGTATCTGTACGAAAATACATGGTGTATGTGTATGTGTATGTGAATCTGGTAGCTGTATCTGGACCTCCGTATCCGACCCGACCCGACTCGACATCATCATCTAGTGTATCTATCCTGAATCAGCACGAGCACGAGCACGAGCACGCTGTACGCGACAAGTTGATCCCCTACCCACAATACCCCTTGCTTCCTACGTACTGGCGAGTGAGTAGGTCATGTTCCCGGTTCCACCATTCCGAGATCCGAATATGTATGCATATATATACGCGTTCCCCATTGTCTATCTGAGCGGGTCATCATCTCCGCCTCGCGGCACCCCCTTCCCCGAAAGTAGTAGTAGTAGCAGCAGTGTGGTTCTCCAGCGCGCTACTCTTCGCTCGATGCTCCATCTCGTCCTCCAGATCCCTCCTCTGCTCTGCATTCATTTTCTCCAACACAGCAGCCGCCGATCCCTCGGTGTCTCCCGAGCCATCCATCATGCTCCTCTGCAAGCCGTCGGCAACATCGAGCACGATGCTTGATTTCCTCCTCCTGGCCGCTTCCCTCTTCTCATCCTTCTTTTTCTCTCCGTCATCCGCCCGAGACGCCTCGTCCTTCTCCTTGGGCTTTTTATCAAACCGCTTCCTCACCGTCTCGATCATCTTGCCAAACCAGTAGAAATTCAGACTGTTCAACACAACGTTACTGCTGAGATATGTAACCGCCAACCAGATGGGTATGCCCCTCGTGCCCGCCCCGACAAACTTCATCACCTCACTCTGCGCCGCCACGCACTCCTCCCGTCCCAGACAAAGCCTCCCGTCCCTCGGGACAAACAGGTCTTGCGCACCTCTTGTGACGTTACTGCCCGTCGTCATGGCGAGATAGTCCAGCTCCCCGGTGGCGGGGTTGATGGGCAGATGCAGAGCTTGCCAGACATCCTGATACACGCGGATGGACTGGTAGGTTCCCCAGACGAGCCGACACCCGAAGAAGGACGCAAGCAGGATGATGCCGTTGTACCATTGGTATTTGGAGCCGGTCAGGTGCAGTTTATCGAGGAACCAGTGGATGTTGAGGAAAGGGGAGGAGAGTTCGTAGAGGATGAATGTGGGACCGTAGAAATTGAGGAAGGGTCTCTTCAAAAACACAACAATAGCCCAGATCAGCATTTCCCCCCCCCCC